GTCCCTGTCACCCCGCACTAGCGTTTGCGCAACCGCCAGGTCCAACCCTTTTACCACGGCATTGGATCGACCCAATAGGCCACGGTGATCTGTCATACCCACGTCGAGAGGTTTTCGCAACCGGAGAGGCACCAACATTTGCGACCCCGGCGGTATGCGTACCGTCTCCGTAACCACTGCTTGCACCATTGAGCAGGCCATACGTAAGCTGGTAGGGGAGATCAAAAACGCCATGCGTCGGCCTGAAGGAAGCTCGATGCATCCTTGGTCGATGACGATTTGAATTGGCATCTTAGCCAAAAAGTCTGTTCCCAACAAACATGGGACTGCGAGAGAAGATGAGACCAAGATTGGACCGGATAATTTAATGTCACCAATGCAAATTTTCGCCCGGATTTGACCAATGATCCCCAACAATCCTCCATTTGCCGCATAGCATGGGACGTCAACCGGTTGCAATGGCCGACATTGGATGGGAAAAATATTATAAATAAGGTCGGAGATGATCGTTGCCGACACCTCTGTATCAACCAGTACGCGAAACTCGACACCCTTGATGGATCCCATAACCACAGACGAACCGGCCGATGCAGCAACCACCCTATGGGCCAGCTCGGACCACTGACCCGGTCCGAGCACCCGTACGAACCCGACACCCCCCGACGATCCGACGCCCGAATCACGACAACCGTTCAGTGCAGCGCGTTGAGTCTTGTGTGGTGTGTGTGGGGGCCGAGCATGTGTGGTGCCGCGACTTGCCGAAGAATGCTGTGTCGACTTTGGAGCTTGGGTCATCGTCCTTCCGAGGTCCCAATGCGCGCTGTTGTGGGGCCCGGCACCCTGAAGCAACATGGCCCCAGAGGCCACAGTTGTAGCAGGTAACGAGGGCTGCAGCAGTCCTCGGTTGCTTCTGCTTGCGCGCCGGGTGCTGAGGCGGTTGGCCACCTGACCTCCACTCCCCGGGTCGACCCGTGGTGAAGACCTCCTCCGATGGTTGGGCGTCTGATGTTCCGCTAGACGCCGAAGTCGAAGCGCTGGCGATGACGGGTGGCTTCCGTTTCAGGACCACATACGCGTGAATGTTCCTTGAGACGCGCAAGGAGCATATGTCAGCTTCGTCTGCAGCAAGGACTACAATGCCCAGCTCTCGTGCCAGCGCTAAAAGCTTCTCCGTCACCATGGCATCGATGCCTTCACAGTCCATGCGTGGAAAAGCTGCTTTAGCGAGGCCTAGAAGAGCTGTGCGGAACGCGAGAGGAGACTCCTTCTCACCCATTCGCCGGTCATGGAAGTGATAGCGACTTTTGGATGGCGGTCCATAGACAGTAGCCAGCAGACGAAGCGCCATCTGTAGTGTGGAACGGCTCGACCTTGGAGTCGTCATGAGGGTGGCGAGGGCGTAATCATCCAGAGTTGCTGGAAGGGCGCGCAACGCCTCGTCGTCGGTCCAACCCGACATCTCCTGGTGTGCGAGGAACCGTCGCTCAAACGCTCCCCAGTTGCCGCCTTCCGCTGAGAATGCTGTTAAAACGGGCAGTCACTGCTGGAACGACAGCTCTGTCCCCGGCTGCCGCTGTTCATTTTTAACGCTGTCGTACAGTGTGGTGGGGGGAATGGCGGCTCCCTCCATTGGTCGCACCACCTCTGATGCAGTGTCTGTTGGTTGCTCCTGACAGCGCCCGTCGGTTGGAGATGACGCGGCGGCCGTTGATTGGTCCATGCTCCCCACGTGGTGTGCCTGGCTTCCGCTGCTGCCAGAACTCTTCTCAGCCATGGCGGCAAATTCAAATTGTGGTGCGGTCCCAGTGGCGGGAACGAGCGTTGGCCGTTGACTCTCTCCGTACTCCTCCGCAACCCCCACTCCTCCCTGAGTTATCTCCTCCAGTATGGAGGCAGCGGCGAGGAGTAACTCGGTGAGGCGGGAGTGATCATCCCGGAGCCCACCCCCCGATGGTGGCGGCGCGTCTGGTGGCTGTGGCGGTTGTTGAACTGTCGGCAGCGTCCCGGCCTCTCTCCTCGAGTTCGGCGGTCTTGCCCCAGCAGAGTCGTCATTTTCCCCAGGTTCCTGCACACGAATCATCCGTCTTGTATCCATCGCGTGTAGTTAGGACTATTTCTGACCCCAGTTGTAGTGGGCACAGTGACGACAAAGACGGTTGAGAAGAGGCAACACGTATTTATTACAGCTTCACACTCAAAGAAGTAATGGCCTCTTCACCCGCTACTCTCCAATCTGACTCGCCTACTCTCAAGGGACTACCTGACCTGGCCCAGCCAAGGCACAGGTCTCGACCACCAGCCACACGAATCCGGCCCTTACAAGGACATCGGCTCCGAGGCTCTGGGCCGCACCACTGGCTTGCTCTGCCCGGCCCATAGAAGGACAGCGGGTCAGAAGAGTCCCAGGGTCTATCTAGCTGGACTTCAGTCTTCAACTGGTTCTTCATCTTCGGCTTGTCCCAACTGAACTCTCTCCCTCAGGGTCTCGCCTTTTATACAATTCCCCACCGAGGGGCGGGGTTATGTGGGATCACACACACCCCCCAGGCCCCTTCCCCCGAGAGGGGCCCTGGCTAGGGATATCACAACCGCCCCGCATAGGTAAGTAATGGGAGTTAACCGGAGCTGGTGTGCGCGCGTTTCAATACCACCACACTAGTAACGAAATTGCACTTTTGATTTACGTGACAAACCTTGCTGATTGTTTGTGTCGGGTGGTGGCGGATTTAGCGACACATATATTTATGCGACCTAACCACCAAAAAACCCCTCTATCAAGGATGATATTGGTCGTGAAATCCTACTGACGTGTTAAGCAGTCTTCGGTGTCTGCATTGTCAAGGATGTGACAGAGCCGGGATATGTTTCTCAGGTGGAAAAACGAGCTTCTCACGATTCTGCTGACATGGGACCAAAAGGATGAAGATTTGTCTAGACGCTCTCTGATATCCTATGGGCCTCTGTCAGTCTATAGGTCTCTATGTGAGTCTGTGGGTATCTGAGTCTATGGGACTCTGTGAGTCGATGAGTCTCTATGCGAGTCTATGGTGCTCCATGTGAACTTATGGGTCTCTATGTGAGTGTATACGCCTCTATGTGAGTCTATGTGAGTCTGTGGGTCTGTGTTTGTCTATGGATCTCTGTGTGAGTCTATGGGTCTCCATGTGAGTCTATGGGCTTGTGTGAATCGGTGGGTCTCTCTATTAGTCTATGCATCTCTATGTGAGTCTATGGGTATGCATGTGAGTCTGCGGGTCTCTGTGTGAGTCTATAGATCTCTGTGTGACTCAGTGGGATCTCGATGTGATTCTATGGACACTCTGTGTGAGTCACTGGTGACCAGGCTGAAAGCATCACCTCCCTGCGCTAGAGACCGCGGTGTGATCTCTGGTGCCCCCAAGCTGATCCGTTGGTTTTCTTCTCTCTCAAGGGACCGTGAAACGGCGCCGGATAGATTTCGAAAAGCCGTTGGCTGACGGTGAGAGGGAAGTAACCCAAGTTAGGGGTTGCCCCTCCACCATCAGGGCGACCTCACGCAGGCAAGGCAGCACCTCCCGGAGAGATGGCGTGGCTTCGGCTGGAGAGGTCAGGCCCAGGAACGATGCTCAGCCCAAGGATGATGCCGGTCCAAAGGGAGACGATGAGATCAAGGAAGGACACGTCAGGAAAGATGTGGACAAGATCGATGATGAGATCGAGATGGATGCTCAGGCTTCGGGGGGAGATGCCAGGATCTCAGCTGAAGATCGCATTTCATTGAAACGGAGTGGTCATGGTGATTGTGAGACTTCAGGTCAAGCTGAGGTGCAGACATCTGGTGAAGACGACATTGACACATCACGTCAAGAGAGGGACACGCAGAGTTACCGCACATTGGTTCTAGGAAATGATTGTGAGACATCTCACGGTGGACACAAGACCGATGGTCAGATCTCGTCTCAAGAAGGTGGACTCAATGTTCAGATGTCATCACAGAAAGGTAGATCCCCAGCTGACGCTACCACGCCACATTCAAAGGGTGGACCTCCGGCTCACAGCGCAGATGAGGCTCCTCACAGTCCAAAGAGCAGGAACCCACAGGGGCCCGGCGCTGACCCCGCACGTGAAGGTGAAGGAGACAGCACATCTAGCGGTTCGTTCGCCAACCCAAGGTATGCAATCAAACGGGCACTTGAGATAAAGTGGGTGTGGTGTCGACATAAGGCACTACCACGAGAGTGCAAGGCTATGCCTATGAATCGTATATTTAAGTGCTGCACTTCACTGTCCTTCATGGCATCTGGTAACCCAAGGCAGCACTGTTCACCTCGCGTTTTATGTTTTGCTCACCACCACCACCACCACACAAAGCTCCCCCGTATAGCCTTTAACAGACTGTCGGGGCAAGACCATTATAGGGAGCAGCGCCTATGAAGGCCGGAATTGCACGCGAGGGAGTGGGGGGCCAGCGCCACGCTCTGCCGCCTTTGTCTCCCCCCGCAGTGCTGATGTTTTTCACGCCAATAAAAGGTGCTCGACCTAGGAGAGGCCCACAACCGTTTCAAATATCCGCCACTTTTGATTGGTCGTGAATTGAAGTTGGGTAGCTGGGTTTGTAGTGCAGTGTGCTAACAGCTGAGCCACCGCTCCCCCCCTCACACACAAAGATCCCCTGCATAGTCTGTTGGGCCAAGTGCTGTTAGCAAGCACCTATGAAGGCTCGCACAGAACACGAGGTGGGTGGCCAACACCATACCCGGCCGCCTTTGTCTCCCCAGTCGTGATGTTTACACACCGCACCAGGGGAGAGGTAGGAGAGTGCGTGGAGGGGAGTAGAGTGAGGTGAGAAGTCGGAGTGTGGATGGAGGCTTCAAGAAGCGAGTTACTGACTGCGGTTGAGTGACGGAGCGAGCGAGCGGACGACCGACTCGACGGGCGATCCTCCTGAGTGAACCGCCATGCGGACCCCCCCCACCCCACCTAACCCCCCCCATCCCCTCTCCTCACCACCACCACGCAGCATGCCGGGAGGCGAGCGAGCCGAGACGATGCGCCTCTACTTCCACGCCGTGCTCTCCAGGGACTTCGGCCCCTTCGACGACGGCAGGGACCGCGTGGTGCTGAGGTCGGCCGACTTGTGCCGTGATCCCACGTGGGATGAGGACGTCATGCAGCTGCACGTGACCGGGTGAGGGCGGCGGCGGCGAGGCCGGGAGCACCGAGGGCAGTTGCCAAGCCTGGGCAATCGGCGTGCGTCCACCTTGGTTAGGTTATTTTGGTTAAGTCATCTTTGGTTAGGTCCATCATGGTTAAGTCACCTTGGTTAGGTTCCACCTTGGTTAGGTTCCACCTTGGTTAGGTCACCTTGGTTAGGTCATCTTGGTTAGGACACCTTGGTTAGTTTGCCCTTGGTTAGGTCCAACTTGGTTAGGTCACCTTGGTTTGGTCACCCTGGTTAGGTCCACCTTGGTTAGGTCATCTTTGTTAGGTCATCTTTGTTAGATCCATCTTGATTAGGTCACCTCGGTTAGGTCTTCTTGGTTAGGTCATCTTGGTTAGGTCAACGCAACGGCTCTGGGGGAGAGGTAGGAGTGTGCATGGAGGGGAGTGAGATAAGAGGGGAGCGGTACTGTAGTGGTTAGCGCGCTGCGCTTTGAACCGGCGACCCCGCTTCGATTCCCACTCACGGCTAACACCAGTGACTGCCATTATCTGAACCGGTTCTGGGCCTCTCCTAGGTCGACTCAGCCTCAAATGAGTACCTGGTGCAGTGTGTTAAAATCATCGCCACTGGGGACACAAAGGCGGCCGGGCGTGGTGCTGCCCACCCACCCCCTCATGTGCCGTGCCGCCGTTCATAAGTGTTCGCTAACAGCACTTGCTCCTACAGACTGTTACAGGCTATACGGCGGAGCTTTGTCTTCATCTTTTTGATGAGAGGGGAGAGTTAGGAGATTGTTTGGAGGGGATTAGAATGAGATGAGAGTGGATAGGTAGGAGAGTGTACGGAGTGGAGTGAGATGAGAGGGGAGAGGCAGGAGAGTGTACGGAGGGGAGTAGAGTGAGATGAGAGGTAGCAGAGAGTGACAGGTGGGAGTGTGGATGGAGGCGAGCGACGTGAGACCGGCTGAACACTCTTCACCCAACTCGTATTATCTCTCTCTCTCCAACCCTTCACCTCATCTCTCCATCCCGCTATCCCAACGCGCATCACCCCCTCCCTCCTTTTCCCTCTTTCTCCTCCTCCCCCTACTCCCCCTCCTCTAGATCCATCGAAGACTTCGGTCTGCTCGTCGACGGCGTGATGGAGGTGAGCGTGAGCACCGTGCACAACAGGCGCATCGCCTACAGGTACGCGCTGCTCAGGGGTGACACGGAAACGCCCGAGTTCATCTGCAAGGCCGACGGCGCGAGAGTCGGTCGCCTGAACCGCAGCATGCAAGTCTGGGACCAGTGTATCCAGCGCAAGGGTGAGTTGTGGGGGGGGGGGGGGGGGGGCGGGTGGTGGGGGGTTTCTTTCTCCTTCGTGTCCGTCATGTGTACCAATGTAGCTGGGGGGCGGCTCAGTGGGTGGGAGGGTGAGTGGGTGTGTTGGTGAATGAATGAGTAGGTGGGTGAGAGAGCGGGTGACGGATTGAGTGGGTGAGTGGGTGGGTGAGCGAGTGGATTACTGAATGATTGGCTGAGTGGTTGGGTTGTTGAGTGGCTGGATGAATGGGTGGGTGAGTGACTGACTGAATGAGTGGGTGGGTGAGTGAGTGACTGAATGAGTGGGAGGGTGAGCGAGTAAGTGACTGAAATAGTGGGTGGGTGGGTGGGCGAGTAAGTTGCTTTAGTGTAACCAGGTGAGAACCCACGAGGCCAGGCCTGAGCCTCATTCTGCCAGGGCGACCTCTTGCCCCCACGTTGTTCATTGACGCTGTGGGGGGGGGGGGGGGTTATCTAAGTCGGCTTCACTCCCCATTCCTCCTCGTCCTCACCCCCGTGAACCCCCTCGCAGAGGACTGGCACCAGTACGACGACCTCATCCGTGCCCCTCCGGCGGGCGGCATCGCCGGGTGGCTGAGGAGCGCGGCGGACAAGGCGAAAGTCGCGAGGGACATGGAGATGGGCAAGCGCATCTCCGGCAGAGTCCACCTCGAGCGCATCCTCGGGTTCGTGCAAGGCTGGACGCGCCCTGGACTCGACGAGTTCCACTCACTCGTGGAGCAGCTCGCGGTCTGCTACAGCGAGGAGTGGGTCCACGAGGGCCACCACAGACCCTGGCATGGCCTGGACTTCGGCCCGCCGCAGGTGATGACCCGCCGGTTCGCCCGCACCCACGCTCGCCGTGCTCCATATCCCCAGCTGGACAGGTTTCTCTGGCACAGTTAATTTCTTTGGCTGCCTCTCCACCCCCTATCGCCGGTATCGCTGTGCTCTATAAGTTTCCCCCCCGCCCAGGCCCCAACAATTATTTCTGTGCTGATGGTTACCAGGAAAACACAACAAATAACGTTCATGAAAAATCGCCGTTCCCCGTTGACTTGCTGCATTGTCAAAACGTAGTCTGGGAACGATTGGCGGCTTAGTGGTTAAATGACGGCGTCACGAGTGGATCGTCACGTCGCCGAGTTGACATCGCTGTGACGATGGCGTCATCAGCGGATCGTGGTGGTGACTACGCGTCACGAGCGTATCGTGACGTCGCCGCCGTGACCACGGCATCACGAGCGTATCGTGACGTCGCCTCGGTGACTACGACTTCACGAGCGGATCGTGACGTTACTGCGGTGACGTCGTTGCGGTGACTATGGCGTGACGTTGTTGTATATGTCGGATTATGTAATTTTTATTAAAATAATACAAATCTATAAAATTTTAAAAAAATACGTAATTCGCGGAAATTATGCTAATGTATGTAATTATATGTATACATTATGATAATCACGGATATAATCGTATTAATGTATACAAATGCTTGTGATTATGTTAATGTGTGCAGTTATGATAATTAGGCTTAGCCTCGTTATCCAGAGTTATATCAATCAGGATAAAACTATTATCTTTGATTAAACATTTATTGATTATCTTAGTGTGTTTATGTTATGTTAGGTCTCCAAATTCATATCTCGACGCAGGATACAGTTCTTATAAATAAGAGTTTTGCATGGACTTGGAAAGAAACACTCAACCACTTTGTTTTAAGCAATTTTAATTCTAAACAAACATATGACACTCTAATATGCAAAGGCAAAAGTATACGTCAATAGATTCATCGGCAAGATTATGCAATTAACGAAAATAAATGACTAAAACACTTCTTATTCATGTAACTCGACAGCAGCAACTGCTTTGCACGATCAGTTGATATTGAACGCACCACCTTGAACTTGCAACCCTTTCGAAAGACAAAGATAACTTTTTTGAAATAGTCTTCTTCGTGTGCGTGTTGTGTGCGAGTTGTATTGTTCCCTTGATAATTATTGTTTTAAGCAGAGGCAGGGCGCTCTGTCTGAGCTTGTGGGGTGGGGGAGGGGTATACAACCAGCGGCCAGAGAGGTTCCCTCTCGCTTAGGCGTGGCCGCAACGAGCCCGTCTCCCGGCTTTCTCTCTCCGCAGCTGGATTGAGCGGCGTTGGCACAATATCCTCGAAGAGGCTCGGTGGCGCTCGGTGGCGCTCGGTGGCACTGACACTCTTGCGTTTCTACCCTTCCTCGCGGCTGATTGCTCGTCAGTGCAACTCTGTCGGCTCATACCGAACTCAGCCCTTAACGACCCCTCCTCGTCCCATCTCCCCTCGGGGCACGGCACCTATGGTTGGTGTTGATGCCTCGGCAAGCCTCCGTCCCAACTCCCTTGCGAGCCTCCCTCGCAACGCCGCGTCGCAAGCCGAGTTACAAGACTGAGCGCGACTTGAACCAGACTGCACTGCGTGATGTGCATTTGTGCTTAAAACCCAAAAACGTGAACCCCTCCCCTCTGCGCATCTCTTGCGAGAGAAACAACAACAGAAAAACAGACGCCCCCGGAATGCCAGGCACAGGCCCCCCCCCCTCGCGACCCTTTGACCCCTCCTCCCCCTGAGTGGGTCATCCCGAGGCCAGACCCCTCCACAGATTTTATGGCTGGCCTGTTTTGGTGCCGAACCGTGGGAAGACAAAGGTGGCTTGGGAGGCTTTGGTTCTATGGGATACATATTATTTTAGTTGTGCATGGTTGACCTATTTTGACTTTCTATTTTTCTGGATGACCGTTGTTCTAATACTTAATAATTATTATTCGGTTTGTGATTTACCACGGTTATTACCACGTGTATTCCTAGAGTTCATTGACGTTTGTTGTCTATCTGTATACAGGGATTGCACTGTTTTACTCGAGTAATATTTTAATGTTCTGAGGTTAAGTGTAACTAAGTTTCTACTTAAGCTTTCTTGACTGCTGGAATTCGTATTCTTTAGTTTTTGGTAAGGTCATGTAGATAGAAAGATACAATACAAAATAATATATATGCGGTGAGTACGAGTAAAATAAGGGGATTACTAATAAAAAGCCCCTATTGTAGGCTGCAGTCATATATCGTTGGTTGGTTCTTTTTGTTGAGTTTCTACTTTTACCGTTGTAATGCGGGCGTAAATGGGCGGGGCGGATATGACGATCCAAGAGGGAGGAGTCAGGGTGACGTGGGGGAGAAGTTATAGCGGGGAGACAGGAAGCTATCTGGGGCAGTCGGGGGAGTGAAGGGTGGTGAACACGTTGGGTGGTCGCCGTGCCTCAGCCTGGTGGCTGAGGGGCTCATGACGGCGCCAGCCAGCGGGGTGGAAGAGAGAGTGGAGGATTGAGGTTGGAGATGGCGAGATAGCCACAGAGGCCACGAAGGGCTGAGGTAGGAGATGGCGAGATAGCCACAGAGGCCACGAAGGGCTGAGGTAGGAGATGGCGAGATAGCCACAGAGGCCACGAAGGGCTGACGTTGGGAGGTGGCGAGATCGCCACGCACGGAGGAACAGGGAGCAGCGATGGAGCTGCTGTGAGAGCAGCCAGAGGGCTGCACCAAGAGCCTGCAGCGGAGCTGCAGGAGCGTGGAAGGCTACGGGAGCGAAGGCAGATGTGGGGCTGCCAGGGAGAGAGTCTCAGGAGGAGTGCCGTGTGGGAAGGAGAACGCGAACCCCAAATAAAGGACACGGAGTCAGAGAGAAGTGTCTGAGTCCTTTTATTACACTGGAGTCAGAAGTGAAACGGCATCTCAAAACAACTGAGAGAAGAAAAAAAAAGAATATTCCTGCGCCATCATCTGCTACATCATCAGACGACGACGGTGGACCTGCCTGCGATGGAAGAGGAGATCCGTGCTGGAACGAGTACGGGTCCGGGTGAGCAAGGTGTCGCCGCGTTGGTGGACCTGTCTGTGCCGGAGGACGCCAACTTACGATGGAGACAGATGGCGGCGCAGATGGAGACCTTGAAAATCGTGCTGGCGCAACTGTGTGAGTTCACCACGCCGAGGACGACGTCGGGGAGGCCCGGTGGTGATCCGTAGGCCTCTGCCTTTCCTGCGCTGCCAGCGCCATCTGCCACGTGGCACGAAAACGCCATCTTGGGCGTGGCAGGGGAGAAACGGCGGGAAGCCGCCATCTTGTCTTCACCGCGGCGGGAGGACGCCGCCATCTTCAACATCGCGGCGGAGAGGCAGCCTTGCGCTGCCATCTGGAGGTGCCGCGGGGTGAGCAGCCTGCTGTGAGCTGCTGTTTTCGAGGGGGTGCTGTGAGGAGAAGACGCCGATGCTGCAGCTGCTGGGGCGGGAGCTTCCCGTCCTGGCTCGGGTGCGTGACAACGGAGCAGTCAAGTCGCCGAACGAGTTCTGCGAGGCGTCTCAAGTTGCCACCCTGCCGTCCTCTTCTTGCTGCAGCCCCGGGCGAGTCGTAACGATACGCACCCGGCCTTAACACACACCTCACCCATCTTTCGAGGGCCGGGGGGCTATTTTGGTTTTCTCTTATGACTCGATTGTGCGGAGCACGGTTCGGACTGTGTGTATGTGTGTGTAATAACGATGAACGCGCTTTCTGCTTGTTGCTTGGTGTCAATATAAGTGTGTGCGTGTGTTGAGAATGGACGGAGAGTCTGCTGTGTTTGCTGAGTGTCAAATAGTGTGTGTGCGCTGCTGCGTGGAGTTGTTATCTTGATGGTGAAGTTAATTATTAACTTGGGAGCGTCGGGTATCCTGTGCTGTACCATCTCGTGGGTTACCGTGCGCGACGGGCTTAATTGAAAGAAAAAAAAAATTTTTTTTTTTGGTGTATTGTGCTGCGAGGTGCTGTGTGCGATGCGGTTGTTGCATGAGAGAGAATAATTGTGTTGTTGCTGCAAAGTTACGACAGGATTAATAGTGTGTTGGTTGCCTGCAGATCTGCTTGCTATTGTGCTTAAATGTACGCGTGTGATCGCGATATGCTGACTGCATGTGCTGTTATACCGTTCTGTATGGTTATGGGGTGCGATGCAGTGGTTGACTATTGGAATTGAGATTGTTATTATATTGTGCGTACCTGTTGGAAATTGGTAACAAATTCGAGGGGGACCCAAATATTTGGTTGTATGGTTGTTGTGCACACGAGATTGCGTGTATATTATAGAGGGGGACCCAAAATTTTGGTTGTATGGGTGTTGTGCACACGAGATTGCGTGTATATTATAGGGGTCATTGAGCTTTTTGAAAATGAGGGTGCGCGATGACGCCGTTGTGGGTGGCTTAGATGTTAATGCTAATGGGATCGTAAATGGGCGCCAAGTGGCGTCGTGTATTGGTTGATTGCATGCAGCCACGAGTTGCTTTGCGAGTTGGGTTGTGTAACTAATGTGGTTGGTAAAATATTGGTTAAAATTCCCCGATATGACTGCTGCGCGCAGCAAGCTGGGGCTGTGCGTCTATCGTTGTTGGGGTTGTTACAATAAGACGGGGGATGCATTTTGTGACCCCCAGCATAGGGAAGCTGGGGTGCACGAATGGAGAAAACTGGCCACGTGTTCGCACGTTGGGCCGCCATTTTGCGCGCACGCGGGGTATGGCGACGATGCGCTTTGCGGAAAGGGCCGCCATTTTGAGTGCGCGCGAGAGATTGCGCGAACGCGCTGGGCGAAGGGGGACGCCATTTTGAGCGCGCGGGATAAACCGAGGTGGGGCAAATATTCCATCTGTTATGCCTGCCATTGTTGATTGGGTGATGCACGAGTTGTGGTCACATCGGCCTATGGCTGATGGCTGACCTGACAGCCCGGAGGCGAAACCTCCGTGGTATGTCTTAAACTAATGGGCCATGTGCTCATATGGCTCGGGGAGTCATGGTTCAGTTGTGCGGTGGCAGACTGTACCTGGTGTGCCGGGGGCTCACGGGATCTGGGTTAGGGTGTTATTGTCTCTATGAGAGAACATTGCCCCGTGGGGGGAGTCCATGGGGTCTGGCATTGCTGGGGGATGAACCTTCCCTGGGCTATAAAGCATCGGACTATACGAGGCTGGTGTGTGTCCATCTCTGATGGGATAGTAAGGGAGGAGCATGGCCGAGTTGCTGCTCATCCCCGAAATTGCACTAGCTGAGAGTATGGTCAGTGGATGTTGCTGTGGGTTGACGACCACGGTGGGGGTTAGGGCGAGTTAAACGTTACCGCTGGGGAGCGTGGCTCTCTCCACGCGAGGGTGTGTGATTAGGTGTTTCGTTGGGTTGCTGAGAGTGACCGTGGGTACATGCTGTGTACGTGCGATGTCTGTGCTGGTCCTCAAGGGAGGACTGCTGGTGGGCAAGAGCAGGAAATTTTGTTGTTATTGTTGTTACGTGTAAATAATATTGTTGTTAAAATGTAAATACTGGGGCATCGATCGCGGTTAATTTGGGTAATTATTGGGGTTTTTTTTTTTAAGCGGGCCGGATTTACATCATCTCCACTACCCTGAGGCCGGGTGGCTGTCGTGTACGACATGCGGATGTGCGTTGTTGTGCTGTGCCTCAGGGGATTGGATTCTCCTTCTCGTCACAGATTCTTCAGCTCCCGTCGCACTGGGTGTTACCTGGTGTGCTAGCTGGATGAGGACTTGAAGGAGCAATTGAGCGCCGTTCGTCATTCCTGCTCTACCACTTTCTCTTTGACGTTGGACTTGAGCCGAGCGGATGGAACTGCAACATGGACACGCACTAAAACATCACATTTCTGGGTTGTGCGCGTTGGCCGTTCTTGCGTGTCAGTTGCCGTTGTTGTTCATTGTGCCATTCTTATTCTTGTTGTTGTTGCGCGGAGGACAGGCCGGTGTTCTGTTCCAGTTCCTGATACCTCCCCTTTCGTTGCTTGTGTTGTTGTTGTTATAATCTCCGTTGTGTCTGGGGGACTCCTGATTGTGATGCCTTCGCCCGCATTATTTTGTTCTGTTTCAGCCGAGGACGGCTGGAATTTTCTCTACGGGGGAGGGTAGTGTAATGCGGGCGTAAATGGGCGGGGCGGATATGACGATCCAAGAGGGAGGAGTCAGGGTGACGTGGGGGAGAAGTTATAGCGGGGAGACAGGAAGCTATCTGGGGCAGTCGGGGGAGTGAAGGGTGGTGAACACGTTGGGTGGTCGCCGTGCCTCAGCCTGGTGGCTGAGGGGCTCATGACGGCGCCAGCCAGCGGGGTGGAAGAGAGAGTGGAGGATTGAGGTTGGAGATGGCGAGATAGCCACAGAGGCCACGAAGGGCTGAGGTAGGAGATGGCGAGATAGCCACAGAGGCCACGAAGGGCTGAGGTAGGAGATGGCGAGATAGCCACAGAGGCCACGAAGGGCTGACGTTGGGAGGTGGCGAGATCGCCACGCACGGAGGAACAGGGAGCAGCGATGGAGCTGCTGTGAGAGCAGCCAGAGGGCTGCACCAAGAGCCTGCAGCGGAGCTGCAGGAGCGTGGAAGGCTACGGGAGCGAAGGCAGATGTGGGGCTGCCAGGGAGAGAGTCTCAGGAGGAGTGCCGTGTGGGAAGGAGAATGCGAACCCCAAATAAAGGACACGGAGTCAGAGAGAAGTGTCTGAGTCCTTTTATTACACCGTTAAGGAAAATCGTTAAAGAAAACGCGAGTTGTACAGTTGTTTTTTCCTGCTCTGCACGTTATCCGTGCATCTCCAGACATCTTGGGAATGTTAGGCCATCGACCTTTCGTCCATCTGGATATCTCTAGATAGTTTCTGACCTCTCTTTGCTCCGAAGTCTTGCCGTTTAATGGCATTCCACGTTTTTTCAAATGCCTGGTGTGGCATGTGAGGAGTAGCGGGTTGTTTTCATTATTTAATTTAAAAAATATATATATATATATATGTTGGCCTAATTATTCTTAATATAAATTTTTGGAAAAAGGGGCATAAATACAACAACGTGACAGCCCACTTCCCGCCCCCTGTCCCCCCCAATCACGTGCGTGGCAGGTCGACAAACTGGTGAGCGAGCTGGTGGTGAGGATCCTGCGGCCGCACTCCGAGTTTCGCTCCGATCCGTCGTGCCGTCCCTCCGTCGCATCCAGGGAGCAGTCGGCCCTCTTGGCCGCGAGCCTCCTGCATCTGCGCGACGTTCCGGTGCCCGCCGAGTGGCTGTCGATCGCGTGCCGCCTACTGGCGCCGCTGCCGCCACGCGCCAGCTGTATTGAGCAGAGCAGGGCGAGCGTCCAGGCGACGTGCGCCAAGCTGCGCATCCACCCTAGGTGAGTGGTGGTGGGTGGTGGTGGTTGGTCGTGATTGGTATCGGTTGGTGGTGGTTGGTAGTGCTTGGTGGTTGGTGGTTGGTGGTGGTTGTTAGTGGTGGTTGGTGGTGTTTGGTTGGTGGTTGGTGGTGGTTAGTGGTGGTTGTCGGTAGTGGTTGGTAGTTGGTGGTGGTTGGTGGTGGTGGTTAGAGGTGCTCCTGCTGCTGCTGGCACCGAGTAGTGGGGAGTGGTAGTGTAGTGGTTAGCGTGCTGCAATATTAAGCTTAGCAAATTTTTTTTCAGGTAAGGCCCACTATATAAGCAGCAGCCAAATGTGGAGAGGAAAACCGGAGGACCCGGAGAAAAATCCACAAGATCACGCCACAGTGACTCCATTTACGCCACTACATTTGAATGTAGGGGGAGCGGTGCTGTCGCAGTTAACGCGTTGCGCTACAAACCCGACTACCCGAGTTCGATTCCCACTCCTGTATACCAGGCGAGGTAGTTAACATCTAGCCACCGTGATGATGATGAGAGAGAGAGACACGCAGACTCCAAACATACAGCAGGCGTCAGGGTCGGGATCGAATCCATGACCTCCTGTATACCAAGCAAGGTAGTTAACATCTCCTAGCCACCGTGTTGATGAGAGAGAGAGAGAAAGATGCAAACTCCAAATATACAGCAGGCGTCTGGGTCGGGAGCGATCCCACGACCTCCTGTATACCAGGCGAGGCAGCTAACATCTCTTAGCCACCGTGATGTTGATGAGAGAGAGAGACACGCAAACTCCAAACATACAGCATGTGTCAGGGTCGGGATCGAACCCACGACCTCTATACTCTTTGGTTCTTTTGGTAAAGTCACGTAGGTAGAAATAAAATAAAACTAATCACGACGTTTCAATCGCAACACAAGCAATCTTCATCAGGTGGAACAACCACAGCAAGAAAAATTGCTGAAGTAGGCGAGAGAGCTGCCGTGGCAAGCGTTTATATAGGTAAGAAAAGGGGGAGGAGCAAGGGGGCAGAGAGAGGGGGGGGGGGGGTGTGGAGCAGGGGAAGGGGGGGGGCTGCGTGAGCGCTAGGGGGGGAAGAAGTGACCCTGGGGGGCATGTAGGCGGGGCTAGAAGTGAGAAGCTGAGTGTGGGACACGGGGGGAAGTTACTCGGAAAAATAGACTAGTATCAATGAGTGTACGGCAACGTGTACGGCAACACGTTGCCGTACACTCATTAATATGCTAATTTTCTCTGCCCCCTCCCTCTCTCCGTCCCCGCCCCCCCACTCTATATTTAAGGGACCGTCACAGAAACGACCCCTCTCTCTGTGCCGATATTTGTCCTCTCTCTGTGTGTCCTTGTGATGTCTGTCTGCTTATGTCTGTCTATAGTTTTCTATTTCGATTTTTATTGCTATTTCTTTTATGCCTGATGATGATTGCTTGTGTTGCAATCGAAACGTCGCTATTATTTTAATTTATTATTTTATTTTTAGACGTGACTTAACCGAAAGAACCAAAGAATAATTCCTGCAGTCACGAAAGCTCCAAATTAAGATTGAACCACTTCTACGGGGAAGTTTTAAGCTTATCTTTTTTCTCTCTCTGGCTATTTGTTCTCTCTGCCTGTGTCCTCTCTTTTGGAATGTTCACACTTAAATTCTAACTTAGCAATCTTTGAAATATGTAATCAACCAGGCTATGCGTTAATTGTGTGTTGACCGACTCTCTGTGTTGTGTTACATCACATTTCGATATTTTGCGAGGTTATTTAATTTTAGTGTGCCTTTCTCCTAATTTTCAAGCTTGTGTGCCGCGCCACGTCGTCATCTTACTTGCGCAGCAGCAACACGTTGCCGTACACTCATTGATATGCTAATTTTCTCTGCCCCCTCCCTCTCTCCGTCCCCGCCCCCCCACTCTATATTTAAGGGACCGTCACAGAAACGACCCCTCTCTCTGTGCCGATATTTGTCCTCTCTCTGTGTGTCCTTGTGATGTCTGTCTGCTTATGTCTGTCTATAGTTTTCTATTTCGATTTTTATTGCTATTTCTTTTATGCCTGATGATGATTGCTTGTGTTGCAATCGAAACGTCGCTATTATTTTAATTTATTATTTTATTTTTAGACGTGACTTAACCGAAAGAACCAAAGAATAACCACAAACAGTTAAGGCTTTACCTGGTTAATAACATCCTTCCAATGTATTCTTGGTTCTTTCGGTAAAGTCACGTAGAAGGAAAATAATAAAATTGTATTAATTTATGTTTAATATTTTTTGTATTGTATTATTTCCCTTCTACGTGACTTTACCGAAAGAACCAAGAATATGAATCCCTGCAGTCACGAAAGCTTTAAATAAAAAAATAATATCCTTCCAATGATTGCTTAATTTGTATCCATCTTCTCGTTTGAAGTTATGTCTATATATCTGATGGCTTCATGAACAAACCGTTGATAGTTGCCCGAAGGTTTACAGAGTACCTTGGTCTCGGAAAAAAACAATATCATGCGAGCCCACAGCGTTATAACAATGGTCAGCCACGGCATAGGTATTGGTTCTGCCGTGTTTCAGATCTGCCTTGTTTTCGTGAACACGGTCCGAGACATGTTGTTTCGTTTCCTTAATGTAACTGCTACCGCAGGTACAACTCAGTTTGTAGACTCTAGGATATTGCATGTCTTTCACAGATGGGATTAGATCACGGATTTTGTGTACTGTATTGAATCGGACCTAGATCTCCCTAATACCAGGCGAGGGAGTTAACATTTCCCGCTCACGGCCACCAACACTAGTGACGATTATCTGAACCGGTTCTAGGCCTCCCCGAGGTCGACTCAGCCACAAATGAGTACCTGGTGCAATGTATAAACATCGCCACTGGGGAGACAAAGGCGGCCAGGCGTGGTGCTGGCCACCCATGCCTTCGCATGCCGTGCCACCCTTCATAGGAGCTGCTACTCGCTAACAGCGCTTGCCCACGAAATTCGATTCAGCCAATACGGATGATCTTTGTCTTCGTACTCCTGGTGGTGGTCTTGGTGGTAGGTGGAAACACTCTCTCCCGTCCATCTACGACCCGCATGCTGACGAACGTGAACGAATCTCGCTCATCAGACCCGCAACACCGACGCTGGGCCCACAGACCCCCCCCCCCCCCCAAAAAACTTGGCCTCTGTCGGTCCCCAACTCCGGTGTTTGTCCGCATCGCTCGGCGAGTCCAACGCTCGCCCGCGGGTTCGTTACGAAATTCCACGCCGTGTGCGCGTGCCCGCTCGCGTCCACAGCCCGGCTCGCCCCCCTTTCCCCACACGGTGCGAGATGCGCGTAGGCGGGCGTCGAGGACCCATCATGGCACAAGGAGGCAAAGCAATGGGACCTTAGTCTGCTGGCGATACAAGACGCTGGACCGATACTGAATACAACTACCGCGTGTTAATTATGGAAGGGATGTCAGGGGAAGGATTCCCACCAATAGGAGCGGGAGTGGGACGGTAGGAGCAAGCGAGGAGATAGAAGTGAGAACGGGTGGGAAGAGGGGATCTTGGAAGGAACGAGATTGAGACGGCTGGGGACACGTGTGGACTGGAGGAAAGGAATAAAAGTCGAACCCCCTGCAACCTTGTGTCGGCTTACCTTTACAATTACATGGACATCCCACCACTACACACCCCCCCACCCCCCAACATCCAACCGCCCATCCTACCCCACCCAGGCCTGTCGCCGTGCTGGTCGGCCTCTGCGCACGCTGCATCGCGGCCGGGGTCGTCGACTGGCTCCTGACTCTGCCTGTGCTCCACTTGCTGAGGGGGCACGTGGAGCCCTTTGGCCCCGTCGTGAAGGAGGAGGAGGAGGAACAGCAGGAGGACATCTGGGCCGGGCTTGAGGGCATCCCGTACGTCGACACGAGGAATCACATCCGCCAAGACGAGGAGGGCAAGCGGTAGGTGCTGCGACCACGTTGGGCGAGCGACCACATTGGCGACGGCACGGAGAGAGAGCGAGAGAGCGAGGGGTGTTTGAATGAATTTCGATGGGCGGCAAGGTCTGCGGTGACGGTGTCGGTTTCTCGAGAGAGCGAGCGGGCGAGAGAGAGAGACTTTCGACTTTTAAACAACTTTTATTGCTGCCAGAAGCAACAGCTGTGGAGCCCTCCCCATGGGCTCACCGTGGCCCCGCCCCCCCACCACGCCACCGACCCCCAACCACCCGCGCCCCTCATCCCCAGGCGACTGGTGGAGCTGCTGGTGGAGCACTCGTTCCTGCTCGACATGGATCGGCTGCTGTCTCGGAGCGTGCTGTGCGTGATGCCCTCCTCCGGCGTGGCGGCCATCGTGGACGTTCTGCCGCTGGTGCCCCTGGACGTCGTGCGGACGGCCTGCTACCGCCTGCGCGTCTTCTCGTGCAGGAGACCCACCAAGGCTGAGGAACAAGTGAGGAGATGAGCTCACTTCCTCCTTCACCAACTCACTCACTCTCTCCCTCCCTGACCCGCTCCCTCATTCCCCCACTCGCCCACTCTCGCATTGGCAATATGTATTTCGTTATCATCGGCCATGATCAATCAACTGCTGGATGAAGGCTTCCCCAAGCTGCTGCCACCCGTTCGTGAGCCTGTGGTCTTGCGGCAATGTGCCTCATGGCTGCACACACGCAAACCGATTCCATCACTCCGTCTCCCGGGTCGGACTTCCTCTCCGGACGCGTTCCATTCCCTGGCTGCCATTCCATTCGCGTGGCCGTAGGCCACGCGAATGGATCCACGTGCTCGTTTTTCCGTCTCTTTGTGCAATTTTATGTCTCTTTGTGCAATTTTATGTAAATGTCACGAAATTATTTTATTAAATAAACTATTATTTTTATTAACAGGTAAGGGGCTCACTGAGCTGCTACGTAGATAATTATTTCACAAGCGACCTGGCCATCACAAATAACAGCTGGACAAATTGGCATCATCATCGCCGTCGCGTGGACATTTCTAGCAGCAGCCAAATACTTCGATTTTAATTGTGGAGAAAAATCCACGGAACATACAGCAGGCATCGTCAGGTTTGGGATCGGAACCCACCGATCTCCTGTACACCGGGCGAGGCAGTTCCTCGCCACCGTGGCTCTCCGTCTCCCGAGTTGGAGGATCTTGAGTTCGCGCTGGGGTCAGGCGGGACCATGGGCTGATCAGCAGCGTGATGGCGCTAGTGAATGGTAGCTGGCGGTTGCAGGTGCACTCCCGGAGCTGCTTTGGGGGGCCCTGTGCCCCAACGCTTTGAGGGGCCCCGCGCTTTGGGGGGCCCAGCGCGTGGACATCACGGCGTCAGATGCAATATTTCCGGTTTAGTTTAAAGGCGTCGTGATGGTGGGTGGGGGGGATCCACGTGGTTTTCTCGACGACACCCCCCCCCCCCCCACTAGAGACAGCGGTGTGCGCTCCGATCGTGGTTCTCCCACCCTCATTCTTGTTCGTCGTTGTGGCTTGGGGACCACGCGCCCCCTGCTGGACATCTGTGGCAGGCGAGGGGAAAAAAATAGCTTTGCTGCTCATGGGATTCCTCCTGCACCCATTTGTGTGCTCACTGTACTAACATGGAACGTATGCACCGTTATAACGAGGAATGCGTGCACCGCTATAATGGCGCGCCCCATCTGCGTTCCAACGGCGCACGCGTTCCGCGTTGCGTGCGAAACGCATCGTCAGTGTGAGCGCCGCAGCACGTGCAAGCGGCGGCTCGCCGTACAGTGACGTCACAACCCAAGCGGATAATGCGCCCGTGCACGCGGTTCTCTTTACTCGCAGGCCCTCGTGGAAACGCTACAGAGTGCCACGAGTTCGATCGAGAGCACTCGGAGGAAGAGGTAAGGAAGCGGACAATTTAAAACCACATGGTGCTACTGGCCATGACATTTCCCGATATGTATGTTTGATCCTCAACGTTCATTCGGTCCTCACCCCTGCGCTACCGTGTCGCTCGGCTCAACCGCACAGTGCAAGAAAGTAGTTCGTTGTCATCTGTTCTAAAGAACTCACTATAACGGAGTCCGTTACGCGTTACAACGGTGTGTGCGCGTTCCGCGTTGTGCAGAAAAGTGTTCCAAAATGTAAGAACCGCCACCGTACGGTGGCTCCGTCATCGTTTATGTATCCCCGATGGCCACTTCTATACCTGATGTTGTCGGGCTGTGTCCGGGTACCCTCGTCCTCCCACGGCGTATCTCCGGGAATAGGTCGCCAGGGCTGGGAGGCGACGGCGTGGCCGTGCTGGAGCAGTCGACACGTGCCGTAGAGCTCACCTGCGCGGTGGCCCACACCTCCGCGGAGATCCTGCTCGGCAGCCTGAGGCTGCTTCGGGCCAGCGTGGACGCGGCAGGACTTGAGTCCGCCAGTCGCCCGCAGGCACCATCACAGCCATCGCCGTCACCGCCGCCACCACCGCCAAGAACACCGTTTCAAAACCAGGTATAACAGCGTGAATAAATAGGTGTTGGTGTTTGCGCCTTTCTGGCAATAATAAAACAGGAGTTGTTGTAGATGTTAAAACACCAAATCTAAACCTTTTGCAAGGAATCGTGTCTGCGTTGACCACACATGGTACTTGTGGTAAACATGCAACCAAAAATACGCTCTGATATTATATGGGCATTGTCTTTGAAACTGATTGGTCTACACCAGAGACAGCCTTCTTTAGGGCCTAGTCTCACCACCAGTGTCAAACCAGAGATTGCCAAAAGGCGAACGTTACCAAGACAATGCACGTATCAGAGCAGCTACAAAATGGGACCTTTTTTGGCAGTATCAAATTATGAAAAAATAAGAACAGGTTTTGACCTTTGGCAATCAAATAGTTACTGCTAGGGGCAGGAGGTGAGACAGCCGAGGGCTTGGTCCCGCCATCAGTGTATCATCATCATCATAATTGTCAAATTGTCGGCCGGGCGCTCCCCCCGAGGTTTTTTTTGTTCTTCCACAGACGCAGGATGGCTCCGGGGGGCCAACGGCCGACCCCCAGGGCCCCGTCGGGGAGCCAGCGGTGCGGGCCTGCTGGGAGGCCCTGGAGCGGGTGGCGCTGTGCGTCACCACCCTGCTGCCCGACCGTCTGCTGGTGCCGCAAAGCGCCAATGCTGCACTGCAGGAGCCGCTCGAGCTGGAGGTGCCTCTGGGGTTCATTTCGTTTCCCCCTTTTTTCTTTTTTTCCCCACTGGCAAAGACGAGCCGAGCCAACACGGGACCTCTAACGTCATTGATTGACACGTTACCCCCTACCACTCCCGAGCTGATCCAAGCCAACACATCAATTGATACATCACACCCTTAATTTTTCCACTACCACACCCGAGTCAAGCCAAGCCACCACATCGATTGATACGTTACTACCTTTATTTTTTTCCACTACACACCCGAGCTGAGCCAAGACACCACATCGATTGATACGTTACTCCCTTTATTTTTTCCACTACCATATCCGAGCTGAGCCAAGCCACCACATTGATTGATACGTTATTCCCTATATTTTTTCCTCTAAGACACCCGAGCCGAGCCAAGCCACTGCATCGATTGATACGTTTCCCCCATTATTTTTTCCACTTGCACAACCGCCAAGCCAGGATGCTTACACTAACGTCATAACGGGTGGTTTATCCGCCGGCCGCTTTTCGTACTGAGCCGTGAACCAAACAAGGCGACTGAATTCTGACCAAGTAAGACTTTATTGGTCACCCCGTGTCCCTTATAAATCTCAACGTTCATCCTAAAAAGTCCCATTACAAGGGAGAAACACAAACAAATAGACACATTTTTTTTGTGCCCGTATTGAAACGGCTGTTCACCGAATGGACCTGAAAATTATATTTCCCTGTACAAGAATGTTGGGTTAAACCGTACGGGTTGAAAGGCCTAAATAATTTCGAGCCGAGCTACAGAATCATAACTGATTGTCTTCGATTGTAATCCCCGAGTAAAAAAAAAACTGCTTAAATGATGACGGGAATGATTCGAACCCAGGATCGCGGGCGTGCCAGCTCGGAACCACTGACCTCCGAGCCACCCCGGACCACCTACCAACCCGGAAATCCAAGTTCGAGTCCAGCTCACGGCCGCCACCAACACCGGCGACGATTATCTGAAACCAGTCCTGGGGGGCCCTCCCCTAGGTCGACTCGGCCTCAAATGAGTTGCCTGCCACGGTGCGGAAACATCACCAGGCAGTGCCGGATGAAGCTAGTGCTGGGCTTGTAGCATATGTAATAAAGGGGCCCTAAATAAATAAATCACGTAAATATTAAACACACATTTTTTGTTCTTGGTTCTTTCGGTAAAGTCACGTAGAAGGGAAACAATAAAATAATAAAAATATAAAACAATACAATTCTCACGACGTTTCGACTGCAACACAAGCAATCATCAGATGTGAAAAACACAGCAAGAACATTTGAAGAAAGTGGCGGTTTTTTCTGAACGTTAAGGAAAAACCGTGCAGTCACGAAAGCTTTAAATCAAAATTTACGCATTTTTTACTTGGACAATAATTGTAATTTCTTCATTTTCTATAGAGCCAGATAATACGAAAAATCGCTAACTTTAAACTCCCGGTCGTTCATAAAAGCTGAAGGCGGTAAAAGTCCTAAAGTAATAGTGCAAGTGCAAAATCACTGAACTGGAATTGTTAGCTTGAAAGCAGTTATCGCGGGGCCCTTGAAAGTGCGGGGCCTGTAGCTACAACATATGTAGCTATTACATATGTAATAAACGACTCGACCACGATATCTGGCTCGGTGTCCTTTATTTGGTTCGGTTTCTGTTTCCCACACGGCTGTCCTTTATTTGGTTCTTTCCACACGGTGCCGACTCCGCTGTCGCTCCCGTCACCGCCAACAGCCCCGCTGTTGGTCTCCGTCGCTCCCGTAGCTCCTTAGCAGCCCCGCTGCTGTCACCCTCACGCAGCCCCTCCGGCTGTGCTCGCTGCAGCCTCCTCTCTGGGTCACTCCCGTAGACTCTGACAGCCTCGTTGCTGTCTCTCTCTGTCGCTCCCGTAGCTCCTGGCAGCCTCACCGCTGCCTCCCTTACACAGCCTCCCTGGCTGTACTCGCTGCAGCTTCACTCCCTCCAGTAGCCCACTACTGTCTCCGGGGTTGGCCACCGCGGGCCGACGGTGCCACCCCTCCTTGGTTCGCCCGGCGTGGCCTCACTCTTTTCCAGTCTTCCACCAACTGCTTTCTCCTTCCGGTTTCACCGCTTAAGGACCCGAACCTTCCTCCCACGTCACATGACTCCACCTCCCCGTGACGTCACATCCGGAAGGTCGCTTACGCCCGCATTACACCACCCTCCCCCGTAGAGAAAAACCCATCCGACCTCGGCTGAACAATACCAAACCGTAATGCGGTGAACCGACCTTCCACACCAAGAACACCAAGCATGCAATATAACAGTAAGAACAACAACAAAAAGTAACATCAACGAACGTACGAGAAGCATGCAATAAATACGCCAGTAAGAACAAGAGCAACAACACAACACAACAATCAACGAAACGTAAGAGATTTAGAACGTGTGCGGGTCGCCGGCCCGTCCCGGACGGTCGGCGGCCCACCCGCAGAACGGGAACGTGATGGAGTTTGAGGAGTGACAGGGCGTAATCCTCCTGTCGCTGTTGGAAGTCCACCAACGTCCCGTGTCCCTGAAGGATTAGTCTCGGGCGTGTCCCGCGAATGTGCTTGCAGCGGGGTCGGAAGGGCTGCAGGGCTCGAAGTTCCCGCAGACCTGGCAGGCGCCCTCCGAGCAGGGCCCCTCGTCACCCTCGGTGTCACGGCCGGTCTGCCTGGAACAGGTACGGCAGGCGCTCTAGCAAGATCAATGGACGCAGGCAGGGGAGAGTCGGCAGCAACAGACCCCGGCAAGGCAACATTGGGAGATGACGCATCATGTAGGGGAGCAACATATGGTTTCAAGCGCGACGTATGAACAAACCAGCGGCGAGATCCAATTTGAACGCGCGCTGACTGTGGGTTGGGAACCTCGATGAGGCGGACGGGCCCTCGCCAAGGTTTGTGCAATTTAGGAGAGGTTCCCGGCCGTACTTGCGGACAATGGAGCCAGGCCAGGTCCCCAACCTTCCAGGGGCACTCCCCCCTGGAACGTCGAGCATACCGCTCGTTCCTGACCTGGGCTTTGGCCGTAGCCACGCGGGCATTCTCCCGCGCCTCCGTGACCCGGCGAACCGTATCATGAATGTACTCAGGGAGTGGTTTACGAGGTCCTCTCACCCCGGTTCCCAATTGCACATCCATCGGCGGCACGTTTTCCCGACCATACATAAGGTAAAACGGCGAATAACCTGTAGCCGCATGAGGCGTCATCCGGTACGCCGAAAGCACCCCAGGGATGTGCAGATCCCAATCTGATTGTTGTTCACTCACAGTATGGCAAAGCATGGCAGACAATGTCCTGTTTAGCCACTCAACCATACCATCTGTCTGCGGATGGTATGGGGATGTCCGTACTTTCTTAGTCCCAAGGCCCGCGCACACTTCCGCCAATAATTTAGAAGATAAATTTCGGCCCTGGTCCGTGAGGAGTCTCTCAGGCGCCCCCTTGTCCATAATGTACCCAAACAAAAAGGCGTCGGTAATGGCCGCGGCCGACTGGTCGGGCAACGGCCAGGCCATCGGCCAACGGGAGAGGTACTCAACCCCAACCAGCAAATATTTATTACCCCTCGCCGATGGTGGGAAAGGTCCCAATATGTCCAGTGCCACCAATTCATTAACCCGAGACACCTGTATTGACTGGATAGGCGGCACGTAAGGATGTTTAGGCGGCTTACGTCGGGCGCAATCAGGGCACGCGCGCACGTGCCCTACGACATCTGTCGCCATGCCGTGCCAAAAATAATGACGTTGCAACGTCAACAAGGTCTTCTGCACACCTAGATGTAAGAGCGTGTCACAATGGAGAGTTCTAATCAACTCGTATCGCAGGGACGTTGGTACCACCAGACGCCAGTGTTCCTGGAACCCTTCCCTCCACATAAGCAGACCATCTCGGAGAGCGGTTTCCGGCCCCACAGCCGTACTCTAAATCCCATTATCCCCCGCAGACCGCTTCCGCAAGGACAACAACGACTCATCCATCATCTGTTCCCGAATCCACACAGACCGCGGCAGATTCAAAACCCCGTCAGTTGGTCCCGGTTCCATCGGAGCATCCGACTTCTCGACGGCCAACGCAAGCGGCTGAGGGGGGGGGGTAGAATCGGTGAACACCTATGCGTCCCTGACGCACATTTGCAAGGGGCGCCGCAGCAATCTGGAAAGTGCGTCTGCGTTCGCATGGCGCACCCCCTTCCGATGGTGAATTTGGAAGGAAAATTCCTGCAGCGTGTCCAACCAACGCGCCAACTGGCCGGATGGCTGGTCCATTTTAAGTGCATATTGCAAGGCCGCATGATCCGTACGCACAATAAAATAACGACCGTAAAGGTACGGTCGAAATTGCCGCAGGAAAAAAACAACAGCCAGAAGTTCCCTGCGAGTGACACAGTAGCGGGTTTCCGCGGGAGACAAGACCCGGCTACCATACGCCACGACGCGCTCTACACCCCCTTTAGACTGAGATAATACCGCACCAATACCTGTGTCACTCGCATCCGTATCAAGAATGAATGGGTGATCAAAATCGGGATAATCCAATGTAGGGGCCGTAGCCAATAGATCGCGCAGACTCCGAAAGGCCGCCTCTTCCGGCTGTCCCCAAGCAAACTTCCGTCCTTTACCCGTAAGGAGATGCAAGGGCCTCGCGATTGTCGCAAAATTCGGCACAAATCTTCGATAATACGAGGCAAATCCCAAAAACCGGCGAACATCCCCCACGGTGGCCGGAGTTGGCCAATCCCGGACGCACGCCGTCTTTTCCGGATCCGTGGACACCCCCTCAGCACTCACAATGTGCCCCAAATAATGGACGGACCGTTGCAGCAGGTGGCATTTCTTTGGTTTGAATTTCAAATTCGCAGAGCGCATCCTTGTGAACACTGTCTCCAGCCGCTTTAAATGTTCATCAAATGTGCGGCTGAAGACAATAATATCGTCCAAATATATAAGACATGTCTCCCACTGCAACCCCGTCAAAACGAGCTCCATCAACCTTTGAAATGTAGCAGGGGCCGCATTCAATCCCATCGGAAGGCAGTTAAATTGAAATAACCCTTGCGGCGTACGGAATGCGGTTTTCTCCCGTGAGGACTCATCAAGGAGAAGCTGCCAAAATCCCGAAGAGAGGTCCAGTGTAGAAAAGAACTTAGCCCCCGACAATGCATCAAGGGAGTCGTCCATACGCGGCAGGGGGTACGCATCTGCCACCGATATCTTATTCAATTTCCGGAAATCAACACAAAATCGCAATTTGCCATCCTTTTTCTTAACCAAAACTACAGGAGCGCCCCATGGGCTGTTAGATGGTGATATAATGTCTGCAGCCAACATGTCTTTCACTGCCCCCCGAACGTGTTCTCGCGCAGCAGGACTCATCCGATGCGAATTCAATCGAATAGGGGCAGCGTCGCCCGTATCAATATGATGGTAAAGCAACGAGGTGCGCCCCAAATCCAAATCATCGGAGCTGAACACATCCGAATACGTCAATAACAATTTACGAACCGCACCACGTTGATCCATGGACAGGGAAGAATTTCCGTCACATAAGTCAGCAATCCATCGATTATCCGAACCCCTTGGCTCGGAAACACCAGCAACCACTCCCTGGCTATGCAGACAATCCTGAGTCGCAAATCCCGTAGTGGCATGTGCCACAACCGTTCCAGCCGGAACACGGACGCTTTCCACACCCGCATTAAGCACCTGTAAAAACGGTAATTGATCCGGCCGGACGATGGTCTGTGCCCCAACTAACGCCAACCCGGTTGTTATCGTGGCGGACGGTGACAACAAGACCCCAACTGCTCCTAGCCGATCAGGCAGGGGCTTCCGATACCGCAAGGGAATAAGCATCTGTGAGCCAGGTGGGATGTCCACAGATGCGACGGACAGCGCCTGCACTTGTACGGCCGAAGCAGGTCGCCCCCAGGGCGACGGCAGAAACGAGATTTGACGGCCACCCGGCAATTCAATACAATTCTCAATAATTTTGATCAAAATGGGCATCCTAGCCAAAAAATCGGTGCCTAATAAACAAGGAACCGCCAAAGATCTTGAGATTAACACAATGCCCGAGGCCGACACATCCCCGGTAGATATTTTAGCGTCCACCTGGCCCACGATACCCATGCTACCCCCGTTCGCAGCGACGCACGACCCGTAAACCGGACGCACGGCCCCCGGTGGGATGCCCAACAGATGGAAAATGACATCCGATATAATAGTCGCGGACGCTCCGGAGTCGACCAAAATGCGCACGTCCACCCCTTGTATAGACCCCGGTACAGTGGACGAACCCGTAGCGGCCGCGACGACTCTCCGTGCCAATTTGCGCCACTGCGTCACCGAGCGACAAGGCCCCGTCGATGGCCTTTCTTTAACAACAACATTAGGATCGCACAACGAAGGTAATGGGTGAGGTGCAAAGCCTTGCCGGGTGTCTGGTGCGTGCCGACTTGCCTGTTTCGGAGGTTCTTTGGTCGGCTTGTCTGTTGATGAGGCCTCCTGCTGCGGCGGACCCGGGACGCGGGCCCAGCAGTCCTTGGCGTAGTGGCCCCTACGGCCGCAGCGGAAGCAGTCGACATCGTTGCGCCGAAGCGCAGGCCTTGCATCCCGACGGCCCCGTACCGGTAGTGTAGCGCGCGGGCCCGGCCCACCGCGTCCCAACCATGGAGCAGAGGCGGCCGTCAGCTCCTGAGGGCCCCTCTCATCCGGCACGTAGACCGCCTTCGTAGGGTCCCAACCCAGAGCGCCACCCTCTGCGACGGGCCCCCCCGTCCACGCCGCAACTTGCTTCCACCGACGGAGGTTAAACTGCGCATCCAGACATTTAGCTGCCGCCCGGGAAGTGAGCTTCTCATGCCCACACACAGGCATGGGGATCCCCAGATCCCGAGACAGCTCAAGCATTTTACCTAAGATGAGAGGCTCGAGCAGGTCCGGTGGCGTCTCTGGATATGCTGCCATGGCCAGCTCCAGCACCGCACCCCTGAATGCCACGGGCGATTCCTCGGGTGCTCGTTGTCGTTGAGCAAATCGCCGATGCGCATCGTCAGGTGGCTCATAAGCGTCGGCCATTTCTTCAAAAACTCCACGTAAAGTCTTCTTCTTTTTGGCCGTTATGGAACGGAAAAATCGAACTGATTCGTCATCCAATAGAGTCGGCAACACTTCTAAGGCCTCAGCATCGGTCCATCTTGCAGAACGTACCGCCGCCAAGAATCTGCAGGCGAAAGCGCTCCAATCGCCCCCGATGGAGAATTCTTTAACTGTGGTAAGATGGCGACTCCGACTCCTCTTCACGCCGTCCTCCAACGATGGTTCCTCTGGTGGTAAATTCAAAATGGCGTCGGCCCGCGGCGTGGTCAAGATGGCGGTTTGGCGCCGCGGAGCGCGCAAGATGGCGGCATCGTGCCGCGTGGCTAATGGCGGCGGCAGGGCAGACAACGTGGCGGCCCGTGGACCACCTTCTGCCTCCTCCGTCGTCGTCCTTGGCGTGACGAGATGACACAGCTGCGCCAGGACGTCCTTGAGTGCCTCCAGTTGCTCCGCCATCTGCTGCCATCGTGGATCAGCGTCCGATGATGTTGGCGGGCCCGCTCCCGCGGCGACATCTTCAACTCCAGTCCCCGTGCTCGCTTCAGCAGGGCTCTCCTCCACCACCCCAGCAGAATCCATGGTTGGAGGGAGGTCGTCGTCGTCGGACGAAGAAGCCGATGCTGGCGCCGGAATAATTTTCTTTCTTACTTGCTTCGACATGCCGTTGCACTTCTGACACCAGTGTAATAAACGACTCGACCACGATATCTGGCTCGGTGTCCTTTATTTGGTTCGGTTTCTGTTTCCCACACGGCTGTCCTTTATTTGGTTCTTTCCACACGGTGCCGACTCCGCTGTCGCTCCCGTCACCGCCAACAGCCCCGCTGTTGGTCTCCGTCGCTCCCGTAGCTCCTTAGCAGCCCCGCTGCTGTCACCCTCACGCAGCCCCTCCGGCTGTGCTCGCTGCAGCCCCCTCTCTGGGTCACTCCCGTAGACTCTGACAGCCTCGTTGCTGTCTCTCTCTGTCGCTCCCGTAGCTCCTGGCAGCCTCACCGCTGCCTCCCTTACACAGCCTCCCTGGCTGTACTCGCTGCAGCTTCACTCCCTCCAGTAGCCCACTACTGTCTCCGGGGTTGGCCACCGCTGGCCGACGGTGCCACCCCTCCTTGGTTCGCCCGGCGTGGCCTCACTCTTTTCCAGTCTTCCACCAACTGCTTTCTCCTTCCGGTTTCACCGCTTAAGGACCCGAACCTTCCTCCCACGTCACATGACTCCACCTCCCCATGACGTCACATCCGGAAGGTCGCTTACGCCCGCATTACACATATGTAGTAACTACATATGTAGTAACTACATATGTACATATGTAGTAACTACATATGTAGTAGCTACTGTTGCTACTAGGATACTCCAGCACTGTCGCTGGAGCGTTGTTTGTTGGCCAACCCACTACCTTCATAGGTTCTGTTCGCAATCAGACACTTGTCCATAATAGACACTTGTCCATAATAGACACTTGTCCCTATAGTCCCTGAAAGGTTCTCTCCGGGGTGGAGTGGGGGGTGATTATTTTTGCCTCTATCCTTCATCTCTGTCCAGATGTGGAGCGCGTTCCTCGGCATCCAGTTCAACGACGCCGACCTCCAATGGCTGTGGGTGCGGCAGCTGCTCAGCCATGCCAGGGGCCGAATCACCCAGGTACACCCCTGTGCACTGGGGCCAAACCCCGATCCGCCCGTCCACTGCGCACCACCCTAAAAGCAGGAAGGACGGCCGCGACCTCTGCCCCGTAAACCCGCAGCGACTCGGCGTGAACTCCACGGCCGCGCCTCAATGGACAGGCGACTGATGTCCCCTTGCGTGACACGAGCCGAACTCGGCAGAGGCCTGCAAGTGGGGAGAGCCTGCGGGGCTCTCTGTGTGCACAGAGGCTCATGTGGAGGCTCACACAGAGGATTACAGGCAAGCCCAGAGGCCCTCAGGCTCACACAGAGGCCTACAGGCAAGTGCATAGGCCCCACTGGCTTGCACAGAGACCCAGACGCAAGCCCAGATGCTCACAGGCTCACACAGAGGCCTACAGGCAAGCGCATAGGCCCCACTGGCTTGCACAGAGACCCAGACGCAAGCCCAGATGCTCACAGGCTCACACAGAGGCCTACAGGCAAGCGCATAGGCCCCACTGGCTTGCACAGAGACCCAGACGCAAGCCCAGAGGCTCACAGGCTCACAAAGAGGCCTATAGGCAAGCGCATAGGCCCACTGGCTTGCGCAGAGACACCCAGAGTCTCGGGCAGAGACCCACAGGCAAGCCCAGTTACCCACGGGCAAGCCCAGAGGCCCACAGGCTCGCGGAGAGGCCCACTGGCTTACGCAGAGGCCCACTGGCTTACGCAGAGGCCCAGAGTATCAGGCGGAGGCCCAGAGACAAGCCCAGAGGCCCACAGGCACGCGGAGAGGCCCACAGGCTCGCGGAGAGGCCCACAGGCTTATGCAGAGGCCCACTAGCTTATGCAGAGGCCCAGAGTCTCAGGCGGAGGCCCAGAGACAAGCCCAGAGGCCCCCAGTCTCGGGCAGAGGCCCCCAGTCTCAGTCAGAGGCCCAGAGGCTCGCTAATAATTGACCCAAGTATCTTTTGTCGTGGGGCTGCTGCAATGGCACCGTGCGTGTGTGTTGTGGGGAGCGGTAGTGTAGGGGTTAGCTATGAACCCGGTGACCCGGGTTTGATTCCTGCTCATGGCCAACACCCAGTAACGATTATCTGAACAGGTCCCGGGGCCTCCCCTAGATCGACTCAGCCTCAAATGACTACCTGGTGCGGTGTGTAAGTAAACATCGCCACTGGGGAGACAATGGCGATCGGGCGTGGTACTGGCCACCCACCCCCTCGTGTGTCGTTCTGGCCTTCATAGGTGCTGCTACTCTCTAACAGCACTTGCCCCCTACAGTCTGTTACAATCTACACGGGGGAATCTTTCTCTTTTTGTCGTGTGTGTGCGCACGCAAGGAGGAGCCACAGCGGCAGCTCGACGTGTTCCTCCGCGCAGGGCGGAAGGGCGCGACACTCCACCCGGTGCTCTACGACTGCCTGGAGAGTGCCGCTCTGGACGCCGTGTGGTCCATCTGCCAGGTGCGAGACGGGGCATTGGGGACATTTAGACAGAGGGATGCACAGAGATTAGACAAATATGATCGTCGTACAGCGTGAGCAGACGGTTGGGGGGGGGGGGCAAGCGCTGTTCGCAAGTAGCTGCGCCTGTGAAGGCCGCCACGGTGGCACACGACGGGGGTGGGTGGCCAGCACCATGGATGGCAGCCTTTGTCTCACACAACGGCAGAGATGCAGATGCATAGAGATGATGCAGTGAGACAAGATGCAGAGAGACACGGAGACAGACGCATACAGACATGGAGACAGACACGTAGAGGTATGGAGACAGAGAGACGTAGAGATAGAGAGATATACAGAGATACAGAGAGAGACACACACGGAGATATAAAACTAAACTTTTTGACTATTTTAATTTTAGCAGGTAAGGCCCACGGCTACTAAATAGCTCTTGTTCAGAAGCCACCTTGGCTACAATTTATAGTTCAATGCAGTGGGCTTATCGCGTGGAAATTTGAAGCAGCAGCTGCATAGAGCAATCCCTCGCCAACCTATGGGGGTTAGGTTCCTGAAAACGGCCACGGTAGGCAAATCCGCGCTTGGTAAGGAACAGGGGGGCTATGGGGATTAGGGGGTTAGGGGAACCACGGCCAGGTCACACTTACCATAGCTTCACCAAGTTACCCGTTTGTTCCCTAAATATAGAATAAACATACAGTACATTGCACGATAACATAATAACACCTAAATACACATTAAATTAACGTTACATATCTGTAATATTGAGGGGAGAAGTCCACTATGTTGATGATGATGACAATCAGATGATGAGGGAAGGGCTCGTTCGAAGGAGGAGGAGGCGGGGGGGGGGCTCAGTCTCCACTTCCTATAGGTCATCAATGCCAGATGATTGGGCAGACGAGGAGGCAGGCGCAGACGAGCTACACAGCACCACAGACTTGCAGATGCACAGAGAGATGATGCAGATAGATGTCATCAACCACTTTGGGTCAGGACTTGCTTTGTGTTTCTTGTAAACCTCACCTGGTATCATCAATTAAAGACATATCACTGTCCCCAGGTGATTTGCTCGTTAGTTTTGATGTAGTTTCTTTGTTCACCAAAGTTCCTGTGCCCAAAACCATTGTAATAATTGAAGATTTGGTTCAACAAGGATAGAATGCTGATGTACCAGCCCTGGAGAGACACTGCCTCACCAATACATTCTTCACCTGGGGTGGAACATTCTACAAACAAACTGAAGGCACCCAAATGGGTTCTCCCTTATCTCCCGTTGTGGCCAACATTTTCATGGAAAAATTTAAGACGGACGCCATCGAGGCATTCACTCTACGCCCGTCCTTGTGGAAGAGGTACGTGGATGACACGTTTGTCATCTGGCCACATGGCCGACCGGCTCTGAAACAATTTCTCAACCACGTCAATTCCATACACCCAGCAATCAAATTCACCATGGAGGTACAAAAGGATGGCATGCTACCTTTCTTGAATGTCTTGATCAAAAAGAGACCAGATAGCTCAATGAGCCATTCTGTCTACAGGAAAGTAACCCATACTGATGCCTACCTAAAACCTGATTCCCACCACCATCTATCCCAGAAGAATTCCCTCATCAAAACGCTACACCATAGAGCTCAATGTATTTCCGACCATGAACACCTAACCAGTGAACTCAAACACGTAAACCAGGCTCTCAAGGCGAATGGATATTCTGACTACACAATCCGCAAAGCCATCACCCGAACCGCGAGGAAGGAGCCATCTGAAGATCAAATCAAATAATCACCTTGCCTTACATAGCAGGGATAACCAAAAAGATTTCCAAAACCTTGAAGATCCAGGTCCGATTTAACACAATGCATAAAATTCGTGATCTGATCCCATCTGTGAAGGAAAAGATTCCTGACATGCAATATCCCGGCACCTACAAACTAAGCTGTATCTGCGGCAGCAGTTACATTGGAGAAACTAAACAACATGTCTCAGACCATGTTCGTGAACATAAGGCAGATTTGAAACACGGTAGGGCCAACACTTCTGCCGTGGCTGATCATTACTTTAATGCGGCTGGCTCACGTGAAATTGATTTCTCTAAGACGATGGTACTTTGCAAGCCCACTGGCTATCAACAAAGATTAGTTCACGAAGCTATCCATATATGCAGACACAGACACAATTTCAACCACGACGAAGGTTTTAAACTCGGCAATCATTGGAAAGATGTCATCAACCACTTTGAGTCATGACTTGATTTGTTTTCTTGTCAACCTCTACCGTCAGCAGTGTGGATGGGTGTAGCGAGGTGCAATGCCCCCCCCCCCCATCTCTACTCCCCTCTCTCTCTCCTTCCTATCTCTACCCTCTTCCTCCCCCCATTGTCAAACACACTCGCTTTACTTGTACTTCTGGTGCTTTGTTCCTACATTGGCGCTGGCTGCCCCGCCCATGCTGTTTATGCTGCACAGCTTTGCTCACTTTGAAAGCCCTTATAAGCAGTTGCATTTGGAGGCTTGCCCCCCCCCCCTTTTCTCTTCGCCTGATGAAAACCGCTTGTGTTGCGATCACGTCGTGGTTTTTTGCTTTTATTTTTAACTAGCGGGAAGTTCCTGGCGTTGCCCGGGTCCAAAAAATATTTCAAACCCACTCTAAAAAATGTAACAGCAGTGTGTACTGACTGCGGTGGTACCTGCTATGATTACAGCAGTGCATACCGACTGTGGTGGTACCTGCTATGTATGCAGTAGTACATGCTGACTGTTTAGCAGTATTTATGGACTCTATAGCACAAAGTACTTACCTGACAGAGTGGCGTGGTGAGGCCTAGTCCCGTGCAGAGCCTCCGGCCTCGCCTAGATTGTACAGCCGGCCGAGGTGGCACCTTGGCGGGTTGGGGGTGGGCTGCTACCCCTAACCCCCCCCCCCCCACCCAGCCACAATCTCCCCGGCTGCTCTGCAGTAATATCTACGGCCTATAGTGGTAGCATCTACCGACTGTATAGTACTAACTGCACGCATCGGGGAGAGGGGGACATCACACAGTGAAGATTTACCTGAGCAATAGTCTATTTTAATAGCATTTATAGCGTGAAATAAAATGTCCCCATCACTCCCACCAAAGGCGTGCGACTTGCATGGGCCGGCCTCCACCAAAAAAGGCGTGAGTTGGTATGGTCGTGCACACGGAATAAATAAATAATAAGCACGCCGAAATCGCACTAAATGGCTAATGAAACTAATTTAAAGTTGACGGATGTGAAAAAGGAATAGCGCATGCTCAGGGTGGGGCTTGCGGCGTGGTCCCTGGCTATTTTTATTTTACGTAAACCCCACCGTTGGAGAGCCAAATCCTTCGCAAGCACGCGAACACACACAAACCCACACACAAACCCACAGACAAATTTTGACATTTATATATATGTAGTGGTTTAAATACGCGCCACGCGTGAGAGATTGCACGCACATGCGAGCACAGTACAGTGGGGGCATGTGAGGACAGGTGTTGTTGTCAAGGCTCGGAAGGGTAGGCCAGAGACGGGTTGAGGATATAATTAAGGACGCAAGACGGTGATTGGTTGGTGAGTGTTGTTGTCGGGGTCTGGCGCCACGTTGTCTGGAAAAACAACAGGTGGTGGAGGGGGGCTAAGAGCGAGGGGCGTTGGAGGGATGCCGATTAATCAATTGGAAGTTAATTGGGTCGGGCATAAATGCAGGGGAGTTGGAGCTGACGGGAGTTCGGGCCTGGGGAGAGAAGAAGACAGTTGGAGCTGAAGCAGTGGAGAAGTATAGGGTAGCAGTGGAGAAGTGTAGGGTAGCAGTAAAGAAGTATAGGGTAGCAGTGGAGAAGTATAGGGTAGCAGTGGAGAAGTATAGGGTAGCAGTGGAAAACTTAAAGGTAACAGCGGAGTGAGCGACGTGGAGAGTAGCGTAGAGTGTGACGACGAAGCCAGCAGAAAGCGGCTAGAGTGTGACGGCGAAGCCAGCAAAAAGCGGCTAGAGTGTGACGGCGAAGCCAGCAGAAAGCGGCTGGAGTGTGACGGAGAAGCCGATAGAGAAGTGGCTGGAGTGTGATGGAGAGCCGCGGGAGAGCAGCTGAACTGTGACAAGGGAAGCGGAGAGGAGAGTCGACGGAGACGCGGAGCGAGCGAGGCAGGCGGAACGTGTCGAGCGAGCGGAGAGCATGTGGGGCAATGTTAAATGATGTTGGTGAAATAAACTGACGAAGGAAAAGTAAGAAGCTGTCGCGTGAAGTTCAGCACTACATATAGAAGCTTTCAATTATTATTTAAAAAATTATCTTTATCTGACTTTACCGAAAGAACCAAGAATATGAATTCCTGCAATCACGAAAGTTTGAAGTCAAAATTTATTATGCAGATAGATGCAGACAGCCCGAAAGGTAGAGAGAGAGAAACATAGAGGAAGTCACGCAGAGACACGGAGACGGAGACATAGACACGTAGATAGAAACCCGCTTCATGTTCAATCCGCCTGCATAGGATAACACAGCGGCAACCTCGATTACTAGATAAAGGAATGCCTCTCTCCGTGCGGCTTTTTTTCTTTCTCCCCTAGAACGAGGAGGAGCTGGCGGAGAAGGAGCTTCAGAAATGCAGCGAGGTGCTGTCGCGCATCCTGGTGGAGGCCTGGCCGAGGAGGGATGGTCAAGCGACCACGGAGCACGAGGAAGTCGTCCTGCACCTGCTTGGCTGGAGGCTTTCGGCACGCTTGCTCGGACTGCACGGTTGAGTTGTCCACCGTACGGCTCTGGGCGGGGGGGGGGGGGGCGCGCGGGGGCGGGGGGTCACGCGTGGAATGCAGGGACTCCCCCCGTGGCAACCCCCCCTAGTAGGGGGGGCGACTTAAAGCATCGTGAGTTGGGATTTTTGACGTGAAAATTGGGGGAGAGCTGACGACGATGATGATCATGATGACGACGATTACGATGACGACGACGATGACGACAATGACGACGACGATAATGACGATGGTAATGATGATGACAACAATGATTACGATGACGACAACGATGATGATGACGATAATGACAACAATGACTACGACGACGATGATGATGACACAATCCCCGCAGGCACCAAGCGCCGTCCAACGGACAGTCTGACGAGAGAGGCGACAATGCTGATGCAGACTGCCCTCAAGACGTTTCAGCAGCTGGTCACCAAGATCCTGGATGGCACCGTCTCCCTGGGCATCCTCCAGCTGGTGCTGGACAGCGCGCTCAGCTTCCACGCCATCTACAGCGTACTGCAGGGTCACGGTGAGATGACCACGCCCGCGCCAAGCGCGGTACAACGGCGCGGGAATTTCCCCCCCCCCCTGGACCTGGCCGTCATGAATGGTAGCTCAACGGAGTGGCTCCTCAAGTGGGAGTTTACAGCAGTCAAGTCTCTCAACACACGTCTCTAAATATGAAGGGAAAAAAGCGGAGCACCCTGAGAAAAATACGCACAATATAAAGGCATCGTCGGGGTTGGGATTGAACCCAGGGCCTCCTGCATACCAGGCAAGGTAGTTAACATCTCGCTACCATGGCGCCAGATTAAGACTAGTCCGCAATTTGATGCGCCGCCTTCTCCTGGGAGACCCAGGGTATGGCTTCTCTTCGGCACAAACCCACAGGGTTAGGAAGGGAGTTTAACTCCATCCGTGTGTGTTCCACCAACCCTCGCTGTTGCTGCCTTCACAGTTCTAGATCACTACAGGCAGCCACGTGTATTACCGTGCTCGCCATCGCCACTGCCACCACCACCTCCACTGCCACCGCCACCACCAACTCCACCACCACCACCGCCATCACAGCCACCACCCTCCACCCCCACCACCACCCCCGTGGCTAAACAAGGTGACGCTGCAGGTCCGGACAGGCGAGAGATGGAGCTCATGCTGACGCGGAGGCAGGAGGAGGTGACAGCGGTGCACGAGGAGGTCCGGAATGTCGAGGCTATGGTGCGCATGTGCCACGCGATTGGGGACATCGTCCAAGGTAAGGGACCCTCTGGGTTAGATTGTGGCCACGTCGGGTCAGAGGTCGGAGACTCCCGGCCGTGGTTACACCGTGGGACGTCGAATTGCACCGAGTCAATGGCTTCAGACAGAGCCGTAGAGTTACACAGAGAGAGCCATCGAGCAACATAGAGAGAGCCGTAGAGTTACATATAGAGAGCCGTAGGCTCGCTCAGAGACCCGTAGACTTACGTAGAAAGAGCCGTATAATTACATAGAGAGAGCCATAGACTTACAAAGAGAGAGCCGGAGACTCGCATAGAGAGAGCCGTAGACTCACATAGATAGAGCCATAGACTCAGATAGAGAGAGCCGTAGGTCCGCATAAAGACGCAGAGACTCACATAGAGAGAGCCGTCGACTTAGAAAGAAAAAGCCATAGACTCACATAGTGAGGGCCGTAGGCTCGTATAGAGATCAATAGACTCACATATAGATCTGTAGACCCACATAGGGACCTACAGACTTGCATTGAAATGCATAGACTCACACAGATATCCATAGGCTCTCATAGAGACCCACAGACTCACACAGACCGGTTGTTATTAAACTGGGGTCTCGAATGCCATCTCGGGTTACATGCATTGGAGGTTCAGGCGAAGGAGACAGTGAGCTTCCAAAAAATAATCTCTGTTGCTGAGCAGAGGCCCAAAATGCCGAGCTTTTTTGGCGTCGTGCGAGCCACGAGTGCCGCACGCTCCTCGGACTGAGCGAGATTTTTAGTGCCCTAAGAGCTGAAGGCAGGACAAGGATGGTTGGAGGAGGAGGTTTCCAGAGACTCGCCGTCACGTCGTTGAAAAGTAGGGGAGCATCGTTGTCGACCCCGCCCCCCCCCCGCCTCGGCCCCACACCCGCAGTGGACGTGTCGGCGCTGGAGAGTCAGTGCGGGCGCAGCCTCGCGCCGTGCCCCCTCCACGACCTGGCCTGGTGGATGGGCAGCGGCTCCGGCGGTGCCATCGTGGTCACCTACTTCGGCATAAGTTCTGAGCTGCGCCAGTTCGCCCGCGGCTGCTTGCTCCTCTCGCGCAGCGTGGCCTTCCTGGAGCTGTGGAAGGAGGCGGCGCTGGCCGCCCGCCACCAGGTCCTCCACCGGGCGGGGGTGGCGGCCGCCTGCTGGTGCGGCGCCTGCCGGCTGGCGTACGAGGCTGCGGCGGCGGCAGCGGCCGGCTCGCCGGCGCTCACGTCTCTCGACTGCGTGCGGCTCCTGGTGTGGCAGCCATCGCTGCGCGCCGCCTGGTCGCTGATCGCCGAGCTGCGCAACGGCGCAGCTCGCCTCCACGACATCCGCCGCCTCTTCGCCGCGCTCGAGGGCCGCCCCGCCGATGTGGGGCCCGAGCTGGCGGCGTTGGCCGCTGGCCTGGGAGGGTCGCCGGACGCCGGGTGGGTCGCTCAGAGGGCCTGGCAGATCGCGCGGTACCAAGAGATGGGGCCAGAGGTGGGCGTGGCGAGGGTCGTGCTGGCGGTAAGGGATGTGCTGGAACTGACCGGAGACTTCGACGCCCTGCTTGAGCTCACGGTAAACACCGGTGGGGGATTTTTGAACCGGTCCTGGGGCATTGCCCTATGTCAACACGGGCTCACAAGAGTACCGAGTGCAGTGTGCAAACATCGCCACTTGGGTAGCCAAAGGCGTCTTGCGTGGTGCTGGGCACCCATCCACTCATTCGCCGTGCAGTCCTTCATAGGTGCTGCTCTAGTGCTACTACTGTTGCTATTTGTTTTTATTTGATCAGATAAGGCCCACTGAGCTGTATAGCTCTTTCAGAAGCGACCTATCACAAATTACATGTCAGGGGAGTGGCTTATCACGTGCAAATGTATTGCAGTAGTCAGATATTCTACATACGTGATGTTGATTCTAAATATGGGGGGGGGGGGGAATCACGCGATCACAGAGAGAGACACGCAGACTCCAAATATACTTTAGGCGGCAGCGGCAGGGTCGGGATCGAACCCACGACCTCGTGTATACCAGTTGAAGTAGTTAACCTCTCGCCACTGCGATGATGATGATAGAGAGACACCGCAAACTCCAAATATACAGCAGCAGGCATCAGGGTCGAGATCTCCTATCCACCGTGGCGTTGTATTCTCGGTCACAGCACTTGCCTCCAACAGTTTGTTAAGGCTATATGGGGGATCTTTGTCTTTGTTACGGAGGGGGGGGGGTAAGGGAGCCCAGCCCTTGGCAGCTCTGGATCCAATGAAGGCCCAAGCCTCAGTCGGGAGGTCACGGGGTCAAATCCTGGCTGAGGGTTGACGTGGCCCATCATCTCTCCGGGGTGAGGGTGAGGTCGATAAAATATGTACCACTTCGTGGGGGAAGTCAACATTGGTTGTCCTGTGGATACACTTTCCCCTCGCCATAAAAATGTGGAATTTCCACCGCCGGAGATGAGCACCAATGCCTCAACGCTCATCTTGGGCAGGAAGCCACAGTATCAGCAGCTAGGAGATGTTAACTACCTCGCCTGGTATGCAGGAGGCCGTGGGTTCAATCCCGACCCTGATGCCTGCTGCTGTATATTTGGAGTTTGCGGTGTCTCTCTCTCCGTGATCGTGTGAAATTCTTCACCGGGTCCCTCCCGTGTTTCCCTCCACATTTAGAATCAACGTCACACGTTTAGAATATGATGATGATTAGCCACTTCGTTGACACATCATTTGTGATAGGTCGCTTCTGAGAAAAGAGTTATACAGCTTAGAGGGTCCTTTCCTCATAAAATAAAAAAATAGTTTAGTTTTTAGTTTATCTCCCAGCGCTCGAGTCAGTCCTCCCCACGCCCCGAAAGGATAACGTGTGGGTAACTCCCACCTCTTCCAAGACGTCTGGCCAGCCTGAAAGAGTAGGCCCGAATACCCGCTAGAGGGGGGACTCTGTCGCGCTCCCCCTCTCTCAGGGATGCCCCTTATTAACATTTTTTTGTTTGTTTACAATCGGTGTCTAAACGGTACCTGCTTCGTCTCTTGTCATCAGCACGAGGAATTTCACAGCAAGAAGATCAAGCACATCACCTCCAAGCTGGTCTCGGCCATGGACACCCTGATGGAGGTCACTCCTGCCAGGCTGGAGTGCCTGGAGCAACTGTCACAGTCCAAGCAGCTGCTGGTCTGGATCAAGGGCACCTTGAAAAGTGGGTTCATCCACAAGGCCCCGAACCTCACGTAGTCAGTGGGAGCACAGAAGTAGAGTACAGTCGCTGTTGCACCAGCGTGGTCAGGCTTCTGCTTGAATCAACACCTGGCGAGCCGCCAGGTGTTGTTTTTTTTCCTAGGCAAAGGCTGGTTTCCACTTTCAGTGTCTCGTCCGCAGGGTCAGAGGCTTCCGCTTGAACCAATGAATCAAAATCTGTATACTGGATGAATCCGATGAGCTCTGAAGCTCTTATTCACAGATGTCCATTCGGTGGTTGGCAGTAGGCAGCTGGTTGAACTGCAAGATGTCTCTGGGCAAGGACCGGTATTGACATTCATTTTCTCAATTTAACACGCAGTAGGCTTTCAATATCCAAAATACAGGTGTTTTTTTGGGTTAGATCACGTAACTATAAATGTGATCAACCCGCCAACACCCAACACACAATCGGTGTGTGGTTGTACTTGTAACGAATAGGCACGTCCTGTTAACGTGACGGAACCTCGCTAGTCGGCTGTGTCGGGTGCTGGCGGGTTTAACGACAAAACATTCCTATTTAATCGCCTTGCACACTCGTAGGCCGTGGCGGCGTCGGCGGTTCTCGCCCACGTTTTTGACCTCATTCCTTCCCGGGGCTCCCGTCGACCACGGCAGATGATAATGATGATGATACCATCATCATCATTATCATCTGCCGGCAGCCTTTCGTTTTTGCAGCCAGACCCTACCTCGCTCCCTCTGCGCTGTTGGCGTTGGCTGGTCTTGTGAAGAGATCTGTAGGCCCATTGTTCGCTGGTGATGGATCTCTCACCTGATTGATTTTGGTTTAACACGCAGTAGGCTTTCGCGACCAATGTCATCCATCAGCCAATGCGAGTGATGACCATCCGAACTGGGCCCTGGGCCTCCCTGAGGTTGTCTCGGCCTCGAGTGAGTAACCCGGCAGGGGTGTGTAAACGTCGCCGCTCGGGGAGACAAAGGCGACCGGGATGTGACCCTCGCCACCCACCCCCCTCGCATCACCATGCCGGCCATCGTAGGCACCCGCTAACAGCACTTGCCCCGACAGCCTGTTAAGGCTACTACGGGGAGAGGGGGATCCTTTGTCTTTAGGGCCGTCCATAAATTACGTCACGCACATTGTGACGATGTGTAAAGAGGGGGGGGGGGGGATTTGAGAAATGTGACGTCACATCAAAATGTGCAACTTTAAATAAATATAGACAACACGTTATACTTCATTAAATAGACTTTTAAATAAATATTTTCTCCTACAACATCATAGTGCAGCGCCACATTTAAATACGCACTACATTGACAATAGTTTAAAGCGATTTGAAGCATGTTTTATTATTTTTCGGGGGGGGGGGGCAGAGCTTTGTGACGTCATATTTGAGGGGGGGGTCTGACTTTTTGTGACGCCGTGTGACACAAGGGGGGGGGGGGTTAAAATCGTCCAAAATCGCATGACGTAATTTATGGATGGCCCCTTTGTGCAGATCTGACCGAGCTGAAGGTGTTCGTGGACCTGGCGTCAATCACGGCTGGCGAGAGCGACCTCGAGGTGGACCGCGTGGCTTTCTTCCACGACGCGGTGCAGGGCTACTCGCCGCTGCTCTACGACCTGCCAGCCGGCGCCGGCTTCCCGGAGCTCGCCGACGCCGCCCGCAGCGTGTGGCGCTCCCTGGACAGCGACGCCAACCTCACCCTCAAGCTGGTACGGCGGCCCTCTACCCCCGCCCGGCACCCCCTGGCACCCCCTCACGGAGAGTCACGCTGCTCAGCGGCGTGAGATCCGTAAAGGATCATCACTCCGTCTCGTCACGTCGGTAGCCGGCCGGCGGCAGCGGTGGCGGCCAGAGGGGTAACGGGGAATCTAGGGCGACTGCCCGGGGTCCCGTGGTGTCACCCCACCCCCCACTACGGACGGCCCTGGTGGTAGCCACGCTGCTGCACGTGACTGCCTGTGGTGATCCAGCGCGGTAGCAGCAGCGAGGGTTGGTGGATCACACACGGATGGGAGGAGCCCGTACCCTGGCTGCGCCAGGAGAAGACGGAATATTAAAGCGGACGTCAATCTGTCCCCGTCTGTGCGGGGATCGAGTGTTGCTCCTCTACCACCTGCTGGTTTTCTCCAGGTGCTTCGGTTTCCCCTCACACGACGTTAAGCTTGTTAATTGGCTGATAACACCGTAATGTCTAGAGGACCGCAGAGCTTGGGCGATGGTGGGTATCACCGGCTCCTCACCACCGCGTGGCGGCTGCTGCTGCCTTCCTTGCTTGTCTGTGGTTCCTCCTCCTGGCGCCTCGTGAGTTGTCCCCTCTCTCTCTCTGAGTCGTCCTCTCTCTCGGAGTCGTCCTCTCTCTCTCTGAGTCGTCCTCCCTCTCTCTCTGATGTATATAATCAAAATAATGAAAAATAAAACAACTCGTGGGATCGCGTGATAGGCTGCGACAGCTTGGAGAGTCCCTCATCCAGCAGTGGATCGACCGTGGCCAACGATGATGACGTCGATTTCCTCCGCCCCGTCCCGTCGCATGCAGAGGTGCTCCGTGCAGCACCTGCCGTGGTTACAGGCGGTGTGGCACGGCTCCGTGGAAATGTCCACTCTGTCCATGGCCACCGTCATCAACCACACCGGAGTCTACCACGTGGGCGCCATCGTGGGCAGTGGCGACAAGGTGAGCGGCTCGAGGTCATGGTCCCAGTTGGATCAGCGACGACTCGCATAGAGACCCATAGCCTCACACAGAGACCATAGACTCGCACAGAGACCTGTAGATTCACACAGAGACCCGCAGACTCACACAGAGACATATAGACCCAGCGAACAACAACGACAGCAGTGGTCGGGGGGAGACAAAGGCGACCAGGCGGACTTGGTGTTGGCCACTCACCCCCTCGTGTGCCGCAGTGCCGGCCTGCTCGCTCGCGGCACTTGCCACAATGTCTGTTAGAGCTATTCGGGGGATCTTTGTGTTTTCTGTGCGCGAGTCGTAAGACTCGAGGACGCCCTTGCCAACAAACCGTTCTCTAAATGATGAAAAATAAGAACAGGTTTGTACCCTTTCTGGCTATAAAACAGGTGGCGTGTTCAGATGTTCAGTCACCACCTTTTCCAAGGCGTCAAGCACTGCATTAACTACACAGAGTATTTGTGGCAAAACGTGCAAACAAAACATAATCTGGTGATATATAGCATTGTCTTTGGAATTGATTGGTCTACATCAGAGACAGCCTTCTTTAGGGTCTAGTCTCACCAGTGTCAGACCAGAGACCGCCAAAAGGCGAACGGTACAAGGACAATGCACTATCAGAGCATTTATAGCTCGAGGTGAGCAGCTATATCATGAGACCTGTTTGCCAGTATCAAAGTATGAAAAAATAAGAATAGGTTTAACTTTTCTGGCAATCAAACAGGAGTTGAGATGTTCAAACACCAAATAGAAACCTTTTAAGATGTATTTGAGCATTGGCCCCACGAGAGACACGCAGAGAGAGAGAGAGAGGCACAGAGAGAGACGAGCAGAGATGCGTTTCTTTCACACTCGCAAGAAGGACGTGGGCAGGTGCTCCAAATCGAGGGCAAACACATTTATTGTGGTTAATCTGTAAAATGCAACAGCACATGTGGCACACACCGAGTCGCCATTAACCACGTGACTGGTGTACCGTATTTTCCCGCATATAGCCCGCAAACGCAAAAATAGCGTTTTGTGTAAAACAAATTTCAGATAGCCCGCACCTCCATATACCCCGCATCCATTCATATCTTTAACGTCGTTACCGCAGCGTAATTCCATCATATTAATACAAAGTTTACATTTGCAATACATTCCACTATCAATTGTTAATATTAAAATCATAACGTGCGCAAAGAAAAAAACTAACCGGAAACGAGTGAACTTAAAACAGTAAATAAGTAACAAAAGTAAATATCCAATAAATAAGTAACACATAACTGGTAGATAGGTAAGTAAGCATACTGTTAGGCTTACCAGAATTGCACCTCATCATATTACAGCTACTGGACCGGTAGTTGCCCCTGTACAGTTTTAGCAATGGTAGACTTCGCACTGCGCAGCCAATAGCGGCACTACGGTAACGCCACTGCCTCCTGGCAGAAAAGCCATTGGAAGTTTGAAACAAAGCTCACGGTCGCGACTGTATAGTGCGCAGCCAATAGCAGTGGCCTAAAGGACTCAGCAATTATGATTCCGCGTCTGGTAGACGCTTGTTAAGGCCCTTCCTATTGTGCAATCCATAGCCTCAGCTGAAACTTTCGCACCCCCCTACAGCCACTTTGAAGTATTACAGTAAGCAAAGTGCGCCCACTTCAAACATTGTCGTTTAATTGTACAAACAATTCGAATAATTTAAAACGTGATAGCATGTGCAATTTTAGTGTGAGTAGTTTATTCAGCAGTGCTTTACTCAAAGGTAAGTTTTGCATAGTGGATAGTCCTACCATGAACATTTTAAACGAGTAATGACATGTCACACGTGTAAAATATTTTTTTGGATAGCCCACACCTCCATGTATGCCGCAGGGTCTTGTTTTGTTTGTAAAAAGTGGTATACCCCGCGGGTTATATGCGGGAAAATACGGTACACGTGGCGTTAATCAATAACAGTTTTCTCTTAAACCCAATTCTACTACTGATATATTCATCTCTGTCTTTGACAATAACATTTGCTCTTTACTATTCGAATATTATTTTAATCTTAAGCTGTATGTCTATCTATACCATCCACTTATATCGGTATCTTACACTCATTATCTGAACTGTATGTGTACAGTATACGTACTGTATTTGTCACCATTGTACAACTTACTACTTTACATGTGTTCTATTCTCAATAGAAATGCAAGTAGTCATACTCTGGGTGCATGGGCATGGTTATAGAATAAACAGTATTAGGGTTAAAGATTAAGAATTACAAGTATTAACTACAGTGCGTCATCCTTTACAATGCACAGTGCTAAAACACCTTCAATTGAATATATCACAAACTAACAATTCAAAGCCAAGCTTGAAGTCGAGAACAAGTCGAGAACAAGTATAGAACATTTTTATAACGATCAAAAACAACGTTTGGGTCCTTTACCTGTAAGATGCAACAACACGTGTATCACACAGCAGTCTTCACCGAGTCGCCATTAACCACGTGACTGGTATACACGTCCGGTTAATCAATAACCCTGCCAGCCCCCCACAAGCCAAACTCAGTCATCACATGCTGGTGTACACACGTGCATTAATGTACTGCACAGCACATAAGGACTTATTATAAGAGTGGTCCATTTCTAATGTGCCACACATAGCATCAAGGTAAATAGTAACAAAGACAATGCACGAATCGGAACACTTATAGCTCGGGTAGAGGAACTGTTTGTCTGAACAGTCTGTGATAGCTCAATGGATTGGTTAATCATCTCTACGCTTGTTCACCCAGGAGAACCTTACCGAGAGTCTCAAGGAACTTTCTGCAGGAAAGTCCTGGCCTGTTTTCGCGGTATGCGCGCTCCCAGCCAAGTAACTGGCGGCGTAATTATTCACAATCGGCAAATTTGGTGCCGCCCGGCGACCGGACTGCTCGTTACCGAGTGACGTCAGCGTAGTCCCTGTGGGCCTTACCAGTGCATGCGATCGCACGACCAAATGCGGACGCCGTGGCGGTGACCGATGACGATCGGTGGCGACGTTCGGTGACCCCCGCGTGCTCGGTCGCCGACCGGCAGCCCTCGCTGGAGACGGTGCTGCTGCTGACGCTGCCTGACCCGTCGGCGGCTGGCGGTAGCGGCGAAGGTGACGGCGCCCTGCACACGTTCCGGATCCACGAGCTCCGGGAGCTGCACAGCAAACTGATGCTCACGTGTGGCACGCGGGAATGGAGCGAGGAGGTGGAGACCTTCACCGAGGTGGGTGGGTGCGTGGGTGGATGCATGGGTTTGTGGGTGGTTTAGTGGTTAAGGCGCTGCATTACGAACCTTGCAACAGGAGGGTTTGATTCCCGCTCGCGGCCAACACCAGTGATGATTATTTGAACCGGCCTTCCCTAGGTGCGTGTATGGGTGAATGGGTGCTGGCTGGGTGGGTGCATGTGTGGGTGGCTGGGAGTGTGGGTGACTGGATGGATGGGTGGGTGTGTGGGTCGGTCGGTGCGTGGGTAGCTGGCTGGCTTGTTGCGTGTGGCTGGATTGGTGGGTGCGTGGGTGCTATGGCTCACAAGGCGTAGACTGGCTGGAGGGTGCTGACTGGCTGGAGGGCCCTGACTGACTGGCTGGAGTGCTCTGGCTCGTAGGAGGGCCTGAGCGGCAGTTTGGCCCCAGAGCTTCGCGCCTCAAGAGACCGAACCTGGAATCCTCGCATGACAGCTCCCATTTCCTCCACCTGACCCACAAGGTGCTGGAGAGTGTCCTGAGGCTCGCCGATACTCACCTGGCCCTGAGCGCCAGCGCTAACCCGCTCTTCCGCCGCTGGACGGTGCGCGTCGCCAGCGCCGGTGTGGCGACGTCTCGCATCACCGTCGAATTCGGGCTGCCGGGTGCTGGCGCCCTGGTGGTGGACGGAGGAGCCCCCCGGCAGCTGGCGCTGCTGTGTGCTGGATCGGAGCGCTGCCTGGATGAGTGGCGGGCGCACGTGAAGGCGCTGCGACGCCACTACCCACAGCTCGACCTCTACACGGCGCAGCAGGTGGCGTGCCTGTGCTCCGAGGTGGGCGAGCTGGCACGGGGCGGCGTGGGCCCCGGCGCCGCCAGCGCCCTCGCCATGCTGTCGCTCGTCAAGGAGGACTGCACCGCCCGGGACGTTCAGCAGGCCGTGTCGGACGAAGCGGCGGCGCCGGTGGCAATGACGACAGACGATGAGCGATATGACGGCGGTGATGACGGCAACAACGTCCCAGGGCTGAACAATCCGGGAGCTGATGTCACTGAATCCCCGCGCCTTGACCGGCAGCTGCTGCGCCTGTGGCGGAGCTTCATGGCCACGGGCAGTGCCGTGCCCCCCGACGGCGACCCCGGCGTCGAGGCCGTGGCCCGCGTGCTGGCGCGCCTGTCCGCCGCGGCGCGGGCGAGCCCCGGCCGCCGGGCCGTCTGCCGGCGGCTCCCCGAGGGGCTGGCGCGGGGCCAGCCCAACCTGGTGGTGTGCGCGGACGAGGAGGAGGAGTTCACGTCGGCGCTGTCCCTCTACCTGTGCGACGAGGACAAGCCGCTGCCGGCGCCCGACGAGGTGCTGGTGTGCTCGCTCGACACCACCGTCGAGGAGTTGGAGCTGTTCATGAGGAGGGCGCTGAGCGGCGACGCCGGCGACGGTGGTGACGGCAACGTCAAGATCCACTCGCTGCTGTGCGCCGACCGGCTGAGCTACGAGGCGAGCGTGCGCATGGAGGAGCTGGTGCTGGTGGAGCGCCGGCCGGCCGGCCGCTACCAGCTCGTGGTGTTCTGCCACGCGCGGGAAGAGCACTGCTACGCCGCGTCGTGCCTCGGCGAGTTCCGGGCGAGCGCCGCACCGCGGGTGCCCGCCGAGCAACTCCGCTGGTGCCTGTGGCGCCGCCTGCAGGTGGAGGCGGAGCGGGGGGGCTGGGCGGCGCCGGTGGCGGCGAACGCCTTCGCCGAGCGGCTCAGGGCTCGGGTCGTCTGGTCGACGCGGCCTGGAGTGGGTGCGTTTGGCGTAGGGCCCGTTGGTGGGGGGTGGTTTACGGCAAGGTTGCCAACTTATCCACAGACCAAATCTGGATAGGTGGCAACCCTTGTCAGTGGGTGGGTGACATGGTTGCTGATGACGCCAATGCATCTTCTGCTGCTGCTGATATGGACGCCGACGCCGTGTGCGCTTGTAGGCAAGTCGCTGCACGTGCAGCGCATGCACGACGTGCTGCGGTCGACCTTTGGCGGCCGGAGCAGGCTGCACACCGTGCGGCTCATGGGCCAGGCGGTGGACGAGGCGGCCGTGGTGGCCTCCCTGCTGAAGCTGCAGGAGCCCCCGGGGCAGGAGAGGCCTCACCTCGTCCACGTCGACGTCACCGCCGCCGTGAGCAGCCGCCGCTAGGCTCACCGGTCACGTGCTTCGCCCCATCGGAGGGCTTCCCCACCCCCCTCACCTCCCCCGCACCCCCGGGGGGCCCGAGGAGCCGCGTGTGAGCCATGCGGGCTCAGTAAGGCGGTCCGGGTCAAACGTCAGGCACGTGCCCGGCGCGGGTGCACAAGCGGAGATGCCGCATCGGCGACGTGTACCGACTGACGTCACAGGCGCGCGGTGGTGGTTGTGGTGGTAGTGGTGGTGACGGTGGTGGCGACGGTGGTGGTGTTGGCGATGGCGGTGGTGGTAGTGATGTGGTGGTGATGATGGTAGTGGTAGTGGTGGTGGTGATGTAGTGGTGATGTGGTGATGGTGGAGGTGGTGGTAGGGGTGGTCGTTGTGATGGTGGCCACGCTGCTGCACGTGGCTGCCTGTAGTGATCCAGCACTGGAGGAAGCAGCAGCACCACCACACGGACGAATATGAAACTCCTAACCCTGTGGGTGGGCACTGAGGAGGAGCCGTACCCGTGCCTCGGCCCAGGGGAATGCGTTCACAGCAAAATGTGTGGACTGACCCTCAGCATTTACAACACACCGGTTAGTGCCCAAGTCGTGACTAATCGGCACATTTTGCCGACGCGACAAACCTCTTAACGAATTGGACATGCCGTGGTGTTGGCTGGCGATGTTGATGACACGCGCGTAATGACGTCCGACGCACGTGGTTTCTTCATTTACTCGGAGCCTTTATTTGGGCACAAGGCTATCCCCTACGTAAACAGAACGTGCCAATTTGTTAATAGTACAGCCACACCGGTTGTGTGCTGGACAGCAAATCCACAACATTTACAATCTGAGTGCGACGTTTGACCAGTAATTGCAACCAGCTTTATCAGGCGGACAGACAGATTTGTGGAGAAATCCTCCTGTTTCATTCCTTAAATAGGGGCATAGATGTGATGACGTCACTCGTGAGAACTTCCTGAGCAATGGTGGGGTCGGGGGGATGATTAATGAATGAATATTAATGACTATGGATATCCATTGCCGGGTGGGTTATTTATTTGTTAATCAACGTACATTATGCATGCGCATTATGTAAGCCCGTTGTTCTTGTGCCTCCTGTCGATCGTGTGGTTGCGAAAGACTACTATGGACGTGTTAAGCTGATAATATAATAATGTGAAATCTGGGGGTCCTCCTTTGCCTGCCCCCCACCCCTGATGCCAAACAGGTGTGCTCGGGTCTCAGCGCCTTTCTCTTCCGCCTGCTGGCGCTGCGGTGTCTGAGTGGCGCTGGCGGTGCCATGTGGCGCTGCAGCGCCTCTCACCTTTACGTCGTCGAGATCACGCAGGGGGAGGGGGGAGAGGGGGAGGAGGTGGTGGGTGGCGCCAGCTCGGACTCATGCAGGGTGAGAAAACCACATGTCACCATCGTCACCGTCGTCCCCGTCGTCAGCGTCGTCACCGTCGTCAGCGTCGTCAGCAGAGCCACTGTCAGGCACTTCCAGTGGCATCAGCAGCCACACCGATAAATACACATTAAAAAACATACTATAATACAAAATCATCAGCAGAGGCACTATCTGCAGTAGCAGCGGCATCAGTCACATGAGCAACAGTACCGAGAAATCAATAAATGACAAAATAGTGCATAATGAGCAGCAAAATCAGCATCTTCAGCAGAGGGACTATCAGCACTTTCCGCAGCAGTACCGAGTTAACATCTCGCCACCGTGGTTCATGGATGCCCGGAATAGATTTCCAAAGTGGGGGGTTCTTTCCTCTCATCCACAGGCCACTTGTGAGACCATTTCCCCTTATGCCGCCCTTCTGCCCCACCCTATCTTAGATCATCATCATCATTTGATGTTAACTACTTTGCCTGATATGCAGGAGGTCGTGGGTTCAATCCCGAATTGGACGCCTGCTGTATATTTGGAGTTTGCATGTCTCTCTCATCATCATCACGGTGGCTAGGAGATGTTAACTACCTCGCCTGGTATACAGGAGGTCGTGGGTTAAATCCCGACTCGGATGCCTGATGTATATTTGGAGTTTTGCGTGTCTCTCTCTCTCTCCCCCGTGGTCGCGGGGATTTTTTTTCCGGGTTCTCCGGTTTTTCCCCTCCACATGTAGAATCAACAACGTCACGTGTTTTACATAATTTTGATCTTCTCTAAATCTCTATGTGATGATGGTAAGCCCACTTCGGTGAGAAGCCATGTGAAAACAGCTACGAAAGAATAGTCTACTTTTAATTGAATGAATCGTCATCGTAATAAGCATTATCGTCATCACCATGACCAGTGGGCCTGTCTGCATTTGTCAGGCTCCTCGCGGTTTGCGTCTGCTGGACCTGTTCCCGGGAGTGCGGTGCCACTCGCCCAGGGAGTGTCTCGACCGGCAGGCGTCGACCCAGGCCCAGAGACAGGCCCAAGGACAGGCCCAAGGCCAGCTCATGGACCACCTCCTCTTCGTCAGCGAGTGGTACCAGCGACCCTTCCAGTACCTGGAGAGACTTCGCCTGCAGCAGGACCTCGACAGCTTCAGCTACAGGCCGAGCCCGGCGGAGGGAACTCCGGCGCTGTGGCTGCGCACCGTGCTGGCGTACTGCGGGGTCGCTGACCCCTCCTGGGCAGAGCTTCGCAACTTCCTGAGGTTCCTCGACGTGCAGCTGCTCGACTGCGAGCGGTCGGCGTTCTGTGACCGGGAGCACGTCGGCGACGTGCTGCCCGGGTTCCGGCGCTTCGTCGTCGAGTTCGTGGTCCTCATGGCGCGGGACTTCGCGACGCCCTCCCTCGATGTCTCCGACGAGAGCTCCCAGGCGCTCCGGCGGCGCGCGGGCGAGGGAGACCTCGCGCCCTTCCAGATCCGCAAGGCGTGGGAGAGCCGGCCGCACCCCTACGTCTTCTTCAACGCGGACCGCCACTCTCTGACGTTCCTTGGGTTCCACCTGCAGTTGAACCTGCGGAGGGGCGTCGACGCGGTCGACCCTCGCACGAGGGACGTCCTCAAACCAGACGCCATCGGCATCCAACTCTACATGAGCCTCAGGGCGCAGCGCGTCGACTTCAATGTGAACTTCGACACGCTGCCGCGGAACGCCAAAGTCGAGATGCTCTGCACGGTGCTGGGGATCGCACAGCCCTCGGACCCCGACACCACCTATGAGCTGACGATGGACAACGTCCTGAAGATGCTCGCCATCCACATGCGCCTCCGCTGCGGCATCCCCGTCGTCGTCATGGGCGAGACGGGCTGTGGCAAGACGAGGCTCGTCAAGTACCTGTGCAGCCTGCAGAGGGGCCACCTGCAGGCCGACAACATGAAGCTACTAAAGGTGCACGGCGGCACGACCGTCGCTGACGTCCATGCCAAGATTCGGGAGGTGGAGGTCGCGGCCCGGCTCAACAAGGCGAGGTTTGGGCTGGACACGGTGTTGTTCTTCGATGAGGCCAACACTACTGAGGCGATCCACGCCATCAAGGAGGCCCTGTGCGACGGCACAGTCGACGGCGAGCCGTTCGATGCCAACTGTGGCCTCAAGATAGTCGCGGCCTGCAACCCATACCGGATGCACTCAGAGGCCAAGATCCGGCAGCTGGAATCATCCGGGCTGGGCTACCGGATGGCGGCATCACAAACGGCGGAGAGGCTTGGCGGGATCCCTCTGCGCCACCTGGTGTACCGCGTGCACCCTCTCCCGCCCTCGCTCATGCCGCTCGTGTGGGACTTCGGGCGGCTGAGCGATGACGTCGAAGGGCGGTACATCGGCCAGATCGTCGAGCGGGCCCTCGCACCGCACGGCGTCCCCGTGGGCGGTGCGGCCCTAGTTGCTCGTGCATTGGCCGCCTCACAGCGCCACGTGCGGAGCCGGCGTGACGAGTGCGGCTTCGCGAGTCTGCGCGACGCCGAGCGGTGCATTGTCGTCTTCCTCTGGCTCTATGCCCGGCGGGAGGCGCTCTTCGCGAGCCGCATGGTCCCGCTGGGCGGCCGCGCCGCTCTGGACGCCGTCACGAGGGCTCTCGTCGTGGCCGTCGGCGTCTGCTACCACTGCTCGATGCGGGATCGCGAGGGCTACAGGAGGAGCGTTTGCGAGGAGCTGCCGGCACCGTTTGACAACCCCGACCGGGTGCTCGCGGAGATCACCGCCTGCCAGGAGCTGTTCCTGGGGAACCTGGAACTGGGCGAGACCATCGCCAGGAACGCCGCGCTCCGGGAGAACGTCTTCATGATGGTGGTGTGTGCCGAGCTGAGGATCCCGCTGTTCCTCGTCGGCAAGCCGGGCAGCTCCAAGTCGCTTGCCAAGGCGGTGGTGTCGCATGCCATGCAGGGGCCCTTTGCGCCCATGGAATTCTACAGGTGCTTCAAGCAGATCCACGCCGTGTCCTTCCAGTGCAGCCCACACTCCACCTCGGAGGGCATCGTCGGCACGTTCAGGCAGTGCGCCCGCTTCCAGGAGGGCAAAAACCTGGAGGAGTTCGTGTCGGTCGTTGTCCTCGATGAGGTGGGCCTGGCCGAGGACTCGCCCAAGATGCCGCTCAAAGCGCTGCACCCGCTGCTGGAGGACGGCTCCGTGGACGACAACCCGAAGCCCCACCAGAAGGTGGGCTTCGTGGGCATTTCGAACTGGGCCCTGGACCCGGCCAAGATGAACCGCGGGATTTCCGTCGCCAGGGGGAGCCCGGACAAGGCCGAGCTGGTGGCGACCGCGAGGGGGATCTGCTCGTCGGATCACCTCATCCTGTCCGTGCTCGAAGGCCTCTTCTCGACGCTGGCCGGCGGCTACCTGAGGGTGTGCGAGCGGCAGAAGAGGGGCTTCTTCGGCCTCCGGGACTTCTACAGCCTCGTCAAGATGCTGTTTGGCACCTGCCAGAGGTCCGGTTCCGCGCCGACGGTGCCGGAGCTGCAGCGGGCCATCCTGAGGAACTTCGGTGGCAGTTTGGACGTCGAGCCGCTGGCGATCTTCGGCGTGGCGGACCAGGGCTGCCACGATCCGCTGAGCCTCGTCAGGGAGAACATCGCCTCCGGCGCTGACGAGACCGAGTGCCGGTACCTTCTCCTTCTCACTCAAAACTACTCGGCGCTCTCCATCCTGCAGCAGGACGCCTCCCTGGGCCTGGCGGATGGTGCCGAGATCATCTTCGGCTCGAGCTTCCCCCGGGACCAGGAGTACACGCAGGTGTGCCGCACCATCAACCGCATCAAGGTGTGCATGGAGGCTGGCAGGATGGTGGTGCTGCTCAACCTACAGGGCCTCTACGAGAGCCTCTACGATGCGCTCAACCAGTACTACGTTCACCTGGGTGGGCAGCGGTATGTAGACCTGGGGCTGGGCACGCACCGCGTCAAGTGCCGCGTGCAACGGCGATTCCGCCTCGTCGTCATCGAGGAGTCGCGCGTCGTCCACCGCCACTTCCCCGTCCCGCTCGTCAACCGCCTGGAGAAGCACTTCTTGGACATGGGCGTCGTGCTGCGCGAGGGGCAGCGCCGGCTGGCGGAGGTGCTCGGGCGCTGGCTCCGGAGCTTCACGGAGATGGTCGGGGATGAGACGAGTGGGGGCCGGTGGCCGGACGACGAGGAGGGGGAGGATGGGAGGGCCGGCGGTGGGGGAGGGCCCCGAATCGCCGCCGTCATTGTCGGCTACCACTCGGACGCCTGCGCCGCGGTGGCCCTGCAGGTCGCGAGCCGCATGGCGCCGGATGTCCCGGAGGGCCTCGACGGGCCGCTCGCAGAGGCCCAGGAGACGCTGCTGAGGTGCGCGGCGCCGGACGCCGTCGTGAGGCTGCGGCACAGCAGGCTGTCGGCCGCCGCGGCGGAGATCTGGCAGAAGTACTTCGTGCACCAGCGTCACGGCTCCCTGCAGGAGTTCGTACGGCAGCAGCTGGAGTTGGCGAGCGACGGCCTGCTGGTGGAGGTAACCCGCCACGCGCCAGTGCCTCGCTCTCCCGGTGTTTGCTTTCAGAGCAGCCGCTGATTGGGGTGGGGGTGGAGGCTGGGAGTGCAGGGGTGGGGGGGTTCTGGGGAGCGGTGAAAAGCGACAAGCGGCACCATGAGAGTCGTGTGAAGTAGCAGAGTGAGGGACGGCGCGGCTCGGTTTGAGCGAGGTTGGTGGTAAGAGCTTTGGGGCGGTGGGGGATAGAAGAGATGATGACGATGATGACGATGACAATGACGATGTCAATGACGATGATGACGATGACGACGACGATGTCAATGACGATGTCAATGACGATGATGGTGTGCCCCATCTGTGACCTTTCCCCTCGATCCCCCTCTGGTGTGTCACGTGGCCCGCTGACGTCAGGGCTGCCGTAAGCCGCAGATCCCCTTCCCTGCCAGCAGCCAGCGCGATGCTGCTACATCACTATTCTATGCCACTACACTGGAACAGCCACACCGGTGTGCTGTGGCGGGTTTAACGACACATTACTATTTACGCAATCTAACCCAAAAAAAAACTCTTATGAACAACAAACACAATACAGGAACACGACAGGAGAGGTTCAAGCAAAATCCAGCGCTGCGGGAGAGAGCGTTGACAGATCGCACAAATGTTGGTAAACCTTGAGGAGCCGCGCCCTGGATTATTTAACTTTATTATTTTATTATTATTTATTATCTACTTCATGTTCATAAATAATTAGTATTATTTATTGTCCTTTTTATTATTTATGCGATTACTCAAAGATTACCCTTAATTTTTTTATTTTACCGTTTGCTTATTTTATTATTTGAATTTTATCACCTCGTTATTTAATATTTAATTCGTTATAACTGTATTATTCTATAATGTTTATTATTTTATTATTCTTTAGCTTAATAATATAGCTTGCATTATTTCATTATTTGACCAATTTGCCGTTTTATTATTTAATTATAACTTTTCCTTTACAGGTTTATTTATCATTTTGTTCAAAAAAATATTTTATTTAATCATTTTTATTATTTTATTCTAGGGCACTCCGGTTTCCTCCCGCATGTATGGACACTCATTCATTGGGCGATAACAGCTGAGTATATGGAGGACCGCAGAGCTCGGGGCATTGTTGGTTGCTCCTCGTCTGTGGTCCCTCCTCCTTGCTCCTCTGAGTCACCCCCTTTCTCTCTCTCTCTCTCTGAGTCGCCCCCCCCTTTCTCTCACTAAGTCGCCCCCCCCCTCTCTCACTGAGTAGCCCCCTCTCTCTCTATAAGAGCAAGGAGCAACCAAAGTACAGCGGCGGTTGCAGCGTCAACCGGTGACATCGTAGTAGGGGGTGAATGAAGTCTGGCGACAGAACATCCACTGGTTGGCTTCCCAACAACGTGGACCTCATATCGTCAGCTCCCTATCAACACCCCCCCCCCATCCGACCCCCCACCAGGTGACTACACACGCCCGGCTGCTGACCGCCACGGACGCCGCGGTCATCGCCAAGGCCGTGAGCAATCCGCCCGCAGGCTTCGTCCTGCTGGCCCTGCAGCAGATCGACACGGAGCACGCCTTCAGCAAGCGCGTCCGGTGAGCGACGGCCGTGGCGGTGACGGTGGTAGTCTGAGGAGCGGTGATGATGGTGGTAGTCTGGGTAATGGTAGTGATGGTGGTAGTCTGGGGAGCGGTAGTGGTGGTAGTTTGGGGAGCGGTGGTGATGGTGATGGTGGTAGTTTGGGGAGCGGTGGTGATGGTGGTAGTCTGGGTAATGGTAGTGATGGTGGTAGTCTGGGGAGCGGTAGTGGTGGTAGTTTGGGGAGCGGTGGTGATGGTGATGGTGGTAGTTTGGGGAGCGGTGGTGATGGTGGTAGTCTGGGGAGGGGTGGCGGTGGTGATGGTGGTAGTCTGGGGAGCGGTAGTGGTGGTAGTTTGGGGAGCGGTGGTGATGGTGATGGTGGTAGTTTGGGGAGCGGTGGTGATGGTGGTAGTCTGGGGAGCGATGGTGGTGGTGATGGTGGTAGTCTGGGGAGCGGTGGTGGTGGTGATGGTGGTAGTCTGGGGAGCGGTGGTGGTGGTGATGGTGGTAGTCTGGGGAGCGGTGGTGATGGTGGTAGTCTGGGGAGCGGTGGTGGTGGTGATGGTGGTAGTCTGGGGAGCGGTGGTGGTGGTGATGGTGGTAGTCTGGGGAGCGGTAGCGGTGGTGATGGTGGTAGTCTGGGGAGCGGTAGTGGTGGTGATGGTGGTAGTCTAGGGAGCGGTAGTGGTGGTGATGGTGGTAGTCTGGGGAGGGGTGGTGATGGTGGTAGTCTGGGGAGCGGTAGTGGTGGTGATGGTGGTAGTCTGGGTAGTGGTAGTGGTGGTGATGGTGGTAGTCTGGGGAGCGGTAGCGGTGGTGATGGTGGTAGTCTGGGGAGGGGTGGTGATGGTGGTAGTCTGGGGAGGGGTGGTGATGGTGGTAGTCTGGGGAGCGGTAGTGGTGGTGATGGTGGTAGTCTGGGGAGCGGTAGTGGTGGTGATAGTGGTAGTCTGGGTAGTGGTAGTGGTGGTGATGGTGGTAGTCTGGGTAGTGGTAGTGGTGGTGATGGTGGTAGTCTGGGGAGGGGTGGTGATGGTGGTAGTCTGGGGAGCGGTAGTGGTGGTGATGGTGGTAGTCTGGGGAGGGGTGGTGATGGTGGTAGTCTGGGGAGGGGTGGTGATGGTGGTAGTCTGGGGAGCGGTAGTGGTGGTGATGGTGGTAGTCTGGGGAGGGGTGGTGATGGTGGTAGTCTGGGGAGCGGTAGCGGTGGTGATGGTGGTAGTCTGGGGAGGGGTGGTGATGGTGGTAGTCTGGGGAGCGGTAGCGGTGGTGATGGTGGTAGTCTGGGGAGGGGTGGTGATGGTGGTAGTCTGGGGAGCGGTAGCGGTGGTGATGGTGGTAGTCTGGGGAGCGGTGGTGATGGTGGTAGTCTGGGGAGCGGTAGTGGTGGTGATGGTGGTAGTCTGGGGAGGGGTGGTGATGGTGGTAGTCTGGGGAGCGGTAGTGGTGGTGATGGTGGTAGTCTGGGGAGCGGTGGTGGTGGTGATGGTGGTAGTCTGGGGAGCGGTGGTGATGGTGGTAGTCTGGGGAGCAGTGGTGGTGGTGATGGTGGTAGTCTGGGGAGCGGTGGTGGTGGTGATGGTGGTAGTCTGGGGAGGGGTGGTGATGGTGGTAGTCTGGGGAGCGGTAGCGGTGGTGATGGTGGTAGTCTGGGGAGGGGTGGTGATGGTGGTAGTCTGGGGAGCGGTAGTGGTGGTGATGGTGGTAGTCTGGGGAGGGGTGGTGATGGTGGTAGTCTGGGGAGCGGTAGTGGTGGTGATGGTGGTAGTCTGGGGAGGGGTGGTGATGGTGGTAGTCTGGGGAGCGGTAGTGGTGGTGATGGTGGTAGTCTGGGGAGCGGTGGTGGTGGTGATGGTGGTAGTCTGGGGAGCGGTGGTGATGGTGGTAGTCTGGGGAGCAGTGGTGGTGGTGATGGTGGTAGTCTGGGGAGCGGTGGTGGTGGTGATGGTGGTAGTCTGGGGAGGGGTGGTGATGGTGGTAGTCTGGGGAGCGGTAGTGGTGGTGATGGTGGTAGTCTGGGTAGTGGTAGTGGTGGTGATGGTGGTAGTCTGGGGAGGGGTGGTGATGGTGGTAGTCTGGGGAGCGGTGGTGGTGGTGATGGTGGTAGTCTGGGGAGGGGTGGTGATGGTGGTAGTCTGGGGAGCGGTAGTGGTGGTGATGGTGGTAGTCTGGGGAGCGGTGGTGATGGTGGTAGTCTGGGGAGGGGTGGTGATGGTGGTAGTCTGGGGAGCGGTAGTGGTGGTGATGGTGGTAGTCTGGGGAGGGGTGGTGATGGTGGTAGTCTGGGGAGCGGTAGTGGTGGTGATGGTGGTAGTCTGGGGAGCGGTGGTGGTGGTGATGGTGGTAGTCTGGGGAGCGGTGGTGATGGTGGTAGTCTGGGGAGCAGTGGTGGTGGTGATGGTGGTAGTCTGGGGAGCGGTGGTGGTGGTGATGGTGGTAGTCTGGGGAGGGGTGGTGATGGTGGTAGTCTGGGGAGCGGTAGTGGTGGTGATGGTGGTAGTCTGGGTAGTGGTAGTGGTGGTGATGGTGGTAGTCTGGGGAGCGGTAGTGGTGGTGATGGTGGTAGTCTGGGGAGCGGTGGTGGTGGTGATGGTGGTAGTCTGGAGAGCGGTAGTGGTGGTGATGGTGGTAGTCTGGGGAGGGGTGGTGATGGTGGTAGTTTGGGGAGCGGTGGTGATGGTGGTAGTCTGGAGAGCGGTAGTGGTGGTGATGGTGGTAGTCTGGGGAGCGGTAGTAGTGGTGATGGTGGTAGTCTGGAGAGCGGTAGTGGTGGTGATGGTGGTAGTCTGGGTAGTGGAAGTGGTGGTGATGGTGGTCGTCTGGGGAGCGGTAGTGGTGGTGATGGTGGTAGGCTGGGTAGTGGTAGTGGTGGTGATGGTGGTAGTCTGGGTAGTGGTAGTGGTGGTGACGGTGGTAATCTGGGGAGCGGTAGTGGTGGTGATGGTGGTAGTCTGGGTAGTGGTAGTGGTGGTGATGGTGGTAGTCTGGGTAGTGGTAGTGGTGGTGATGGTGGTAGTCTGGGTAGTGGTAGTGGTGGTGATGGTGGTAGGCTGGGTAGTGGTAGTGGTGGTGATGGTGGTAGTCTGGGGAGCGGTAGTGGTGGTGATGGTGGTAGTCTGGGTAGTGGTAGTGGTGGTGATGGTGGTAGTCTGGGGAGCGGTAGCGGTGGTGATAGTGGTAGTCTGGGTAGTGGTAGTGGTGGTGATGGTGGTAGTCTGGGGAGCGGTAGCGGTGGTGATAGTGGTAGTCTGGGTAGTGGTAGTGGTGGTGATGGTGGTAGTCTGGGGAGCGGTAGTGGTGGTGATGGTGGTAGTCTGGGGAGCGGTAGCGGTGGTGATAGTGGTAGTCTGGGGAGCGGTAGTGGTGGTGATGGTGGTAGTCTGGGTAGTGGTAGTGGTGGTGACAATCTGGGGAGCGGTAGTGGTGGTGATAGTGGTAGTCTGGGTAGTGGTAGTGGTGGTGATGGTGGTAGTCTGGGTAGTGGTAGTGGTGGTGCAACTGATAGAGTGCTGCGCTAACAACCCAGTAGCGGTTATATGACCCGGTTCCTGGGACTCCCCTAAAGCCTAAAATGAGCAGCTGGTGCGGCATGCAAACATCGCCACTGGGGAGACAAAGGCGGCCGGGCGTGTAGCTGGCCACCCGCCCCCTTCGTGCGCCATGCCGGCCATCACAGTTGCCGCTACTCGCTACCTGGCAGCAGTCGCCCCAACAGTCCGCGATCCGCTGGACTCGCGCTGAGAGTTTGCGATGTCGGCTGACGGCCGTCCCTGTCTGCAGCGAGGTGTTCTCGGCGCCCGGCGACCGGCGATGCCTTCTGCTGATCCAGTCGGACTTCGAGGATATCAGCCACGGACCCAACCTGGTGGCATGCGCCAAGTGAGCACCCTCTAACCCCTCCCCTCTACCCCCCCCTCCCTCTCCCGCCTTTCCCCCCACCTCCCATGCTTCTCTCCTAATGATTTCCTGGATTTCTCTGTTTGCGCAAAGTCACTTTAAGATGTTTTCTTGTTCATGTTTTTGTTTTTTGCTTGTTGCGGTTGCACTCGATTCAAGAGCCGAATGGCTCACAGGGCTATACATAATAAATGAAACTGAAAAACTGAAATGAAAACACGTGACTCTTCCCCCTTTTATTTGATTGGCTCACAGCAGCAAGATCGGTGATTCCGCCACAGTCCGATCTTACTTGCACGGCGCAGTCGCACGTCCACCGTCATCTACATCACCGGTCTGCCGTGTGCGCCGTGCGCGTGTGTGCCGTGCGTGCCACCGCAGGTACTGCGCCATGAACGAGAGGAGCCGGGCTGGCGCGGCACGATCGCGTGTCCACGTCATCTTCATCACCAAGTTGCCGCGCGTGGCCACCACCACCTCCTCCGAATACGTGGGCTTCCACGGGGGTGAGTCACAGTGGTGGAGATGGCGGTGGTCCTGGTGGTGGTAGAGCTGGTGGTGGTGTTGATGGCAGTGGTGGTGGAGATGGTTGTGGTGGTGTTGAAGGCGGTGGTGGTAATGGTAGCGGCAGTGGTGTTGATGGTGGAGATAGTGGTGGAGTTGATGGCGGTGGTGGCGGTGGTGGTGGTTGTGGAACACCATGAGCAGTAACCCTTAATATTTGTTATGGAAGGACAGCACCACACAATGAACATATACAGTGATGGGGCATTGATATTGTGATGATCATCATGCTGTGATTTTGATCATGTTCTTGTTCATCATGTTGATATTTGTCATGTTGATATTCGTCATGTTGATGTTCATCATGTTGATGGTTGATGTTAATCATGTTGATGTTCATCGTGATGGTTGATATTTGTGATGTTGATGTTCATCATGGTGATGTTGGTCGTGTCGACGTTGGTCGTGTCGACGTCCGTCATGTCGTTGCTTCACGCCCGCCCCCGCCGCCGTGCACGTGACCCCTCAGGCCAGTGGATCTCTGTCCACATCGACGACCTGCGCAGCTCCGAGGACCTGCTCGGCGACGTCGTCTCCATGTGGGGCCTCTCTCTCAGCGAGGTGTTCGCGCGCTGCTGCGGGGTCACACGTTCAGGTGCTCGCCGGACGAGAGTCTAAAAGGAACGGCTGATCACAGCAAGCAACACAACAACACGTCCCCCATCGTCATCCTTGCCGTCCATATAATCGGTCCACACGTATGAGAGGCAGTGCCAGTTTGCTACAGACACCGCGGTATTTTCCGGGGTGGCCGACGGTGCTCAAAATCGCCCCGCGAAATCACAACCAGGCATGCACATAGCACGGTTCGGTGCACTGCGAGTGCCTGCCCCACCACCCCCACCCCCCTGCTACCCCCCCCCCCACCCCCCTGCTACCCCCCCCCCCCCCCTCGTGCGCCGTGCCGGCCTACATTGGTACCCATCGCGAAAAGCACTTGCCCCCACCGTCTGTTCAATGCTATCCTGGGGGGCCCTTTGTCTTATTCGCCCCTCCCCCTCCCAACAGAAAGCACAGAGGGGGAGGAGCCGGAGGAGGAGCGGAGAGGTTACCTGCGGAGTGTGCCCAGCCGAACACCTTGGCTGGTATGGAGCAAGGCGCGGCTGTTTGATACCAATTGTGTCATCGGTTCTAAATTCGCCGTCTCGGCTCTGTGGGATCGCGACAGGGCCGGATTAAGTTTCTTGTGGGCCCTAGCCACTTCTGTTTCCTAAGCCTTCAGTGATAACTACCTACAGAATTTTACTGCTGCGCCATGTCACTGCTACCGCTGCTGTCACTACGCTTGGTTCTCACGTGGGTACATTGGTTGGAACTTTCTACGGTTGGTAGGGCTGGATTGAGGTTCTTGTAAGCCCTTGGCACTTCTGTTTCGTAGACCTTAGGTGATAACTTGCCGACAATTGGGTACTGCTGCCCCATGCCACTACCGGCCACTGCCACCGTGATGATGATGAGAGAGAGACATGCAGACTCCAAATATACAGCAGCAGGCGTCAGGGTTGGAATTGAACCCCACAACCTCCTGTATACCAGGAGAGGTAGTTAAAATCTCCTAGCCACCATGGCCCCCCTATGGACCACAATACCAGCTAGCATGATAGAGTCATCACACTGTTGACCTTAACCTTCGAACAACGCAGCTTGACTGATGATGCTACCGCTGCCACTGCCGCTCAGAAAGAATCAGCGGGCCTGCTGCAGCGTCCGCACCCATGTCAGCAGTTGATGCGGTTATACTCGACGATGATGACGACGAGGATGATGATAACAACGATGTTGACAATTATGATAACAACTATAACAACGACGACGATGATAACGATGATGACGACAATGATGATAACAATGACGACGATGATGACGATCATGATAACGACGATGATGGCAACGATGATGATAACGATGACGACGATGATGACGATCATGATGACGACGATGATGATGGGGTGGGGGGGTGGTGGGGTGTTGGGGTGAGGGGGTGTGGGGGAGTGCGGTGGTGGGGGTGTTGGGGGGAGTGGGGGGTTCGGTGGTGGGGGTGGTGGTGGGAGTGGTGGGGGGAGTGGGGGGTTCAATGGTGGGGGTGGTGGTAGTGTGGTGTTGGGGTGAGGGGGTGTGGGGGAGTGCGGTGGTGGGGGTGGTGGGGGGAGTGGGGGGTTCGATGGTGGGGGTGGTGGTGGGGTGAGGGGGTGTGGGGGAGTGCGGTGGTGGGGGTGGTGGGGGGAGTGGTGGGGCGAGTGGGGGGTTCGGTGGTGGGGGTGGTGGTGGGGTGAGGGGGTGTGGGGGAGTGCGTTGGTGGGGGGAGTGGGGAGTGCGGTGGTGGGGGGTTCGGTGGTGGGGGTGGTGGGGGGTGGTGGTTCGGGGGCTGGATCGGCATCTGTGTCTGTGCACCAACAGACGTCCACGGGCAGCGCCCGCCGCCTGGTGGCGAGCTGCGTGCAGGCGGCGTGCAGCTCGCTGCGGGACCCCCCCGCGCTCTCCGCCCGATCCACGCGGCGTGTCCACTTGCTGCTGCAGCTGCTCGAGACACACGGTGAGCCCCTCTCTATGAGTCGTCCTTTCTCTATCTCCGTGAGATCATGGAGCGAATACTGCGATAGCGATGGGTTACAAGTTGAAGTTATTACTATTACTACCACGATTAAATGACAGTGGTCAGGATCACTCGATTTGCTCTTGTCATGAGAGCTTCGCCAAATCTGAACGGCTCACGTGCCCGCGGTACAAGGCGGGGGAGGAGGCGGCAGTGATGTTGCTGGTGCCGTGTGGGTGGGGCAGATAACGGCAGCGAATCGAACCCGCCGGGGGATGCGCAGGGAATTGCCTCAGCATTGGGGCGGCGTTCGGCCAAGCGCCTCCGGATCCACGTTGAGAAGCAGCGGGGAACCCGGAGGAGGAGGCAGGGTGAACACTAAGAGCTCCATACACAGAGAGGAGCGCCCGATCCGGGGAGTCGAGCACAGAGGGCCCCTTGTCGCTGTGAGGCACGAGCTTCGGCCACTGTGCCACCCTGTCACCCGCAATGCACCACATGTGTGGTCACAAGCTGGTGGTGTGTGGCTCCCACAATGCACCGCGTGTGTGGTCACAAGCTGGTGGTGTGTGGCTCCTACAATGCACCGCGTGTCTGTTCACAAGCTGGTGATGTGTGGCTCCCACAATGCACCGCGTATCTGTTCACAAGCTGGTGGTGTGTGGCTCCCACAATGCACCGCGTGTCTGTTCACAAGCTGGTGGTGTGTGGCTCCCACAATGCACCGCGTGTCTGTTCACAAGCTGGTGGTGTGTGGCTCCCACAATGCACCGCGTGTCTGTTCACAAGCTGGTGGTGTGTGGCTCCCACAATGCACCGCGTGTCTGTTCACAAGCTGGTGGTGTGTGGCTCCCACAATGCACCGCGTGTCTGTTCACAAGCTGGTGGTGTGTGGCTCCCACAATGCACCGCGTGTGTGGTCACAAGCTGGTGGTGTGTGGCTCCCACAATGCACCGCGTGTCTGTTCACAAGCTGGTGATGTGTGGCTCCCACAATGCACCGCGTGTCTGTTCACAAGCTGGTGGTGTGTGGCTCCCACAATGCACCGCGTGTCTGTTCACAAGCTGGTGGTGTGTGGCTCCCACAATGCACCGCGTGTCTGTTCACAAGCTGGTGGTGTGTGGCTCCCACAATGCACCGCGTGTGTGGTCACAAGCTGGTGGTGTGTGGCTCCCACAATGCACCGCGTGTCTGTTCACAAGCTGGTGATGTGTGGCTCCCACAATGCACCGCGTGTCTGTTCACAAGCTGGTGGTGTGTGGCTCCCACAATGCACCGCGTGTCTGTTCACAAGCTGGTGGTGTGTGGCTCCCACAATGGACCACGTGTCGGGTCACAAGCTGGTGGTGTGTGGCTCCCACAATGCACCGCGTGTGTGGTCACAAGCTGGTGGTGTGTGGCTCCCACAATGGACCACGTGTCGGGTCACAAGCTGGTGGTGTGTGGCTCCCACAATGCACCGCGTGTCTGGTCGCAAGCTGGTGCTGTGTGGCTCCCACAATGCACCGCGTGTCAGGTCACAAGTTGGTGGTGTGTGGCTCCCACAATGCATGGCGTGTCTGGTCGCAACTGTGGTGTGTGGCTCCCACAATGCACCGCGTGTCTGGTGACAAGCTGGTGGTGTGTGGCTCTCACAATGCACCGCGTGTCTGGTCACAGGCTGGTGGTGTGTGGCTCCCACAATGCACCGCGTTGTCTGGTCGCAGCTGTGGTGTGTGGCTCCCAGAATGCACTGCGTGTCTGGCCGCAGCTGTGGTGTGTGGCTCCCACAATGCACCGCGTGTCCAGTCATAAGCTGGTGGTGCGTGGCTCCCACAATGCACCGCGTGTCTTTTTGCTGAATTTGTGTTTGGCTCGCACAATGTACCGCGTGTCTGGTCGCATGCTGCGGTTGTGTGGCTCCCACAATGCACCGCGTGTAGTGCCGGCTCCCACAATGCACCGCGTGTCTGGTTGCAGCTGTGATGTTCGGCTCGCCCAATGCACCGCGTGTGTCTGGTCGCAGGTTGTGGTTGTGCGGCTCCCACAATGCACCGCGTGTCTGGTCGCAGGCTGTGGTTGTGCGGCTTCCATAATGCATTGCGCGTGCAGCGACGGCTCTCACAGTGCACCGCGTTGTCATTCTCCGTAGGGGAATTTTCGGAGGAGCTGATGAGGCAGATCCTTCGTCTGATGAAGAGGAGGGACGAGGACACAGATGCGCCGTGTGACTGGATGCTGAAAGAGGCCTGCAAAGTGAATGCCATCCAGGAGGGCGGCTCCTTTCGGTAGCCACACGTCCGCTGTCCATCATCAGCATTGCCGTCATCGTGATCGTCAGCGTCATCAACATTATCGTCATCATCGTGATCGTCAGCTTCACCAACATCGTGGTCGTCGTCATCATTGTTGTCATCGTGATCATCAGCTTCACCAACGCCGTCGTTGTCATCGTCGTCATCATCATCGTCAGCTTCATCAACATCGTCATCATCGTCGCCATCATGATCATCAGCTTCATCAACATCGTCGTCATCATCGCGATCGTCAGCTTCACAAACTTCGTCGTCGTCATCGTCACCATCATCATAATCGTCAGTGTCACCAACATCGTCGTCATCATCATCATCGTCGTCGTCATCGTTTTCGTCAGCTTCATCAACGTCGTCGTAATCGTCGTCATCACCGCCATTGTTCCCATCAGCAGCAGCGTCATCGTTACGATCGTTATGATCACCATTCAGGGTTACCGTCATCATCATCATCGCCATCCACATCATCAGTGAAAGTGCATCGCACCTGTCATTCACTGCTGTTGCTGCATACAGACCGCGTGTTGGTCTGTGTGTGTGTGCATTATGGGGAGCGGTGGCGCAGTGGTTAGCGCTATGCTGCGCTACGAACCCGGCGGCCCGAGTTCGATTCCCGCTCACGGCCAACACCAGCGACGATCATCTGAACCGATCATGGGTCTCCCCTAGGTCTACTCATCCTCAAATGAGTACCTGGTGCGGTCTGTAAGCAAAGGCGGTCGGGCGTGGTGCTGGCCACCCACCTGCTCATGTGTCGTGCTGGCCTTCATAGGTGCTAACAGCACTTGCCCCAACAGTCTGTAAAAGCCATCCGGGGGATCTTAGTCCGTGTATCGTTATCCATGTGCTTATCTCTACCTACGGGGGCGGCTAGCACGTAGCAGGCTGACTACGGGTGGTGCATCTGCCGGTCATCCAAGTCAGTCAACCAGTAGCACCTTGACCTATCCTGGTGACCTACACCTAGCCAGGCACGGTAAGTCAACCCGTTGCAATCGGGTCTGTCCCGTGACCTTCCCCCAGCAGGGAGCCTTCGACATTGCAGCGTGACCTCAAGTTGCACCTAGCCTGGCACACGCCAGGCTAGGAAGGGCCTTTGCTATAGATGCCCCTAGGGTCTGGAATGCTATCGCAAATAAACTCCAGCCTGGATCACTACCTAAAGACCATCACTCAAAACTGCTCTAGAGGAGTTGTACAAGCGTAGCTACCACTGCTATCCAGTGGCCTGAAATCAAATATATAGCTATAGGTGACCAATGCGAGAAATGATCATGTATTTCGATTTTAGTGTGCTGCTTACTACTATTGTTACTCCTGCTATTATGGATTGACTCATGCAGCTAGCAAAGGACGCTAGGTTTAGTAATATATGTTACGTATGTCGCTATTGTTAACTTTTAATCAAATTTGTTATGGTCGCCGTTACATTATCCCGATTTTTTTATATAGTATAGAGTTAGACTACACATTTTATATAAATTGTATTATGATTGTTATTGTGATCAAACATCAAAATGTGATTTTTTTTGCACATATTTGTACGCAGCATAAACAAATGGTGCCTTTTCTGGAATATTTTATTGTTTTTGTAGGGGATGTTTAAATTCTCGTCCAGTAAATGTGAAATGTATCTTGTAATTTTATTATTTGTTGCGGATTGCACCCGAATCAAGACCCGAATGGCTCACAGGGTTATTCCAAATAAATGAAACTGAAACTAAACCGCCATTTTGTGCCGTCGTTGTTTGTGCGCAGGCACACCCTGTGGCGCCGCCTGCAGGCCGTGGTCACCCCATTGCTGGCTCAGCTGCTGTCCGTCGTGGACCGGGACTCCAACCTGGACCTCCTGACTCGGGCCGACCTGCCAGCAGGATCTGCGCTCCCTGTGGATGCAGGTGTTCCGCGACACGCGTGTGCTTCACGTGCCCTACAGCAACGACATCAGTTGGTGAGCTTGCGGACTAAGGCAGCGTGGTCTTCGTCGTCGTCAAATCACTCGATTTTAATCACATGGCAGCAATCATCGCCGCTCTGCTTGCAGCAGACTAAAGGCCCAATCAGTAGAACCAGGTGCTGAGTCGCCTTGTGCCACACATGGGCAGCTGCCACTCGGGGTGCCCCTAGGCTAGACCACACACAGCAGCAACAGCAATCATCACCCCCTGACTGCCAGACTGCAAATGTTCAAATGATCAGCCACTTTGTTGGGCTATCATTTGTGGCCCGGACGCTTTTGAACAATAAGTTTAATACTTCAATGGGGCTTTGCCTGGTAGGATGGGGATGGTTTAGTGTTGTGTTTGTTTGTTGTCTGGGTGATTTGTTTACCTTTCTTGTACTTGGCACTACTGTCGTGTTTGTGTAACCGTTTGTTGATGTAACGTCCCTACCCCGTGCCTTGACTGGACATGTATGTGAAAAGAGCTTCATAGCTCATCGGATTGCTCCTTCAGTTTACAGATTCTGATTCTGAATAGCCACACAGTGACAGCTGCCACTGGGGGTGTCTTTGAGTTGTGCGCCTTTTGGCGTCATCTGGTCCAACACCAATGTGAGACTAGGCTCTAAGAAAAGCTGTCTCGGGTGTGGACCAATCAATTTCAAGGACAATGCATACATTATCCGAGTTGTGTTTTTGTTTGCATTTTGACCGCAAGTGTTGTGGTTAATGCAAACCTGATCCCTTGTATAAAGGTGTCAGTTTTGTTGCCAGGTAAAAGGGTAAAAACCTATTACTATGATCTGATCTGTTCGTCGCTTAGCGCATGGAAAACACCGTGAGATGCCCCAGAATTAAAGGATGGTGGCTGTATTACAAAAAAACCGTGATCATCACGCTCATTATCGTCATCAGCAGGAGGAGAATCATCGCCATCGCCATCATCATCATGTTGACATTACCAGCAGCAGCAAGATGATCGTCATCATGTTTCCGTTCATCGTCGAGGTTTATTGCCATCATCATCATCATCATCATCTTCACCGTAACCATCATCGTCATCATGTTCATTGCCATCGTTATCATCATTGTAATCTTCACATTCATCATCATCATGTTCACGTCATAATCATTGTCACCTTCACATTCATCATCACGTTCGTCATCACCACCGCATTGACAGCCACGGCCATCGGGCCCTCACCCATGGCCCCCGTTCCGCGATCGGCGCGTGCAGGGGCAGGAGGGAGGAGATCCGAATGCCCTCCTCCTACGGGGAGCAGCAGCAGCGAGCGTTGCAGGGGCAAGGCTGCGCCCTGCCCTTCAGCTGGATCTTCCGGCAGCAGCTGGAGCAGCTGTGGTGGGAGGCCAAGCACCTGAGCAGTGAGACTCTCTCCCCACCGGCACCAGCTGCGAGCGGCCGCGCGCCGTTACCGCCGGGCCGCGTGGCCGAACGATCACCGGATCCCGGGAAAGCTCACACAGGCGCACTGCTCGGTCACAATCTTTTTGTTTAGCTCTTTGTACCTCTCCCTATCCTAACAGGTGAGCGAGTTAGACCACATTCATCATGATGATGTCAATGATGATGTCGACGATGATGACAATGATGTCGATGATGTCGACGATGTTGATGATGGCGACAATGTTGACGGCGCTGACGATGACGATGAGAACGACGATGATGATGTTGACGATGACGACGTTGCGTGCAGGGTCGCTGGGCGGCGAGTCGAGCGAGCGACGCCTCCCGGGGCTCTTCACCTCGTCGTGCCTCGGCTCGCTCTGCTCACAGCTGGGCCCCTCCTGCCGCTCGAAGCTCTCCCTGCTCTACCTCCACGACCTCGTCGCCACCTCCTTTCCCATACGCACCCCCAACGAGCTCCAGGTAACCCCACCACCACCCCCAACCCACACACCGTTATAACAGGGAACGTGCGCGCCGTGTTATCATGGAATGCGCGGCCGTTATATCTCGGTTTCTGAGCGGTCGACGACGAACTACGATAAGGCGGAGTAGCCTCGTCTCCCTGTTGCCGGAGTGGGGGGGGGGGGAGGTGACCGGTACAAGGGCAATGCAGAAGAGGGGTGACCGGTACAATCTCAATGCAAATGCCGACAGATGCTGCGGTGCGTCTGGACAGCGTCTCTTGGCATGCGATCCGTGCGCCCCGCTTGCTCAACTTCCCTTCTTTGCCCCCCCCCCTCCGCACGGCCACCAGCTGCTGTGTCTGGCGCTGGCGGAAGCGTCGGCCGAGCAATGGGGCCAGGACGAGATGTCGCCGGTGGGAGTCCACGCGGCGCTGGAGACGGTGCGCCCGCGGCTCCAGAACCTGCTGCGTTTGGCGGCCGCCTTCCCCGACGTGGCGGAGAGGATCGCTGAGCAGAGCGAGCGCCAGGGGGGCGCGACGGAGATGGTGGGTTTCGGAGTCTTTGGCAAAGTCTTTGTCGGGGTGGTGGTGGCGTTGACGGTGATGGTGGTGGCGATGGTGGTGGTGGTGGTGATGGTGGTGGCGGTGCCGGCGATGGCCGCAGTGGTGGCGGCGATGGCAGTAGTGGTGGCGAAGGTGGTGGCAGTGGCCGCAGTGGCGGCGATGGTGGTAGTGGTCACATCGGTAGCGGTCAGCGCCCCGAGCGCGTCACCCCTCGTCGTGCCTCCGTCCCGCGCAGACCCTGGACCTGCAGACCGCCGTCTCCTGCCTCGAGTCCCTGGAGCCTCCCGCTCTGCCGGAGGAGGCGGAGGAGGCCGAGGCAGCGGCCGCCTGGGGCCGCTGGCTCAGCCGCGTGGGAGCCGTGCGGTCCGTGATGGAGCGGATGGCGAGCGCGGACTACGGGGAGCAGTGCGGCCCGGGCGGCCGCTCGCTCGTCACGCTCACCAGGTGAGAAAGGGACGGCCCGGCTACTCGCCAAACTCTCGCCGGGCGTGGTGGGGGGGGCGGTGAGGGGGCAGTGGGGGGGGCGGGAGGGGGTACTGTCACTCACGAGGCGAGTAAGACGTCGGTGTAACTCAACCAGCTGAGTATCTCTTCGAAATGAGGGTCTCCGTGTTTCTGTGTCTCGGTATCTCTGTGTCTCCGTGTCTTCGTGTATCAGTGTCTCTATGTCTAGGTGTCTCCGTGTCTCTTTTTATCGGTGTCTCTGTGTCTCCATCTCTCCGTGTGTCCCAGGACGCTGCTGTAGTGCATGCTGCACATGTGTGTCTATGTCTCCGTGTCTTTGTGTCTCTATGTGTCTCAGGACGCTGCTGCAGCGCGTGCTGTGCGTGTCTCTGCTGGTGGAGCACGTGGTTTGGGGATGCCGCCAGGACGCCGCTCTGCTGCGTCTCACCTCTCCTCTCCCCGCCGCGCTGTGGCAGGTACACAGCTGCGCGTGTGCATGTGTCTGTGTCCGTGTGTGCGTGTGTCTGCGTGCATGTGTGTGTATGTCGCCATGAGTGTGTGCATGTGTAGTTGGTTTACCGAGGTTGTACAGCGGCAGTCGGTTAACCGAGGTCGTACGGCGGTAGCTGGTTAACCGAGTATGTAGGGCGGTAGCTGGTTAACTGAGTTTGTAGGGCGGTAGTCGGTTAACCGAGTTTGTACGGTGGTAGCTGGTTAACCGAGTTTGTACGGTGGTAGCTGGTTAACCGCGTCTTCCGCCTGTCCGCCTCGCTCTGTCTGCAGGCACTTGCCCTCAACTCGGATATGAAGCAGCTGGCACCACTGGAGACGACGATGGCCCTGCTCAGCTCCTGCGTGAGGAATACCAAAACCCTGCCCCACAGGTGAGCTCCTCTTAAAGGCACCCTGTGTCACTCGTGAGCTCCTCTTAAAGGCGCCCTGTGTCACTCGGGAGCTCCTCTTAAAGGCACCCTGTGTCACTCGTGAGCTCCTCTTAAAGGCACCTTGTGTCACTCGGGAGTTCTTCTTAAAGGCACCCTGTACCAATGTTGAGCCACCCTTAAAAGCATCCTGTGCCAGTGTTGAGCCCCCCTTTAAAGGCACCTTGTGCCACTGAGCTCCTCTTAAAGGCACCCTGTGTCACTATGGAGCTCCTCTTAAAGGCATCCTGTGTCACTGGTGAGCCCCCCTTAAAGGCACCCTGTGTCACTCGTGAGCCCCCCTTAAAGGCTCCCTGTGCCACTGTTGAGCCACCCTTAAAGGCACCCTGTGCCACTCGTGAGCCACCTCTTTGTCTGTGTGCACACGGCCAACCTGTGGACATGCAATCGTTGAATCCATATGTGCAGGGCACGCAAGAAAGCACGGGAGTCGCTGTGCAGCGTCGTGACGGTCTTCTTCACTGAGCTCGTGTCTCAGCTGAGCTTCCGGGGCCGTGCGGCGCCATCGCACCCCGTCCTGCACCGCCTCCTCGACATGCTGCTCCTCGAGCAGAGCACCGGTGAGTGTGTGTCTGTGAGTGTGTGTCTGTGAGTGTGTGTCTGTGAGTGTTTGTCTGTGTGTGTGTCTGTGTAGGTGTACCTCCTCATGGTGCCGAACGGGCAACGCTGTGGTGGGCAGTGCTGTGGGGGGAGGGCCAATTCCGATTGGCCTTTCCCTTCATGGCCTTTGTAACCACCACAGTAGCCAAATGGGGGCTCTGGGCGGGTGTGAGGGGCTGGTAACCCCTCCACCTTCAATTAATTACCACTAAACCACACCACAAAATGTAATAAATATGCTTGTGCCGAAGGCCCCGGGGGGACAGGCGTCTATGACGTCCCCTGGCCAAACCCCAATTGGCGGAGTCAGGAGACTGAATTTTTACCCTCGGGGCTCCTCCAGAAACAACAAATAAACACTACTTGTGGCCACGTGGAATGTTCGAACGATCACTGCGGAGGAGAGGCTGCCACTCCTCTGTCAGGAGCTGGACCGGTACCGCCTGGATCTCTGTGGTAATCAGGAGGTCCGGTGGACCGGCTCTGGCTCCTGCCACCATGAGGGGTGGACAGTCCTCTACTCGGGGCAGGAGACTGCCAAACAACAGGGAGTGGCTCTTCTTCTGAACAAAAGAATGAAGGGGGCGTGAGAGCGTGGTGGTGAGGTGTGGGAAGCTGTAAGCCCAGGCTACTTTGGGCTCACCTTCTCATCAACCAGAGGTGAGGAGTGGTGGTCGTGGTTACTTATGCCCCCATTGAAGACGAACATCCATGAAGGGATGCAGGCAAGGCCGATGAGTCAGATGCCTTCTATGACCTCCTGTCACAGGTGCGAGCTGAAGTGGCCACTCGAGATAGAGTCATCTTGTTGGGTGACTTCAATGCCCGAGTTGGTCATGATGCTGGCACCTGGGCTGGGGTGATTGGAAGGCATGGGCCAGATCAGCTCAATAACAACGGTAGGAGGCTGCTAGATTTTTGTGCAGCCCATGGGCTTGTAATTACCAAGACGTTGTTCCGGCATTGGTGCATCCACACCACATCATGGATGCATGCCGGGTCCAAGCAAGATCATCTGCTGGACTACATAGTGACGGAACAATGGATGCGGGCCCATGTCCTTGACACCAGGACCTACCGTGGAGCTGATCTGCCCACTGACCATCGATTTGTCATCTGTAAGATGCACCTGCCATTCTTCCACTCCATGGTGGGTGTAAACCCAGGACCCCATTCCAACCCAAGGTGGCATGGTCTCAGCCAGCTGATGAAAGTTGCAAGCGAGAATTTCATCATCGCTTGTGGCTGGAGTTGGCATCGTCTCCCACTCCTCCTGATGTCGAGGGGAAATGGGCGAGGTTTAGGACTGTGACTCATGCAGCTGCAATGGCTGCTTTGGGTACATGGCCCAGATCTCCCCAGAGACCCTGGCTGAGAGAGGAGATGTTCAAGCCGGCTGAAAAAAAGCGACAGGCCCACTCTCATTGGCTACAGCATCCCACGTCAGAGAATGAGGAGGCTTACCACAGCCTTCACTCAGAGGTTCGGAGAGCCGTGAGGTGCTGCAAGGTTGGGTGGTGGTCGCGGGTTTCTGAGGAGATGGAGTCTCAATGGCCCGCGATCACAAATCGCTCTTTATTCCATCAAAATAACCTGCAGCGCCACACCTATTACCATCATTAGGGGAAAAAACGGTGATCCAATCTCCGACCCCCAGGAACAGATTTGCAGATTTGTTGAGCATTTCTGTGAGGTCCTGGGGAAGGGGATATCCCTCTGCCAGGAAAACAACATGGGACAAAATGAGGATGACCCTGCCGAGGCTGCGGTGCCTCAAATATTGGAAAAGGAAGTCACCCCCTGTGAGTGGCTGGCTGAGGTACCATTTGTTGAGGAAGTAATGAAGTTGATCCAAAGTCTGAGACCAGGAAAGGCACCGGGCAGAGATGATCTCCCAGGCGACATGCTGAGGGAGGGTGGCGTTTGTGCACAGACTGCCCTACATGACATCATAACAACAGTCTGGACCACTGGACGGGTTCCGCACGATTGGAAGGATGCCCTGGTGGTCCCCCTTTTTAAGAAGGGGGACCGCACAGACTGTGACAACTACAGGGGCATCTCACTCCTCAGTGTTCCGGGAAAGGTCCTGGCAAAGATTATTCGACATCGCCTTGCTAGGCACGCTGAGGAGAGGCTTGCTGAGCCCCAATGTGGTTTCAGGAAAGGGTGGTCCTGCACAGATTCCATATTTTCTGTCCGTCTGCTACAGCAGAGGTATAGATAATTCCAACAAGACCTACATCTCTGCTTTCTATTTTGACCACGTACTTCATGAAGCCCTCAATAGCTGTACCGGAGGAATTTCCATCTGGTACAGATGCAATGGGAGGCTGATCGATGCCCGGGTGGGTTTAACCAGGCTGGATTGTGTGAGCAGCTCACAAATCCTTGAAAAATCTGGACAAAGTCCCATCGGTGAGCTCATCCGGCAGGCAATGATGCGTTGGCTGGGCCATGTAGCCCAGCCACCGCATGCCTAAACAGCTTTTGTTCGGCCGGATGTGGAGCTGAGTGGACTTGCCGATGACTTGTACCAGCGGTGTCAAGATCGGCCTTTGTGGAGAAGGCTCGTGAAGGACGCTACTGGGCAGTTGGAGGCAGTCGCCCTTCAATAACAACGGAAGGGGGAGGAGCGACGCTCATAACAACGAGCGGAGCGCCGAGTGGCTAAAGTACAGCAAGTTGGCACAGTAGGGGGCACAGGTGGTGCATCAGCCAGTCGTCTCAGTCAGTCGACCTGTGGCATCTGGGTCTGCCCCGTGACCTCCTGCCAGCGGGCATTCGACACTTCACGTGGCCTCAAGGTGCACATAGCCTGGCACAAGCATCGTGGTGATGTCACCACCACTTAGTGGCCAATGGCGGTTGTTGTTGTGTAAGTGTGTGTGTAAGCATGTGTGTTAGCGTGTGCGGAGCGGTGATGTAGTGGTTAGCGCGCTGCGCTACGAACCTGGTTGCGCAGGTTCGATTCCCGCTCACTACCAACACCGGTGACGATTATCTGAACGCGCCTTCAACACTTCAGTCCCAGATCACACCAACACATCAACAACAGTCCCAGACCACTCCAAGACAACAACAACAAAAACAACAACAGTCTCACACCCCACCAACACAACAACAGTCCCAGACCACACCTTGACAACAACAACAGTGCCAGACGACACCAAGGCAACAACAACCCCAGACCACACCAAGACAACAACAACAGTCCCAGACCACACCAAGACAACAACAACAACCCCAGACCACACCAAGACAACAACAACAGTCCCAGACCACACCTTGACAACAACAACAGTCCAGACCACACCAAGGCAACAACAACCCCAGACCACACCAAGATAACAACAACACTCCCAGACCACACCAAGACAACAACAACAACAACAAGAGTCTCACACCCCACCAAGACAACAACAGTGTCAGACCACACCAAGACAACAACAACCCCAGTACACACCAAGACAACAACAACAGTCCCAGACCACACCAAGACAACATCAACCCCAGAAAACACCAAGACAACAACAACAACACTCCCAGACCACACCAACACAACAACAACAACCCCAGAACACACCAAGACAACAACAACAGCCCCTGAATTAAACGTGGTCGCGTTCACGTGGAAAGCCACCGCTCGCTAATCGATCGGTGGGGTTGTTGTTGTTGTCGCGCATCTGGCGGCCTTCCAGAGGGGACGCAGTGCGGAGAGGGGAGCCCCTGGGCGGACTGCATCCGCCCGAGCCCGGCCCTGCGCTCGGCACTGCTCAAGCTGCTGCTCCGCTACGCGTGAGTGGCCGCCTTTGCCCCCCTTTGCCCCCAGCGCGCCGAGCGCCGTCGCTTCCTTCCCTCTGCCCCGGCCGCCGCGCAAATCGTTCCCGGGGTCGACGTGCGACCGCCCCCACCCCGTCAGCGTCCCGCACCCTGCAGCGCTGCCTGTAGCACAGGGCTGTGCTGCACGTAGTTGCTTGTTGTACAGCGCTGTGCTGCACGTGGTTGCCTGTAGTACAGCACTAGGCAGGCACCGGCGAGGGTTGCTGCATCACACACGGAGGTTTCTAAACTCCCTTCCCGTCGGGCGTTCGAGGAGAAGCCGTGCCCCTTGGATCGCTAGGCGGTACAGCAAAGTGCGCACGAATCTCCGTCTGTCTCGTCTCTACGGGATAGAGTGTTGCCCCCTTGCACGCGAAGGGATTTCACCGGGCGCTGCCGTTTCCTGCGACGCATAGAGCACCCATTTAATTGGCCGAAAACATATCTCCTTCTAGAGGGCCGCAAAACTTGGGCAATGTTCGGTAGGGCCGGTTCCTCACCGCCGCGTGGCTGCTGCTGCTGCCTCCCCCTGCTTGTCACTGGTTCCTCCTCCTGGCGCCTCTGAGTCGTCCTCCCTCCTCCCTCGTCTCTCTCTATCTCTACCTTTCTTGAGTGCGAGCGGTGCTGCTTTGATCGCTCCTAAACCGCTGCGAGCTTCTGCGTGGGGAGTGAATCGCAAAACTTCCAGAGCTCTGTGCCCCGTCGAGGACTCGGCGAGCGTAGGCGCTGATGGCACGGCGAGTGCTCGTTCAACGCGCTAGCGGCGGCGGCCGCAGCGGTGGTGTCAGTGGTAGCAGCTGTAGCGGGGACAGCAGTAGGGGTAGTAGAAGTGGCAGTAGAAGCGGCAGTAGGAGTAGCAGCTCTAGCGGAGTAAAAGTGGCAGTAGTAGCAGTGTTGGGATGCGTTCCTGAAAAGTGCCGCAGGATGCAAGTGACGATAAAGTCTGGCGAGGCACGATGACCCCACCACTGCTACTACTGCTGACATCATCAGCTTCACCTTCGTCATTATCGTCGTTGTGCATGCGAGTGCAGCGGCGAGGAGGTGCGTGAGCACCTGGATCGACACCTCATCAGTCTACAGCAGCGTCCATCCCCTAGGGTCGCAGATCTCTCACAGCTGTGCGTGCTCATCGTCAGCTGCTTCGAGGTGAGTACCCAGCAGTGAGTAGAGCATGGCTCGTAGTGATGAGGTCTTCATCACCGAACCGCACCTCCGATTTTAGCACAGTTGGCTACGTGCAGTGCTAAAGAAGTTGAACGTCCATCGTCATCTTATATTTGTGTGAGTCTACGGGTATCTGTGTGAGTATTCGGGTCTCTTGTGTGAATTTATGTGTCTGCACGTGAGTCTATAGATCTCTGTGTGAGTCTACAGGTCTCTCTGTAAATCTCCGGGGTTCCGTGTGAGTCTGCGGGTCTATGTGTGAGTCTATGGGTATCTGTGTGAGTCTATGTGTCTCTGTGCGAGTCTACGGGTCTCTGTGTGAGTCTATGGTTCACTGTCTAAGTCTATATGGGTCACTGTGTAAATCTACTGGTCTCTGTGTGAGTCTTCAGGTCTCTTTGTGAGTCTTCAGGTCTGTATGTGAGTCGACGGGTCTCTGTGTGAGTTTACGGGTCTCTGTGTGATTATACAGGTATCCGTGTGAGTCTACGTGTTTGCACGTGAGTCTATGGGTCTCTGTGTGAGTCTACAGGTCTCTATGTAAATCTCCGGGGTTCCGTGTGATTCTACGGCTCTCTGTGTGAGTCTACGGGTCTCTGTGCGAGTCTACGGGTCTCTGTGCGAGTCTACGGGTCTCTGTGCGAGTCTACGGGTCTCTGTGCGAGTCTACGGGTCTCTGTGTGAGGCTATGGGTCTCCGTGCGAGTCTACGGGTCTCTGTGCGAGTCTACGGGTCTCTGTGTGAGTCTACGGGTCTCTGTGTGAGGCTATGGGTCTCCGTGTGAGTCTACTGGTCTCTGTGTGAGTCTACGGGTCTCTCTACGCTCCCCAGGACATGCTACACTGCGAGCTGGAGCGTCACTGTTCTGGCTACAGCTCGGCGCGACCGCAGGAAGCGGCACGGATGTTGCTGCAGCGACGGCAGGGATTGATGTTCACACCACCACCACCACTACCACAACCGCCACAACAACAACAACCGCCACAACAGCAGCGGCATTCGCTGCAACCTCCGCTCCCAGCCGTCGACATCCATGCACTCCAGCAGACGGCCGAAACCCGGGCGTGTCTCGACACGACCGGGCAGATCCTCCACCAGCTGCTCGGTGATTCATTGTTGTTGTTATTGTTTATCGCAGCGGCACGCGGGTGCCCAGGCCCAAAACCCCACCGGGAGATTCCAACGGGCAGGATTCAACGCAGGATCTGCAGACGTCCGTTGCACAGGCCAAATTTGGTACCTCGTGTTGAGAAGGGGGAGGACGGACACTGGGAAATGACGAGAAAATGTCACCGAAGGGCTTACGTCTGCCGGATTTCCGTCCGCTCGCAATCGCACTTCCGCTTGAGAACTGATTGAGATTTCGATTTAAAACGAGACCCACAGACAACTCGCACAGACGCTGTCTTTCCGACAGACCTGTTCTTCACCTGAGGACGGCTGCTTGCGTTGTGGCCGAAACGTCGTGAGAATTGTATTTGATTATGTTTTATTTTTATTATTTTATTATTTCCCTTCTACGTGACCTTACCGAAAGAACCAAGAAGCTGATTGAGATTACCGCTCGCTTTCCCGTCGCTGTCCCGTCGCTGTCCCCCCGACCTCCACCGTCCACTCTGCTCGTTTATGGCTCTGTAAGACCGAAGACCGATCGAGGTTTTTTTTTTAATCTCTGGGTACCCTATTTGGCAGTGCAATAAGTCCTCGCCTGACGCGTTGGTCTTCACGCGACAAAACGCTTTCGCTCCGATACGGTCGTTTCCGTGAGGTGAAAATGTTCACGTGTCGCGGACAGCACATACACCATTACAACGTGGAATGGGACGCCGTTCTAACGTGAAACGGACAGTTCTAACGCGGTACGGATGCACCGTTATAACGTGGGACGAGCACCATTATAACGGGGAACGCACGCGGTTATAAGACGGAATGGGCCACGTAATGCAGAATGCATGCGCCGTTATAACGCGGAATGAGACGCTGTTCTAACGTAAAACGGACACTGATAACGCGGAGCGTGCGTCGTTCTAACGCTGAACACGCACCATTATAATGCGGAACAGGCATCGTTATAATGCAACAGGCGCTGTTCTAATGTGAAATGTGTTCCGTTATAACAGGGAACACCCCCATTATGACTGCACTTTTCAGCAATGCATCTACCGTGTGAAACGAGACCCACAGACAACTCGCACAGAGACCCATACACTACTTATACTGAGACACATAGACTCACACTGAGTGCATTTATGAGTCTTTGTGTGAGTCTACGGGTCTTTGTCTGATTCTATGAGTCACTGTGTGCGTCTAAGAGTCTTTGAGACCCAAAGACTCACGCAAAGCCCCACAGACTCACACAGAGACTGATAAAGACTCACGCAGAGACCCCATAGACGAATCACCCGGAACGCGCGCCATGAATCCACCCACAGAGACGGGCACTGCGCTGGCGTCGGAGTGCGAGGGCCTCGTGCGGCGTGCGGAGGAGTTGTGCCGGCGGCCGGGAGGTGCCTGGCCCCAGCTGTACCTGCTCCGCTCCCTGGCGAGTCGCTTTGGACTCGACCGGCTTCCGTCGCTCTGCCACCGCTTCCCGTGGCTGCTGCCCCCCGAGCTGCACGGTCGGGAGGTGAGAGGGGCGAGGGTGGCTGGGAGATGTTGACTACCTCGCCCGGTATGCAGGAGGTCGTGGGTTCGATCTCGACCCTGACGCCTGCTGCTGTATATTTGGAGTTTGCGTGTCTCTCTATCTCATCATCATCATCACGGTGGCTAGGAGATGTTGACTACCTCGCCCGGTATGCAGGAGGTCGTGGGTTCGATCTCGACCCTGACGCCTGCTGCTGTATATTTGGAGTTTGCGTGTCTCTCTATCTCATCATCATCATCACGGTGGCTAGGAGATGTTGACTACCTCGCCTGGTATGCAGGAGGTCGTGGGTTCGATCTCGACCCTGACGCCTGCTGCTGTATATTTGGAGTTTGCGTGTCTCTCTATCTCATCATCATCATCACGGTGGCTAGGAGATGTTGACTACCTCGCCTGGTATGCAGGAGGTCGTGGGTTCGATCTCGACCCTGACGCCTGCTGCTGTATATTTGAAGTTTTCATGTCTTTCTCTCCACAGGCGCGTCAATGTTTCCCCCCGCACCTCAACGTGCGTTTAAGCGTATTTAGCCGCAACAAATCTCCACGTGATGAGTCGCTTTGTTGAGCTATCACTTCTCGCCAGGTCACTTCTGAAAGAGAGTTGCGTAGCCCAGTGGGCATTACCTGGTAAAATAAAAAATAGACTAGTTTAGAAGGCCATGGCCCCATGTCGGCATTGCCTCTGTCTGAGTCTGTCCGGTGAGCTCCTCCTCCTGCACCTAGCCTGGCACAGCAGTCAACCCGTGGCACCTGGGTCTGTCCCGTGACGTCCTCTGGCAGTAGCGACACTTTACTTGACAGCCTCAAAGGTGCACTTATCCTGGCACATGCACCGTGGTGACGTCACCGTGACTTAGTGGCGAACGGTGGTTGTTGTGTGTAGGTTGCCCCAATCGAGTATTTGGTGCGGTGTGTAAATATCGCCACTGGGGAGACAAAGGCAGCCGGGCGTGGTGCTGGCCACCCACCCCCTCGAGTGCCATGCCGGCCTTCATAGGTGCTCGCTAACAGCACTTGCCCTAACAGTCTGTTAAGGTTATACGGGGGATCTTTGTATTTGTGGTTTACCGTGTACACCCGGCAATGATGCACGAGTGTGTCCGTTAATGTATCACTGTGTTCTCTGTGTGTGTGATGTCGCGAGGGCGATGTTGTGAGTGCACGTGAGTTTGTGAGTGTGGATCCGTGTGTGTGAGTGTATATCGGCCAGTCATCTCAGTCGGTCAACCAATGGGACCTCGGTCTGTCCCATGACCTCCTCCTCGTGCTGCTGCTCGCTAACAGCACTTGCCCCAACGGTCTGTTGAAGGCTACCCGGGGGATCTTTGTCTGTGTGTGTGTGTGCAGGAGGAACTGGAGCCACGGATAGACTGGTTCCTGGCCTGTGGCGTGGACTATCGGACGACTCGTTCAGCACTCAGCAAAGCGATAATCGATTCTGACTTCAGCTCATTCAGCCCACAGGTGGGGTTCATCACTATCATCAACACCATCATCATCATCATCACCGTCATTACCCTCATTTTCACTATTATCGCCATCATTACCATCCTTACAACCATCATCACTGTCATCACCGTCATCATTACTGTCATCATCGTCATCATTACTGTCATCATCGTCATCATCACTATTATCACCATCATCACCATCATCACCATCACTACCATCATCACAGTCATTACCATCGTCATCACCACTGTCATCACCATCACACCACCGTCATCACCATTATCACCATCATCATTACTGTCATTATCGTCATCATCATTATCATCAACATCACCAACAACAACCGCCATTTGCCACTACGTAAGTGGCGGTGACGTCACCATGACGCTTGTGCCAGGATATGTGCACGTTGAGGCCACGTGAAGTGTCGAACGCCCGCTGGCAGGAGGTCACGGGGCAGACCCAAGTTCCACGGGTCGACTGACTGAGACGACTGGCTGATGCACCACCTGTGCCCCCTACTGTGCCAACTTTCTGTGCTTTAGCCACCCAGCGCTCCGCTCGTTGTTGTGAGCGTCACTCCTCCCCCCTCCGTTGTTGTTGGAGGGTGACTGCCTCCAACTGCCAAGTAGCATCATTCACGAGCCTCCTCCACAGAGGCCTATCTTGACACCGCTGATACCAGTCACCGGCAAGTCCACTAAGCTCCACATCCTCCTGTACCACATCACTCCATCTCGTCTCTAGCCCATTCCGCGCCCGTTTAGCCCCCTCGATCCGGCCAAAAAAAGCTGTTTAGGCATGTGGTGACTGGGCATGCTGGCTACCTGCCCAGCCAACGCAGTCTTGCCTGCAGGCAGAGCTCACCGATGGGACTTTGTCCAGATCATTCAAGGATTTGTGAGCTCCTCACACAATCCAGCCTGGTTAAACCCAGGATGGATCGTTGGCAGGCCAGCCTAAATGTTTCTAACCGGCGAGGATGTTCCATTAGGGGGGGGTCCACGTTTCGCAAGCATAGAGACTGTGGCCGAGAAGACCTGAAGCTTCGTGCGGAGCGACAGACCAGGTAGCTTCCACACAGAATTACGCAACCGATGAAAAGATAATGCCGCTCGACTGATTTGGATTGAGACCTCTGCTGTTAAACCGGAGCCGGTCATGAGCACACTGCCCAGGTATCAGGAAACTCTCCACTCTCTCCACAACTGCCCCATCACCAATTGGGAGTTGTGTGGGTGGAGTGTCCGATGGTACAAAATTCACAGCAAGGTGCTTAGTTTTGGTGGGGCTGATGGTAAGGCCCCACCTCTTAGTGACACGCGCCAGGTTCAGTAGCAGCTCCTCCTCTGAGTGAGCAGCATTTACCAGATCATCGGCATACATTACATGGTTGAGCCATAGAGATCCATCCCTTGACTGCATCCGGGCATCGATCAGCCTCCCATTGTATTTGTACCAGATGGAGATTCCTCTGGTACAGCCATGGAAGGCTTCTCGAACTACGTGATCGAAATAGATGTTAAATAAATAGGGCACCAGCTGACATCCCTGTCGCACCCCAAGTTGAACACGAAATGGCTCTGACTCCAGGCCACTTAACTTTACCCGGGGATCTGCCCACCATCATGATGGTCTATAATGATTGTGAGCAAGATAGTCATGGACATGGAAAGCACAGAGAACAACCCAGAGCCCTGATTTGTCGATGGTATCATAGGCCTTGGCCAGGTCAATACAGAGAGATCTGTGTATTGTTAGAATTCCCTTCACCCATGCTGTAGCAAACGGCATCTTTGCAGGACTGAGCTGAAGAGGAGCTGCCCCCTAGTTGTTACAGTCTGTGCAATCCCCCTTTTAAAGAGGGCGGGCAAAAGGGCATCTTTCCAATCCTGCAAAACCCTTCCAGTGCTCCAGACATTTATAATGGTGTCATTTCGGGCAGTCTGCACACAAACGCCAAACTCCCTTAGCCCGGCGATATTCCTGGTCTCATACTCTGGATCGCCTTCCGTCCTTCCTTAACAGATGGTACTTGAGGCAGCCACTCACAGCGGGTGACTTCTTCCAATATTTGAGGAACTGCAGCCTCACGAGAGTCATCCCCACTTTGCCCCATGAGGGATTCCCCTTCCCCAAGACGTCACACAAATGCTCAGGAAATCTGCAAACCTGTTCCTTGAGGTCGAAGATTCGGCAAATTCCATCTCCTCAGCAACCCGCGACCACCACCCATACTTGCAGCGTCGCACGGCCCTCCTATCCTCCAAACAAAGGTTGCAGTAAGCCTCATTCTCCGACGTTGGATGCTGTAGCCGATGAGAGTGAGCCTGTCACTTTTTCTCAGCCAGCTTGAACACCTCCTCCACCAGCCAGGGTCTCTCGGGAGGTTTGGACCGTGTACCCAAAGCAGCCATTGCAGTTGCATGAGCCACAGTCGTAAACCTTGCCAATTTCTCCTCGGCATCAGTAGGGGGGGGGGTGGTGGACGATCCCAACCCCAGCTGCAAGCGATGATTAAATTCTCCCTTGCGACTTTCGTCAGCTGGCTGAGACCAGGCCACTGTGGGTTTGAATTGGGTCCCAGCTGAACACCCACCACCAGAGTGGAAGTAATGGCAGGCGCATCTTACAGACAGCAAGCCGATGGTCTGAGTCGATCGAGAGGAAAGAGAATTTACTCGGATTGGAACTCAGGATCTCAGCAGCAGTGCCGGCTCAACAGCGACCCCTGACCTCTGGAGCCAGCACGTGGCCTCCACGGCCGCCTCTGCCCCCCCCCCCTGACCCTACGGTCCCCTTCCCTTCCGACAGGCGTCAGGTGCCCACAATGCAGAGCGGCAGGTGCTGCTGGTGCTGGCCGTATACCGGGAGCTGACGTCCACCTCCCAGGAGCGAGTGGCCAATCAGGTGAGGAGCTGGGGGTGGGTGGGGGATGGATTGTTGGGGGGTGGGGGCAGTTGCAGTGCTGGATGAAGCTAGTGCGAGGCCTGTAGCATATGTTATAAAGGGGCCCTAAATAAAAAAAACACGTGTAAAATAAAAACACGCACATTTTTTGCTTACACAGTAAAGTACAGCCAGATAATACGACAAATCGCTAACCTTAAACACCCGGTCGTGCATAAAAGTTGAAGGCGGTATAGTACAATAGTAATAGAGCAAGTGCAGAATCTCTGAACCGGAATTGATAGCTTGAAAGCGTTTAGCGTGGGGCCCTTGAAAGTGCGGGGCCCGTAGCTCCTACATATGTAGCTACTTTTGCTACAAGGATCATCCGGCACTGGGCAGTCCTTCCAAAAAACGGCCAACAAGGCATTTAACTCTCTCACTCTTCATTCCAAGCCATGAGCTCGTGCTCATGGCTTGGATTGTTGTGTTGGTATGTTGTTTTTGCTGTTGTTTTGCTGTTTTGCTGTTTTGTTGTGCTGTTGATTTGTTGTTGTGTTGTTGTTCTGCTGTTGTTGTCTCTTTTTGTGTTGTCGTTTTGTTGTCATTTTGTTGTTGGTTTGCTGCCTTGCCCGAGCTTGCATTTGGAATCGACATTTCTCGCGTGATGTGCACTTCCACGGCCATAGTCCAGGAGTTGGCAAACAAAATAACAAGAAGAACCAAATTCGTTCAAACAAACCTCAATATTTCAAGAATACGAGCCGGCGGTCCTTGATAAGCTAAACGAAACTAAACTATCTTTATTTTACCAGCTAAGAACCCACTGAGCTGGGTCACTCTTTTCCAGAAGCGACCTGCCCATCGCAAATTATAACTCAACAAAGTGGCCGATATTGTTGTGATGTCATATAGGGAAGTCTGCACAAACTCCAAGCGTGTAAGAAAATCGTGTAAAATAGCAATACCGTATTCACTTCCTTGCGCCCCATCCCAAATCCTCCCTCTCGCATAGCCCGATTATCTTCGTGGCAAAAGTAGCTAAACATGCTACGGGTCCCACACTTTCAAGGGCCCCACGCTAAATGCTTTCAAGCTATCAATTCCGGTTCAGTGATTCTGCACTTGCTCTATTACTATAGTACTATACCGCCTTCAACTTTTATGAACGACCGGGTGTTTAAGGTTAGCGATTTGTCGAATTATCCGGCTGTATAGCAAATGAAAAAAAAAAACAATTACTTTACTATGCAAGTATAAAATTTTTGTTTAAATATTTCCGTTTCTTTTTCTCATAATTTAGGGCCCATTAATAACATATGCTACAGGCCCCGCACTAGCTTAATCCGGCCCTGCTCTCTCGCCTCCGCCCCCCCCCCCCCCCACCTGCCTCCGCCACCGCCTCTCAGCTCCGAGAATTCTCCACCCACTGCCACCTCCTCCGAGCGTCCCCCCCGCTGCACGACCTGTGCCGGTCTCTGGTGCGGGACTCGTTCGCGGGGCCGCTGGCGGCGGCCGATCCCCGCCGCTCGCTCCTGGAGACGTTGGCCCACCTGGACGCCGTGCTCCGGGCCAGGCCCGCGAGCCGCCTGCTGGCTCCGCTGCGCCGCCTCGCCAGAGACCCCCGCGCCTTGCAGGTGGCCCAGAATTGGACGAGCTGAGTCGAAGTGGTTATTGTCCTCCCCTCCTCCTCCCCCTCCTCCTTCCTCCTGCTCCCCCTACTGCCTCCTCCTCTCTCCTCCTTCTCCTGCTCCTCCCATCCTCCTGCCTGCTCCCCTTCTCCTGCCCCCTCCTCCTCCCTCCTTCCCCCTCCTCCCTCCTCCTCCTCCCTCCCTCCTCCAAGACACTGGTGTAACCATTAACTCACTCACCCAGTCACCCACTCGCTCACAACCAGAACACCATCATCACCAGACCGATGCTGCACCCACATCTCCTTCAGTGGTTCCATTGTGGCAATACAACCCAAACTATGGACCGTTTAGTGAACCCACAAAGTACTCGCAGATACTCATAGAAGACCCATAGAGATACAAAGACTCATAAAAGACCCATATAGACACATAGAGACTCACAGCGATACATGAAAGACAAGTGGAAGTCGTGTGACTGTAACCATACACAGAGACACATAGAGACCCATCGAGATACATAGAGACCCATAATAATCAAACCACAGCAGTGCGACTGTGGCCATGCATCTCACACTGTGGACCGCACAGTAAACCCATAGAGACCCACATGGAAACAGACTCACAGAGATACATAGAGACCCACAGAGATACATAGAAACACATAGAGATACATAGAGACCCTTCGAGATACATAGAGGCCCCCCATAGATATACATAGGGACCCCCCATAGAGATACATAGACCCATAGAGATACATAGGGACCCATCGAAATACAGAGACTCATCGAGATACATAGAGACTCGGAGACTCATAGAGACCCCCCACCCACCCACCATCTATGGCTCGCAACCGTTATCCCCGCGACACCCAAGCCAACCCTCGTCGCGTCGCGCGTTTGCGCTGCCCGAGCCCCCGACTGTAAACTCCCCCCCCTCCCCCTGAGGCAAGGTCATGACTTTTGGGCCCCGCTCCACAGGACTCGCTTCTGGCCACGATGCCCGACGACATTCGGGACCAGGCCCGCAGCATGGAGCTCGGCAGTGGGAGCTTCGAGTTCACGCGGTGGTACGGTGAGTGAATCGCGCGCCAGCCTCGCCGTCGCCGCCGATCAACTGCCGATCAATTGCTGGCTACATGCTGCTGATGGGTCCCAATAAGGGCGAATCCATAGTTTGTCTATACTCCTTGGTTCTTTCGGTAAAGTCACGTAGGTAGAAAAAAATATAGATCACGACGTTTCGACTGCAATGCAAGCAATCGTCTTCAGGCAGAAAAAAGAGGAAGAGAGAGACCTACATCGAAACTGACAAGCAAATCGATGTAGTATCTCTGTTCCTCTTTTTTTCTGCCTGAAGACGGTTGCTTGCGTGGCGATCGAAACGTCGTGATCTGTTATTTTTTTCTACCTACGTAACTTTACCGAAAGAACCAAAGAGTATGGATTCTTGCAGTTACGAAAACTTCAAATCAAGATTCATAGTTCGTCTGTCACTGCATCACCACCGCTGATGGTGTCCGTCGCTCGCAGTTGTTAACACATGGCGCAGCCGGCATACCTTGTTTATTTATCACGTTGTTTCACTTTTGGCCAGACCAAAAAGACAGCTATAATTTGAAAAACAGCAATATAATAATTGTTAATAAACACAGGGAAAGAGATATGAATACTGGAAAAATACATTTTAAGAATTGGTTGTACCTTTCTGACAATAAAACGGGAGGTGTAAAGAAGTTCAAACGCCCATTACAACGCGGGACGCACGCTCCGTTATAACGCGGAATACGCACTCTGTTATAATGCGTGATGCGCTCGCCGTTATAACGCGGATCGCACGCTCCGTTATGACGCGGAACGCACGCACCGTTATAGCGCGGAACGCGCGCTCTGTTACAATGCAGAACGCACGCTCTGTTTTAACATAGAACGCACACGCTCCGTTATAACGCATCATTTGAGGACTCGCGCGTCAAACGGTGCGGCCCGTGCGTGCATCCACCGTGAGTCACCGTGTGCTCTCGGGGTGACTCGGCGCCGTGGAACGTAAGATAAACCCCAAGCCTGACTCCGGTCTCAGTAACATTACACAAACCTAGGCTTTTGCGACCAATGTTAAACTATAATAGAGGGGGGGTTTTGGGGGGGTTAGATGGTTGTCGCCTGATGATGCTGCTGGAATTACCGCAGAAAACGTCGTACTCTAATTGTAAATGTCACCGTGGGTTTACTCTCCCAACACACAGGTGCGCTGTACTAGTACACTACACTATACACTACACTATACACTACACTACTATACACTACACTATACACTACACTACTATACACTACACTATACACTACACTACTATACACTACATATACACTACACTATATACTAGTGCTGTACTAGTAACGAATTGGCACGTTTTGTTTACCTGACAATCCCTTACTAATTGGCTGTGTCGGGTGGTGGCGGGTTTAACGACGCGTTTATATTTACGCCATCTATCCCCAAAAAAACACCATTTATGGATGTCACAAACCTGGTCACGCGAACCCACAACAAGTGGCGGTGACATCACAACGGCGCTTGTACCAGACCAGGTGCACCTTGAGGTCACGTGAAATGTTGAAGGCTCGCTCCTGGCAGGAGATCAGGGAACAGGCCCAGGTGGTGCCATGGGTTGACCGACTGAGATGACTGGCAGATGCACCACCTGTGCTACCTGCTGTGCCAACTCGTTGCATTTTAGCCCCCTGGCACTCCGCTCGTTGTGGCGAGCGTCGCTTCTCTTGCCCTCTGCTTTTGTTGGAGGGCGACTGCCTCCAACTGCCCGGTAGCGTCCTTCACAGAGGCCGATCTTGACACCGTTAGTACCAATCATCGGCAGGTCCACTCGGCAACACATCCTCCTGTACCACATCACTCAATCTGTTCTCTGGCCTGTGTCGTGCCCGTTTAGCTCGCTCTATCCGGCCAAACAGAATCTGCTTGGGCAAGTGTTGGCCGGGCATTTGGGCTATGCGACCCAGCGAACGCAGCCTCGCCTGCCAGAGGAGCTCACTTATTGGAGTGTGTCCAGATCTTTCAAGGTTCTGTGAGTTCCTCACACAATACAGTCTGGTTAAACCCAGCATGGATCATTAGTCGGGTTTAACAGTGGCGCCATACTGCGTGATGATCGCCTTGTGCCACACAATTACAGCTGCCACTGGGGGTGCCGCCCTCGGCTAGACCACACAGCAGCAGCAGCAGCAGCGACATCGGCCCCCTACTGTGAAACCGCCACGGGCTGCGTCTGTGACCCAGCAGCAGCGGTGCCTACTACCAGCGTGACGATCGCCTTGTGCCGCACGGGGACAGCTGCCGCTGGGGGTGCCCCCCTAGGCTAGACCACAGCAGCAGCAGCAACATCGCCACCCCTTCCTGCGTGCATCCCGCGTGAAACAGCGGCGTCGTCCTCCCGTGCGACGTTCGAAACGACGCACAACGCCAGCACCAACTGGACCCGATGGAATTGACGACGATCCGTGATTGATTTCTCGAACGTTTTTTTGTTTTGTTTCGCAGAATGTAAGAACGGGCACCCGTGCGTGGTGGGAGAGGTGAGTTTTATCGGTGCAATAACATTACATGATAAATATGTCTATACATTTTGTCGAATACAATGATTTGTGCAATGTATAAACAAATACATTGTACAAATCTATATATATATTCACATAGTATATTTAGTATCTTCATTATATATATACATTGTATCTATATTGTATATGTACATAATGTGCATATGGGTATGTATATATATGTAGCGTCGGAAATACATAACACATACCGCCCGGTGTATACTTACCTGTAGTTGCGGGCACAGGCCCATAGGGGGTGCCACCCTGAGCTGTGAAAAGACAAAGGGAGCCGGACCATTGAGGGGCCGGGTTCTCCCCCCCCAGACCTCAGGTGAGGGGTTGAGGGGTTCTTGCAGAGCCCCCTGGAAGGTTCCAGAAAGGGGGCGGTACCGGGGGCGGAGAGTCCCCGAGAGGTGGGTATAAAAGGGGCACCCGAGGGACAGCTCGGGGCTGTGCTCTGAAGACGAAGAACCGAAGTACAGCTAGGCTAGGACCCTGGGACCCGACATCCTTGTAAGGGACGGGGCCGAGCGTGGACCAGTGGTCAGGACCCGTACCTTGGCTGGGTCGGGTCAGTTGAGCCTCCCCTAGGGCACAGTTAGCCGGAGGGCTGAGAGCCAGGGTTAACACGGTGTGAGGGCACGCTAGCTTGGAGGCTGTACCTCCCTAGATAGTGGGAGTTAAGGGGAGTCTTGTTAAAGTTTATAATAAACCGTGTTGCCTCTAAAGACAACGTCTCCAGTCTCCGTGGAACCCACTATATATTGTAAATACATATGTTATGTACACAATACATATGTAATGCGGTTGTAAATGGCCCTCCGGAGGTGCCGTCATGGGGGGAGGAGTTAGGTCACGTGGGGGGAGAGGGGTTGAGTATAGAAGGAGGGGAACCGGAAGAGGAAAGGGAGTGACGGGGAACCAGGAACAGAGGAAGGCCACGTAGGGCGGAGCGGGGTGTGGCGAGATCGCCACGAACACGGGGAGGAACGAGGATCGGCACCGTTGGCCAGCGGTGACCGACCCGAGGCAGCAAGGAGGGCTGCAGTCAGCAGCGGGGCTGCAGAGAGAGAGTGGGCAGCGGGTCTGCATACAGTGGCAGCCAGAGGGTCTGCACATAGGGGTAGCAGCGAGTCTGCAGGGAGGAGGTTACAGTAGATGAAGCAGAGAGTCGGAGGGGAGAGGAAGCTATAATAGCGGTGAATAGCCGGGGGCTACAAATACAGAGTTATAACAGAGTGCCGTGTGGGTGAAGACGAGAACCCAATAAAAGACACGAAGACAGAAAGAAGTGTCCGAGTCCTTTTATTACACTGGAGTCAGAAGTGAAACGGCATGGCGAAACAACTGAGGAAAAAGAATATCCCATCTCCGGCGTCGGCTTCATCATCGGACGACGACGAGCTTCCTCCGGAGGTCGGCTTCACTTCGGCGGAGGGAGAGATCCGTGAGGGCCCGGGTGTCGAGGAGGTTGCCGCTGCGTCCGCCCCGTCTGCGTTGAAGGACGAAGATTTAAGATGGACCCGGATGGCGGAGCAACTGGCAACCCTAAAAACCGTCATCACAGAGTTGTGTGACCTTGTCACGCCAAGGGCGGCGTTGGAAGGTGATGGGGGTGATCGGCAGGAGCCCGGGTCGTCTTCGATGGCGCCGCCATCGGCCACGCGGCGTGAAGACGCCATCTTGGGCGTGGCGCACCACGGAAGGCGGGAAGCCGCCATTTTGGGGCCGCCGCGAGGATCGTCCGCCATCTTGGCGACACAGCGTTGCGACGCCTTGCTGAACTTACCGCCGGAAGAGTCAGCGACGGACGGAAGCAAGCCAAGGAGTCGCAGTCGTCACCTTACAACCGTCAAAGAGTTCTCCATCGGGGGCGATTGGAGTGCGTTCGCCTGTAGATTTTTGGCGGCGGTACGTACGGCAAGGTGGACGGACGCTGAGGCACTGGAGGTGCTCCCGACTCTTCTTGATGATGAGTCCGTTCGTTTTTTTCGCTCTATAAAAGCTGCGAAGAAGAAAACTCTGCGAGGGGTGTTCGATGAAATGGCGGACGCGTACGAGCCACCGGATGACGCCCATCGCCGATTCGTGCAGCGGCAACGCGCACCTGAGGAGTCACCTGTAGCGTACAGGGGCGCCGTGTTGGAACTCGCTATGGCCGCTTACCCGGAGACGGAGCCAGACCTGCTGGAACCACTCATCTTGGGGAAGATGTTGGAGTTGTCCCGAGATCTCGGCATTCCTATGCCGGCGTGCGGTCACGAAAAACTCACGTCCCGGACCGCGGCCAAGTGTTTGGACGCCCAGTTCAATCTCCGCCGCTGGAAACAGGTGACGGCGTGGACGGGCGGTCCTGTCGTCGATGGGGGGGCCGTAGGGTGGGACCCTACGAAGGCCGTGTACGTGCCGGATGCGACCGGCCAGAAGGAGTTGTCGGCTGCCTCTGCTCCGTGGCCGGCCCGGAGCGGGCCGGGGCCGCGGGCTCCGCCGCCGGTGCGGCCGCGTCGGGACGGGGTGCCCGCTGCGCGCCGCCCCGACGTCGACTGCTTCCGCTGCGGCCGTCGGGGCCACTATGCCAGGGACTGCTGGGCCCGGGTTCCGGGGCCGCCCCAGCAGGAGGCCTCGACAGCGGACGCCCCAAAGAAAGACCCTCCGGCACAGGCAAGTCGGTGCGCACCAGACACCCGGCAAGGCCCGACACCTCACTCATCGCCGTTGGTATGCGACGCGGATGTTGTAAAATACGGGAGGCCAGTATCTGCGCCTTGTCGTTCGATAACGCAGTGGCGTAAGCTGGCTCGGCGGGTTGTCGCGGCCGCTACCGGGTCGTCCACTGTACCGGGGTCGATTCAAGGGGTGGACGTACGTATTTTGGTGGATTCCGGGGCGTCCGCGACCATTATTTCGGATGTGATATTCCATCTTTTGAACATCCCACCGGGGGCCGTGAGGCCGGCTTACGCTTCCTGCATCGCTGCGAACGGGGGTAGTATGGGCATTGTGGGACAGGTGGACGCTAACATTTCTATCGGGGGTGTCTCGGCCTCGGGCGTTGTGTTAATTTCAAGGTCCCTGGCGGTTCCTTGCCTGTTGGGTACGGATTTTTTGGCTAGGATGCCCATTCTAATTAGAATCAATGAAAATTGCATTGAACTACCAGGGGGCCGGAAATTGGCGTTCTTACAGTCCGCCTGGGGGCGGCCGGCTCCGGTTGCCCAGGTGCAGGCGTTATCGGAAGTTTCGGTTGATATTCCACCTGGCTCGCAGATGCTCATTCCCTTACGATATCAGAAGCCGGTTCCGGGTCGGCAGGGTGCTTTTGGGATTTTGCTGTCGCCGTCCGCCGCTGTTACGGGCGGATTGGCACTGGTGGGGGCGCAAACCATTGTCCGTCCGGATCAGCGCCCGTTTTTGCAGGTGTTAAATGCGAGTACTGAAAGCGTGTGTGTGCCGGCTGGTACCGTTGTGGCACACGCCACTACGGCGTTTACGGCTCAGAGTGACATTCCGGACGGGGGGCTGGTGGGTGGTGTTTCACACGATAGAGGGGTGGACGATCGTTGGATCGCCGAACTATGTGCGGAAAATTCGGCCCTTTCCGCCGAGCAGCGTTGTGCGATTCATAAATTATTATCGAGCTATTCCGATGTGTTTAGCTCGGACGATTTGGACTTGGGACGCACCTCACTGCTCTCTCATCATATCGACACGGGGGACGCTGCCCCTATCCGCTTGAACTCGCATCGGATGAGTCCGGCTGAGCGTGAGCATGTTCGAGGGGCGGTGGAAGACATGTTGAAAGCGGATATTATATCTCCGTCTAATAGCCCGTGGGGCGCGCCTGTTGTGTTGGTTAAAAAAAAAGGATGGTAAATTGCGATTTTGTGTGGATTTTCGGAAGTTGAATAAAGTGTCGGTGGCAGATGCGTATCCCCTGCCGCGTATGGACGATTCTCTCGACGCCTTGTCAGGGGCTAAGTTTTTTTCAACGCTAGATCTCTCTTCGGGCTTCTGGCAGCTCCCCCTTGACGAGCCCTCGCGGGAAAAGACAGCTTTCCGTACGCCGCAGGGGTTATTCCAATTTAACTGTCTGCCGATGGGGTTGAATGCAGCCCCTGCCACTTTTCAGCGATTGATGGAGTTGGTATTGACGGGGTTGCAGTGGGAGACATGTCTCATTTATTTAGATGATATTATTGTCTTCAGCCTCACATTTGATGAGCATTTACTGCGGTTGGAGGCTGTGTTTGCCAGAATGCGTTCTGCTAATTTGAAATTCAAGCCTAAGAAATGTCATCTACTGCAACGCTCCGTTCGATACTTGGGACATATTGTTAGTGCGGACGGGGTGGCCACGGATCCAGAGAAAACTGCGTGTGTCAGGGATTGGGCGACCCCGGCCACGGTGGGTGATGTGCGTCGGTTTTTGGGGTTCGCCTCATATTATCGGAGGTTTGTTCCGAATTTCGCTACTATCGCCAGGCCTTTGCATCTCCTTACTGGGAAGGGGCATAAATTTGTGTGGGGACCGCCGGAGGAGGCGGCGTTTCGGAGCCTGCGCGATTTATTGGCTACTGCGCCGACGTTGGATTATCCGGATTTTGAACATCCCTTCATTCTGGATACTGATGCGAGTGACACTGGTATTGGGGCGGTGTTGTCCCAGTCAAAAGGTGGTGTTGAGCGTGTGGTGGCGTATGGGAGTCGAGTTTTGTCTCCCGCGGAAACCCGTTACTGCGTCACTCGCAGGGAACTTTTGGCTATTGTGTTTTTTCTCCGCCAATTTCGACCGTATCTGTACGGTCGGTCGTTTATTGTCCGCACGGACCATGCGGCCTTGCAGTACGCTCTTAAGATGGACCAGCCATCCGGACAATTGGCGAGATGGCTGGACACGTTGCAAGAATTTTCCTTCCAAATTCACCATCGGAAGGGTGTGCGTCACGCTAACGCGGACGCACTGTCCAGGTTGCCGCAACAATCCCCTTGTGCGTGTGCGTCGGGGACGCATAGGTGTGGACCGACTCAGCCCCCCCCTCAGCCTGTCGCGCTGGCGGTGGATGTTCTCGAAACTCCGCTTACACCGGGACCGGTTGATGGGGGACCGGCTGACGGGATTTTGCGTCTTCCGAGGTCTGTGTGGATTCGGGAGCAAATGTTGGACGATTCTTTGGTGTCGTTACGAAAACGAACGGAGAAGGCGGGTAAGGAACTCGGTGCGGGTGGTATTTCGGAAACTGCTCTCCGAGATGGGTTACTGATGTGGAGGGAAGGGATACAGGAACACTGGCGTCTCGTTGTGCCTGCGTCATTGCGGTACGAGTTGATTAGATCTTTGCACTGTGACACACTTTTACACCTGGGGGTGCAGAAAACCCTATTGACGCTGCAACGAGACTATTATTGGCACGGCATGACGACAGATGTCGTCGGTCACGTTCGCGCGTGTCCCGATTGTGCCCGCCGTAAACCGCCTAAACATCCATATGTTCCGCCGATACAATCGATTCAGGTATCTCGGGTTAATGAGCTGGTGGCGTTAGATATTTTGGGACCCTTTCCGCCATCCGCTAAGGGAAATAAGTATTTACTGGTGGGGGTGGAGTACCTCTCTCGCTGGCCGATGGCCTGGCCTTTGCCTGACCAGTCAGCGGCATCTATCACTGACGCCTTTCTATTTGGGTATGTAATGGACAAGGGGGCGCCGGAGAGGCTCCTTACAGATCAAGGGCGTAACTTTTCGTCCAAATTGTTGGGGGAGGTGTGTGCGGCTCTTGGAACTAAAAAGATACGGACGTCCCCCTACCACCCACAAACGGATGGTATGGTGGAACGGTTGAATCGGACTCTGTCCGCCATGCTGTGCCATACAGTCGGGGAAAATCAATCTGACTGGGATTTGCATATCCCTGGGGTGCTTTCGGCGTATCACATGACGCCGCACGCGGCTACTGGATACTCGCCGTTCTTCCTTATGTACGGCCGTGAGAATGTGCCGCCGATTAATGAGCAGTTGGGAACCGGTGCGAGGGGACCTGTTAAGCCTCTTCCTGAGTATATTCAGGACAACGTTCGCCGTGTCACTGAGGCAAGGGAAAGAGCCCGCATGGCTACGGCCAAAGCCCAGGCCAGGAATGAGCGGTGTGCCCGACGTTCGAAGGGAGAGTGCCCCTGGAAAAAGGGGGACCTGGCCTGGCTTCATTGCCCACAGGTGCGGCCAGGTACCTCTCCTAAATTACATAAACCGTGGCAAGGTCCGGTCCGCCTCATTGAGGTTCCCAACCCACAGTCGGCGCGTGTTCAGGTTGGTTCGCGGCGCTGGTTCGTGCATACATCCCGGTTGAAGCCATACATTGCCCCGCGGCCGGATGCGTCATCTCCCGAAGTTGCCTTGCCGGGGTCTGTTGCTGCCGACTCGCCCTTGCCTGTGTCTGCTGACCTTGCGAGAGCGCCTGTAGTACCCTTCACAGACAAGCCGGCCGTGACGCAGCAGGAAGGAGGACGTTCCGCTCGTGGGATGCCGACCGGAGCCGCGGAACCAACGGGACCTGCAGCTCTTCCTATCCCTCCGCGGACGCGATTACGGGATGTCTCTGGACGCGACCGGGACAGTGGCGGGCCTCCAATGGCGACGGATGAACTCACTCCCGTCGCCCTTAAAACCCTTCCACGTTCCCGCTCGGCGGGTGGGCTGCCGACCGTCCGGGACGGCCCGGCTACCCGTACTCGCTCGAAATCCCTCACGTTTCGTTAAATTGTGTTGTGTTGTGTTCTTTGTTATATTGTTCTTCAATGCTTCGTGTCTTTTTACGTGTTGGCCCTTTACACCCGCATTGCTTTTCAGGTTGCAATTCAGCCGAGGTCGGCTGGATTTTCTTTATGGGGGAGGGTGATGTAATGCGGTTGTAAATGGCCCTCCGGAGGTGCCGTCATGGGGGGAGGAGTTAGGTCACGTGGGGGGAGAGGGGTTGAGTATAGAAGGAGGGGAACCGGAAGAGGAAAGGGAGTGACGGGGAACCAGGAACAGAGGAAGGCCACGTAGGGCGGAGCGGGGTGTGGCGAGATCGCCACGAACACGGGGAGGAACGAGGATCGGCACCGTTGGCCAGCGGTGACCGACCCGAGGCAGCAAGGAGGGCTGCAGTCAGCAGCGGGGCTGCAGAGAGAGAGTGGGCAGCGGGTCTGCATACAGTGGCAGCCAGAGGGTCTGCACATAGGGGTAGCAGCGAGTCTGCAGGGAGGAGGTTACAGTAGATGAAGCAGAGAGTCGGAGGGGAGAGGAAGCTATAATAGCAGTGAATAGCCGGGGGCTACAAATACAGAGTTATAACAGAGTGCCGTGTGGGTGAAGACGAGAACCCAATAAAAGACACGAAGACAGAAAGAAGTGTCCGAGTCCTTTTATTACACATATATACGCAATATGTATAAACACATACATTCTATATATACAAATTATATATAATGTGTATATTGTGTATTTATACTTTATACATGTAATGTATACAAAATGTACACATATACACAATGTATATACAATGCAACTTTAGATGTTTACATTGTGTGTATATATATACCATGCATATATTGTGTTTACATATTTGTTGCAAGTGAACTGCCAGACGTGTGTGGGCAGGAACCGGTTTTGACATTCAGTTTCTCATCATGAGCAGTGTCAGGCGTTGCTTGAAACCACAATTCTTGTGCAACTGCCAGATGTTTTCTAGGCAAGCGTCGGTTTTCACCGTTCAGGGTCTCATCAGCAGTGTCAGGCATTGCTTAACCAATGCCGGCAAAGGCCGGTTCTCGACGTCCAGCGTCTCGTCGGCACTGTCGACGCCGTAGCAGCCTCTGCCGTAGGACGGCCGCTCGTTGTGACCCACTTTAGCTGCCTCTGTCCCCACCGTGCCGGGCACCCGGACGGCAATCAGTGCGGGGCGCCCACGCAGACGGCGCGGTGCATCGAGTGCGGCGTCGCGGTCGGCGGAGTGAGCCACATACCCGTCGCCGGATTCACCGCCGTCTCGCCCGGGTGAGATCCACAGCCACCCACGACGACCCTCTCCCACCCACTCCCACACCCACCCACACACACACCCACCCACCCACACCCACGGCGGCACCACAACCGCGCTGGGCAGAGATGATCTCCCAAGTGAAATGCTGAGGGAGGGTAACGTTTGTGCACATACTGCCCTACATGACATCATAGCAATAGTCTGGACCACTGGACGGATTCCGCAAGATTGGAAGGATGCCCTTGTGGTCCCCCTCTTTAAGAAGGGGGACCGCACAGACTAACAACTACAGGGGCATCTCACTCCTCAGTGTGCCGGGCAAGGTCCTGGCAATGATTATTCAACATCGCCTTGCTAGGCACGCTGAGGAGAGGCTTGCAGAGCCCCAATGCGGTTTCAGGCCAGGGTGGTTCTGTGCAAATGCCATATTTTTTGTCCGTCTGCTACAGCAGAGGTATAGGGAATTCCGACAAGACCTGCATCTCTGCCTTATTGATGTGGTCAAGGCCTATGATACCAGTAATAGGCCTGGGCTCTGAATTGTTCTTTGTTCTTTCGGAGTCCCTGACTCTCTGCTCACAATGATGATGGTGGGCAGGCCCAGGTAAATATACGAGTCGGAGCCATTCCCTGTTCATCTTGGAGTGCGACAGGGATGCCCTCTGTCTCCCACATTATTTTACGTCTATTTCCACTACGTAGTTCTTGAAGCCTTCCATGGCCGTACTGGAGGAATCTCCATCTGGTACAGATACAATGGGAGGCTGATCGATGCCCGGGTGTGGTCGAGGGATGGCTCCCTATTGCTCAACCACGATATGTATGCCGATGATCTGGTAATTGCTAACTCAGAGGAGGAGTTGGAGGCGCTGCTGCTGAACCTGGAGCGTGCCACTTAGAGGTGGGGTCTTATCATCAGCCCCACCAAAACTAAGCACCTACCTGGATATTGTGTGCCTTCAAACATGCTGATGATGTGGATTTTTATGTTGTTGATGGTGATGTTGATAGGGATGGGGATGGTGATTTTGTTGATGGCGATGTTTGATGGTATTGATGATGTTGAAAGTGATAATTATGATGGTGTAGCTGATGTTAATGGTGGTGGTGATGTTGCTGGTGATGATGTTTATGATGTTACTGGTGATGATCTTGATGATATTGATTGTGTTGATGGTGTTGATGACGATATTGATTGTGAAATTGATAGTGATATTGATGATATTGATATTAATGATGATGTTGTTGTTGATGTTAATGGTGGTGATAGTGATGTTGATGGTGTTAATGTTGATGGTGTTGATGATGATGTTGATTGTGTTGATGACGATGTTAATAATGATGTTGATAGTCACATTAATGTTGATGATATCGATGATTAATGATGATGGTGATGTTGTTGTTGATGTAGTAAGGAGCACACCAGGAGGGGTCACGTGCTAGGAGATCCGTCGCGCCGGGACTCGGGCCTCACATCTGACCGAGGTGTCCCCGCGCTCGCGTTTGGGGTCCTGCGAGCGCTCACCCATGCCGCCATGCTGCTCGGCTACATCTCCGACCCCAAGGTGACCCGGGTTCGACTCCCGCTCACGGCCTCCAGCAACGCCGGTGGCGATTGTCCGGACCGACTCAGCCTCAAATTAGTACACCTTGAGCGGGGAATGAACGTCAGCACCGGGAAGACAAAGGCGGCCGGGCGTGGTGCTTGCGACCCACCCCTACGTGTGCCGTTGCCGGTCTTTATAGGTGCTGCTCGCTAGCAGCACTTGCCTCAATAGTCTAATTAAGGCTATCTGGGGAATGTTTGTATAGTCTTCGGGGGAGCGGTGGCGCGTCAGTTAGCACCCTGCGCTGCACTATGAACCCCGGGCACCCACGTTCGATTCCCGCTCACGGCCACCACCAACACCAAATGACTATTATCTGAACCGGTCCTTGGCCTCGTCTACGTCGACTCAGCCTCAAATGAGTACCCGGTGCTGTGTGTAGCAAACATCGCCACTGGGGATACAAAGGCGGTCGTGGGCGTGCTGCTGGCCACCCCACCCACCTTATCGTCTGTTCCACTGTGCTGTGCCTTCATAGCCGCTGCCGCCGCTCGCTACCAACAGCACTTGGCCCCTCTGGCCCGTTAAGGCCACGCGGTGGGATCGGGTAACTTTGTCTTTGTCTCTGCGCAGGGCACCGCCGGCCTCATCGATCCCCGCGTGGGCGACGCGGCGGCCTTCCTGCTGCGCCACCTGGAGCAGGACCTGCAGCAGCTGTCGTCGGCGCTGGGCCGCAGCACCGACGACGCCCTGCTCCTCGTTCACCTGGCGACGGCTCGCCTACTGCACCTGGAGCCCGGCGGCAGCGGTGGGCTGGGTGTTCTGTAGGGATAGTGGATGGGCTGGGTGTTGTGTTGGGATAGTAGATGGGCTGGGTGTTCTGTAGGGATAGTGGATGGGCTGGGTGTTCTGTAGGGATAGTAGATGGGCTGGGTGTTGTGTTGGGATAGTAGATGGGCTGGGTGTTGTGTGGAGAAAGTGGATGGGCTGGGTGTTCTGTAGGGATAGTGGATGGGCTGGGTGTTCTGTGGGGATAGTGGATGGGCTGGGTGTTCTGTAGGGATAGTGGATGGGCTGGGTGTTCTGTAGGGATAGTGGATGGGCTGGGTGTTCTGTAGGATTAGTGGATGGGCTGGGTGTTCTGTGGGGATAGTGGATGGGCTGGGTGTTCTGTAGGGATAGTGGATGGGCTGGGTGTTCTGTAGGGATAGTGGATGGGCTGGGTGTTCTGTGGGGATAGTGGATGGGCTGGGTGTTCTGTAGGGATAGTGGATGGGCTGGGTGTTCTGTGGGGATAGTGGATGGGCTGGGTGTTGTGTTGGGATAGTAGATGGGCTGGGTGTTCTGTGGGGATAGTGGATGGGCTGGGTGTTGTGTTGGAATAGTAGATGGGATGGGTGTTGTGTGGAGAAAGTGGATGGGATGGGTGTTCTTTGAGGTAGTGGATGGGCTGGGTGTTCTGTGGGGTAGTGGATGGGCTGGGTGTTCTGTGGGGTAGTGGATGGGCTGGGTGTTCTGTGGGGATAGTGGATGGGCTGGGTGTTCTGTAAGGATAGTGGATGGGCTGGGTGTTCTGTGGGGATAGTAGATGGGCTGGGTGTTCTGTGGGGTAAGTGGACAGGCTGGGTGTACCGTGGGCTAGTCAATAGTCTTACTCAACTTTGCAGTGTCTTCTATAATGCTGGGCTAGGTAACAGCTATCAAAGCCACATGCACCCCATTCCCCCTGTCCACTCCCACCCCTTGCTCACCCCCCCCCCCCCCCCCCCCACATTCCTACTTCTCAGACGAAAACGACGGGAGGCTGACGAGCCGCCAGCAGCGGGCGGACTGGGAGAGCGATTTCACGCGCCAGGCTCTGAGTCCGCTGCTCAAGGCGAGTTCCCCCCATCCACATACACCCCCCCCCCCCCACAATCGAGCCGGGCATGTGCCCAGGGCGTTCGGCCACTTCCATAGTGGCAGCGGCTTTTGGCTCGGCGCTTTTGGATGCGCTTCCGCGGCCATCTGGAACGCTCTTCCGTTCCGATATCTTGAAGCCACCTGGAGCCTCGTGCTTTTAAATCGGCAAAACTAATTTCTTTAGAACTGCTTGTTGTCGTGTTTAGTTCGTTGTCCTTCCCCCGCGCCTCCGATTAGCACGGTTGGCTATGTACGGTGCGATAGAAGCTCAACATACATACAGACATACGTACGTAATGATTTGGCCAAATCTGTCTCCCAAGCGCCAACAGATGTTTCGGAGTAATCTTCCGGGAAGATTCAGAATCATTGAAATGTTCAGAATCATCTTTTTTCTGACATCTTTCCTCCATTCCAAAGAAGCGCGCTCATAATCATCTTCTTGAAGGCAGTGGGATCTGGATATCGGCGCAGCGAGGTTTGAGATGTTGACTACCTCGCCTGGTGTGCAGGAGGTCGTGGGTTCAATCCTGACCCTGATGCTTGCTGCTGTATATTTGGAGTTTGTGTCTCTCCCTCTCTTTCATCATCATCACGGTGGCTAGGAGATGTGAACTACTTTGGCCGCTGCTCCACCTGGCTGAACTGTCATTTGTGGCCCAGGTCTCCCTCCGTGAGTGGACCTCACCTGGCAAAAATAAAAATTAGTTCGTTAATAGCGAACAATAGACATCACTTCCTGTGACCTCGTGGTCTTCTTTACCCGCCCCACCCCCTCCGTCCCTACCCCCCTCTCCATCCACCAGGACCTGGAGCAGAACCTCGAGGAACTGCGTCGGCTTGTCAGCGATGACCGGCGCGGCCCGCTCATGCGGATGCTGTACGGCGACCCCACGCAGCAGCAGCAGCAGCAGGATGAGCTGTGGCGATACCATCCCCGTGTCTCCGCTCAGCATCTCTCCTCGCTGCTGGAGCAGCAGGAGCTGCAGCAGGAGCTGCCGGTGCTCACCCTCTTCCTCGCCCAGGTGAGCGACCGCTTCCGCCCGTCGCTCGGCTGCGGGGCCGGGCGCCGCTTCCGCCTTCGTTTTCCACCACGGACGCAGAACCGCGAGCCTGCGGGTCGTTAGGTTGAAGCGACGAGGCTCCGAGTGCGAGTTCGTCGGTCTCTCCGCAAGTCTTTGTGGGTACAGGGGTCTCTATGGGAGTCTATGGGTCTCTCCGCTAGTCTCTGTCTTTGTGAGTACTGGGGTCCCTATGGGAGTCTATGGGTCTCTCCGCGAGTCTTTGTGGGTACAAGGGTCCCTATGGGAGTCTATGGGTCTCTCCTCTAGTCTGTGTCTTTGTGTGAGTACTGGGGTCCCTATGGGAGTCTATGGGTCTCTCCGCTAGTCTGTGTCTTTGTGTGTACTGGGGTCCCTATGGGAGTCTATGGGTCTCTCCGCTCGTCTGTATCTTTGTGTGAGTACTGGGGTCCCTATGGGAGTCTATGGGTCTCTCCGCTAGTCTGTGAGTCTCTGCGAGCACAGGGGATCCCTATGGGAGTCTACGGGTCCCTATCTGTGGTGGAGATTAATCCACACTTTGTATGTATGTTTGTTGAACTTCTTTCGCGCACCGTTCGTAGCCAACCGGAGGTGTGGGGTAAGGACGACCAACTAAACACCAAATAATCAATCTCTAAAGATGATGCCTTTTCCGAATGTAGATAATCTATAAGTGCACAGCACAGCTTCCCAGTGCCTTCGTAACATCGGAAAGGAACCAAAGAGGCGCCCTACGACGCGCCTGCCCCCCCCCCCCCTGCTCACGCCTCCCGCCCCCCGCCGCCGCCCCAGGAGCGCCAGCTGCGCCTGGTCCGTCACCTGCCGGCGCTGGTGTCTCTGGCTCGCGAGCTCGTGAGCCGCTTCTGCTTCGCGGATCGCGAGAGCAACCTCGGGTCCATCCACCGCTACCTCTCCGCCGTGTGCCCAGGTAACGTGGCCCCGTCGCGACGCTCGCTCCGCTTTCGGTGCCACCTTTGGCGACCTTCGACCCCCCCCCCCCACCCCCGAGACCTTCCTGGATGGTCAAACGCACCTCCCCCCCCCCCCCCCCACTGTCCCCTCGTCCCCTCCGGCCGCCCGTCACTGCCCTTCCATGACAAGCGAAGCGTGACGAGGCCTCATCCAGCAGTGGATCGACACGGGCCGTAACGACGATGGCTTTACTTTTTGTTGTCTATTTCTTTTTTTGTTTGTTTTACTTAAAAAAAATCATATCTATGAAGACCCCTTTTTGCCGGTATCAAGGCGAATGTAAAAAAAAAAAGCAATAACCGGCGTCTGCCCTTTTCTGGCGAGATCCACAGGAGGGGTGTTAAGATATTAAAACAACAAGTGGGCACCCGTTAGCACAAGGCATCGAGTCTGCAGTAGCCACACATGGTCTCGGTAAAACATGCAAACCTATGTTCTCACATTGTCGATGCATCGTCCTTGACCCTCATTCGCTTGCGCCGGAAACACGTGTTTTACTGGTAGGAACGAAGTGAACCAGCCTACAATAGATTATATCGTCCGTCCGGCCATCCGATGTCCGATTAGGTGTAGCAACATCGCCCCCTACTGCAAACACTTGGCAGGACCCTACAAAAACCTTTAGACTCAGTGAGGCTTTCCTGGCTAAACAAGTGTAACATTCCCTTATAATTCCCTGCGATAGCTTTTAATTAAAACATTTCAATTAAAAATTAACTCACAGCGGCCTAAAGCCTACAGCTAGGCCTAAAGCCTAGAAATAGGCCTCAAACTCTCCCTTCGTATCGTACCCCCGCGCGTGTGAAAGGGAGTTAATGTTTAACAATGTCACATTCCCTGATGTTTTTAAATAGAAACATTTAAATTTAAAGCTTTTACATTAATAATTAAAACATTTCAATTAAAATTAACTCACAGCGGCCTAAAGCCTACAGCTAGGCCTAAAGCCTAGAACTAGGCCTCAAACTCTCCCTTCGTATCGTACCCCCGCGTGTGTGAAAGGGAGTTAATGTTTAACAATGTTATATTCCCTGATGTTTTTAAATAGAAACATTTAAATTTAAAGCTTTTACATTAATAATTAAAACATTTAAATTAAAAATTAATTCACAGTGGCCTAAAGCCTACAGCTAGGCCTAAAGCATAGAACTAGGCCTCAAACTCTCCCTTCATATCATCCGATTAGGTGTAGCAACATCGCCCCCTACTGCAAACACTTGGCAGGACCCTACAAAAACCTTTAGACTCAGTGAGGCTTTCCTGGCTAAACAAGTGTAATAATACATTATGTTTATATTCTTTGGTTATTCGTTCCTACCAGCCCACCCCGCAGGGACCTGTTTATAACAGTGGCTTTCTCGCCGAACTAATCACGCTTTCATATTTGCATTTGCCCTTGTACTGCTGGCCTATTGGCAATTGTCCTCCGGTCTAACACCGGTGCAGAGACAAGACCATAGAGGAAGCTTCGGGCTCTGGTGCAGGCCAATCGGTACTAATGCGTAACATTATTATTGCAGCACGGTTTTGTTGGCACGTATTACCACGAGCATGATGTGCGGTTAAAGCGATGATGTCCTTCTAGTTATTACGGGCGTCTATTTGGTGATGGGGCATCTTAACACCTCCCGTATAATTACAGGCAGTCCCCAGGTTATGTAAGGGTTTAGGTTCCAGCGAATTTCCGTATGTAGGAAACTGAACAATTTACCCCACTCCCCCCCCCGACCCTAGATCAACAATACAATCCCATCGCCGGAAATAGTCGTGAATAACGAGGGACTTCATTGTTAGATGAGGAAAAAGGGGAGGAGACGACTGGCGCTCCGCAGTCCAGTAAAACCTTGGATTGCGAGTAACTTGGTCTGCGAGTGTTTTGCAAGACGAGCAAAATTTTTAAGTAAATCTTAATTTGATAAACGAGCGAGGTCTTGCAATACGAGTAGCACGTGTATACGCTTTGTCTGCCGAGCATCACGTGATCACAACTGATATACGAGTGCTTTGGATTACAAACACATTTCCGGAACGAATTATGCTCGCAATCCAAGGTTTTACTGTATTCTTCCACAACCTCGCCGCGCAGCACTGCTTGCTCTTGTGTAGCTAACGTGAACATGTCCGTGCGTTGAATTTGTTTAACACAAATTTTTTTATGGGAACATTTCTGTAAGGTCGGATTTCCGTAAGTCGTGGTCTTCTGTAACCCAGGGACTGTCTGTATTGTTTTGGCCAGAAATGGTAAAGCCCTATTACTTTTTTGACCTGATTTTTATTTTATTTAGTTCGTTTGTTCGCTTCTCAGTCCGCTTGTCCTGGTGAGGGTCGCAGCAGCAGTATGTTGAGTAGTGGCGGTCCAGACCTCCCTTTCCTTGGCGACAGACTCGAGCTCTACATTATTATACACTACACTATACTCTACTACACTATAGACTACTATACACTACACTACTATACACTATACATTACGATACACTATACACTATGATACACTATACACTACGATACACATTAAACTACTATACACGACACTACTATACACTACACTACTATACACTACACTACTATACACTACACTACTATACACGACACTACTATACACGACACTACTATACACGACACTACTATACACTACACTACTATACACTACACTATACGCTACTATACACTACACTACTATACACTACACTACTATACACTACTATACACAGACTCTAGCTCTTCCTGGGGAATTCCTAGGCGTTCCCAGGCCAGCCGAGCGACATCGTCCTGCCAGCAGCAGCGTGTCCTGGCCCGGCCCCGGGTTATTTGCCCAGTGGGGCCGTGCTGCCGGGTAGACTTCCAGGGGGAGTCTACTGGGGGGGGGGGGGGGCATCCTTAGCAGGTGCCCAAACCACCTCAACATGGGGCGGGGGGTGGGACCTCACCCGGCATCTCGAGCTCTCAGAATCTGAATCTGTATTCATCCTGGAGGAGGAATGCAATGAGGGAGCCATTTAAACGCCATTTCACAGACGTCCAGTTACACGAAACAACTCGCTCGCCGTGGCTATGCTCCGGCTCGATGACTTTTAAAAGCATCAGTTCAGCCGTCACGCCGACCGCGAACACTACTCTCATGTGGCGGGGCGGGTGGGGAGAGTGCTGCCCACTGCTGTGTGTGAAGAAGAAGAGGGAGGAGGAGGAGGAGGAAGAGGCGGTAGCTCTGTGATATCCGCTTCCACGAGCCATACTCCAAGCGTGAAGGGATGCCCTGCCCTGCGAAATTTCCCAATGGCTTCTTTGTCTGGTCACGTGACACCGATAGCAGTCGTGGGTATAATTGGGATAAGTGACAGTGTTCGTCTCTGTCTCCCGTGTGTCTCCCCGTGTCTCTCTGCACCTCTGTGTCTCTGTGTCTCCATATGTGTCCCCGTGTGGTCCCACCATTGCAGGCGCCGTGCAGCACGATCTCTATGCCAAGGCGGAGCTGTTCGTGAGCGTGTGGAACCAGCTGAGGACAGCCATCAGGGATGAGAGTAAGAGCAGCATGTTCGCTCGCTCACCGGAACACCCATCAGGCTTACCTTGCCGACTATCCATCCCGGGTTTAACCAGGCTGGATCACAGTGTGAGGAGCTCACAAATCCTTAAAAGATCTGTACACGGTCCCCATTAATTATCGTTGAGCTCCTACGGCAGGCGAGGCTGTGTCGGCCGGGTCAAACAACCCGAATGCCCAGCCACGGCATGCTGCCCAAGCAGCTTCTGTTGGGCCGGATAGAGGGAGCTGGAGAGGAGATGGACTTATGTGGAGCTGAGTGGACTGATACCAGCGGCGTCGAGATCGGCCGCTATGAAAGAGGCCTGTGAAGGACGCTACTGGGTAGTTGGGAGGCAGTCGCCCTCCAGCGATGGCGGAGGAGCGACGCTCACGACAACGAGCGGAGCGGCTAAATCGCAGCAAAGTTGTCACAGTGTCTCAGCAGGAGTCTGACCCCCCCCCCGCCGCACTCGTAATTTCCCCGTGCCCCACGTGCCTTCCAGACGAGCTGGGCGTCCCCGCGTCGCTGCTGGAGGAGGACCTGAGCGTGGAGAGCGACGCGCTCGTGCTGCTGCCTCGTCGCACGGGGCCCGGCCTCGTCGCCTCCGCCCTCTTGTCGCGCCTCGTCGCCCTGCACAACCGCGTGGTGGCGGCCAGCGAGAGCGCCGACGCTCACGATGTCCCGTGCGTTCCTCTCCGCTCTCTGTGCCCAGTGCCCCGTCGCCTCTGCCCCTATTTGGCCAGTAGCCCGTTTCGATTGCTTCGGTGGTGGCGGTGGCTACGCTGGCTGCTGCACGTGGCTGCCTGTAAGTGAACCCCAACCCGCGCTGTGGAGGCAGCAGCGAGGGATGACAGATCACGCACAGATGTTGAGAAACTCCCTTCCTCCCCATCGGTGGGCATCGAGGCGCTGGGGTTGGTGATCGGTCCGCGACCGCGTCGCTGTTCATTCTAGAATTTTTCCCATCCTCCATCTGTTGTCCATATGGTTTCAAATGCACTTGCCCTAAGAGTCCGGGTGAAGGCTACCCGGGGGACCTTTGTCTTTGGGTGCCACGTTGCCGAGTAAAGCTAAGAAACAGTTTTTCAAAGGGGTGACTCGGCCGGCAGATATTCATCATGGTGGCGATAACATGTTAACTTCCTCGCCTTGTATACAGGAGGTCGTGGGTTCTATCCCGACCCTGACTGTATATTTGGAGTTTGCGTGTGTCTCTCTCGCTCATCATCATCACAGTGACTAGATGTTAACTCCCTCGCTTGATATACAGGAGGTCGTGGTTTAGATCCCGGCCCTGATGCCTGCTGTATATTTGGAGTTTGCGTGTCTCTCTCCCCGTGGTCGTGTGGATTTCTCTCCAGGTCCTCCGGTTTTTGCCTCGGCATTTAGAAACCTGCGTTTAGAGTATTTGGCTGCTTTACATTTCCACGTGATGATGATAAGCCACGTCGTTGAGCTCCCGTTTGTGGTCGCCAGGTCGCTTCTTGAAAAGAGCCATAGAACTCAGTGGGGCCTTACCTGGTAAATACAGTTAAGTTTAACATTGGCCTGGTAAAGCCGGTCGGCCAAAGGATTCATTGACATGTTGATGTTTTTGTGCGGAGACACAGAGCTCTGCTTTATGTTTCTTCATGCATCGTGCAACCGGAATTGTCTTCTTGCACGTGGTCACATATCCCACATGCTTGCACATTCACCTCGAGCTCGGTCCCTGTTGCACTGCAGCATTATGGGTAAAGAGCAGGCATAACTAGAAATCCAAATTAAGCGATGGTGGTTGAACAGTGTGGTGGTGGTGGTTGAACAGTGTGGTGGTGGTTGAACACAATGTGGTGGTGGTGGTGGTGGTTGAACACAGTGTGGTGGTGGTTGAACACAGTGTGGTGGTGGTGGTGGTGGTTGAACAGTGTGGTGGTGGTGGTGGTGGTTGAACAGTGTGGTGGTGGTTGAACACAATGTGGTGGTGGTGGTGGTGGTTGAACACAGTGTGGTGGTGGTTGAACAGTGTGGTGGTGGTTGAACAGTGTGGTGGTGGTTGAACAGTGTGGTGGTGGTGGTGGTTGAACAGTGTGGTGGTGGTGGTGGTGGTTGAACAGTGTGGTGGTGGAACACAGTGTGGTGGTGGTGGTGGTTGAACAGTGTGGTGGTGGTTGAACAGTGTGGTGGTGGTTGAACAGTGTGGTGGTGGTTGAACAGTGTGGTGGTGGTGGTTGAACAGTGTGGTGGTGGTGGTGGTGGTTGAACAGTGTGGTGGTGGTGGTTGAACACAGTGTGGTGGTGGTGGTTGAACAGTGTGGTGGTGGTTGAACACAATGTGGTGTTGGTGGTTGAACAGTGTGGTGGTGGTTGAACACTGTGGTGGTGGTGGTGGTGGTGGTTGAACAGTGTGGTGGTGGTTGAACACAGTGTGGTGGTGGTGGTTGAACAGTGTGGTGGTGGTTGAACAGTGTGGTGGTGGTTTAACAGTGTGATGGTGGTGGTGGTTGAACACAGTGTGGTGGTGGTGGTGGTTGAACACAGTGTGGTGGTGGTGGTTGAACAGTGTGGTGGTGGTGGTGGTTGAACACAGTGTGGTGGTGGTGGTGGTTGAACAGTGTGTGGTGGTGGTGGTGGTGGTTGAACACGGTGTGGTGGTGGTGGTGGTTGAAAACAGTGTGGTAGTGGTGGTAGTTGTTGAACACAGTGTGGTGGATGACGTCAAACAGTCAGTGTTCTGGTACAGAGGCCTCAGCACGAGTGGAGGAATCATCGAGTGAAGTTCATGGGAACACGCGGGGCTTAATTTATAGCTGAAATTTTTATGGAATGCTGCTAGGCTGCCTTGGAGTAGGGATTATCGGCATAAGGCACTACCACTAGAGCACCCAGTATTCCTACCCGTAACAACATATTCTACCCGACATTCCGTTGCCAAGGGAATTCCCGGATTAGTCTTCTCGGCTGAAATTAAACACGGGGAACCACAACCATGGCAGTGGCAACAGAAGATCGACAAGGAGGCAACTGGCCATATGCCTGCGTATGCTATAATGGGAGAATCATCATCATTGGACCTCCTTTGCCAGTAACAAAATTAGAGATTAGTGGTTTTCCCCCTTTTTTATCTGGCAACAAAACTGAAACCTTTTTACGAGGAATCACGTCTGCATCAACCACAATTCTTGTGGTCAAAATGAAAACAAAAAACACACTCTGATAACACTGGTCAACACACTTTTTCTGGCATAAGGTTTTCCAACGGTTTTAAGGTAATTTTGGGGTGCTGATTCCAAATCTGGCATCAGTTTTTGTCTATCACATCAGGTTTTTGAGATATCAAATATTGCATTTTCAATTAAAACTGCAGAAGAAAAATATTAAATAAATGTGGATATCTACATAAAATGATATTATAAACACACTATCCTAAAAATACAGAACCATATTTTAACACTAAAACAGTCACTGACTCGCATCAACTTGCAATCATAAGTGACAGAGTTAATTTCGGGTAAAATCAATTAAAATGGGGTATGCCAATAGCATAAAAATGAGATGTGATAGAGCAAATTTGAGATCAGATTTGGAATCAGTACCCTGAAATTAGTCTAAAACAGCTGCAAAAGTCCATGCATTGTCCTTGAAACTGATTGGTCAACACCAGAGACGGCTTTCTTTCGAGCCTCGTCTCAATTGGTGCTGAATCCTCATCTCGTCGTCGTCACGTCCTCTGTGCCCGGCTCCAGGCTGCCGGTGCCGGTGAGCGCCGTGTGCGAGCCGTACGTCGTGTCCTACGACGCCGACCAGGAGCTTCTGCCGCTGCTGGCTTCGGCACGGGGCTACGCGGCGGCGGAGCCGGTGGCTGCCGCCGACAACCTCCACCTGCACGGCCTGCAGCGGCAGATCGTGCACCGCTTCATCCGCGGACGCCCGCGTATCGATGTGACGGTGAGAGCGCGGGGTCCCGGCGTTCCATGATAGTGTCCCCTCGGGCTGACAGTAACCATAGCCTCTTCCCACCGTACTTCACAATTACATCTGTTATTTATATTTTTGCCCTAAGAAGGATTCTGGTCATGGACTAAAGTCACCATGCAACGGCCAGCAATAAACAGCACCATTAATGTTGTGTAGCCGACTCTTCTCACCAACACGCGGAGACAGGTGAGGGTTTTCTTTTATTCTACTTTCTCTGCTACAGTTCCCTCCTCCATCCACAGTTTCCTCCTCCATCCACAGCTCCCTCCTCCATCCACAGCTCCATCCATCATCGACAGCTACCTAATTCATCCACAGCTCTCCCTCCTCATCAACAGCTCCCTCCTTCATCCACAGCTCTCTCCTTCATCCACAGCTCTCTCCTTCACCCACAGCTCTCTCTCCTTCACCCACAGCTCCCTCCTTCATCCACAGCTCCCTCCTCCATCCACAGCTCTATGCTTCCTCGACAGCTCCCTCATTCATCCACAGCTCTCTCCTTAATCCACAGCTCCCTCCTTCATCCACAGCTCCCTCCTTCATCCACAGCTCTCTTTTTCATCGAGTGTCCTCGATGTAAAGTATGTTCTGCAACTGCCGACAATTATGTTTGTGAGTATTAAAGATATCTTTGTTCTTTTAGTCTTATGTTAATATTTTGTCCTGTTTTGGCCAACATAGCATTGGCCACAGGAGCAACTAATCCGGTGCACACCTTCTATTGATAGCTTTGGTAATTCATCTTTAGTACCGGCTATTACAACAATGGAGAGTGGAGAAGCGATGTTCAGGACAACGAGCAGAGTGCCGGGCGGATAAAACGCAGCAAGTTGGCACAGTAGGGGGCTCGGGTGGTGCATCTGGCAGTTATCTCAGTCAGTCAACCCATGGCACCCGGGTCTGTCCCGTGTCCTTCTGCCAATGAGCCTCTCACACATCACATGGCCTCAAAATGCACCTCGCGTGGTACAAGGATCGTGGTGATGCCAATGGCGGCTGTTGTTAATTTTTTGGGGAGCGGTGGTGCAGTGGTTGGCGCACTGTGTTTGGAACCCGACGACCCAAATTAGATTTTTGCTCGCGGCCAATTTCGGTGACGACGATATGAACTGTTCTCTGGGCCTCCGCTAGGACGACTCAGCCTGTAAGGCTACGCGGGGATCTCTGTCTTTTTGTGTTTCAGGACCTGCCCACACTCGTCTCCCCCCAGGACCGGGACTTCTCGGTCCTCTTCAGCGATCTGCGCCTCAAACTGCCCCAGGTAACAAATTGCACCCAGCCCAACCACGTAACCTCCCCCCTGTACCCCACCCGCCTTCCCTCCACACCACCCCTTTCCCGCCACCACCATCCCCCATCATCCACCACCCCTCCCCGCCCCATCCCCCACCTCCCCCCCATTCCCCACCAAACCCCTCTCCCCCATCACCCAACACCCCACTCCCCCATCACAACTCCCCCATCATTTCCCCCCCCCCGCCCTGTTTCCTCCTCTTCCCCCTCCCCGTGTTTCCCCCTCCCCCCCTATCCCTCCCCCCCTATCCCTCCCCCCCTGTCTATTCGCCCCCCCTATCTCTCCCCCCATCCCTCCCTCCCCCCCATCCCTCCCCCCGTTTCCTCCCCCCCCCTGCCACGCGCCAGGTGGCTCTGCCCAGCGCCCTGCAGGATCGAGTCCGTGGCCAGCTGCGGTCGTTCCTCTACACGACGGAGGCCCACTCGGCGGTGCAAATCGTCGCCGGCTTCCTGGCGTCCGGCGGCGGCGACGGCGAGAGCGGCCTGCGCCCATTTCTGTGCGACACCATCCGCATGAACCAGCTCTCCCCGCACGTGCTGCAGGTGGACCCCGCCCGCCCCCCCCCCCCGCCCCCCCCCGCCCCCCCCCCGCCCCGCCCCCCCCCGCCCCTCCCCCGCCCCCCCAAACCCGACCAACGCCTTCGTTCTGCCGCAACGTTGCCGATTTATTCGTTGTTTTTTTTTTACTTCGTTGGGAGCGCGGTAGAAAGTCTCCAGTCGACGAGCGTCCCTGAACACGACCCATCGCCACGTAGCTCGGTGGGGCCTCACGTCTGGTACAATGTCAATATATCTTTAAGTTTCATCTTCTTGGTTCTTTCGGTAAAGTCACGTAGAAGGGAAATAATAAAAATATAAAACAATAAAATAATTCTCACGACGCTGTCTTTCCGACAGACCTGTTCTTCACCTGAGGACGGCTGCTTGCATTGTGGCCGAAACGTCGTGAGAATTGTATTATTTTATTATGTTTTATTTTTATTATTTTATTATTTCCCTTCTATGTGCCTTTACCGAAAGAACCAAGAAGATGAATGCCTGCAGTCACGAAAGCTTTAAATCGAAATATTTAAGTTTGTTTAAAGTTTGCGTGTGTGCGACCCCCCCCCCCCTCCACTGCAGGTGCTCGAGGCATGCCGACTCAAGCACGTGACTTCGCTGTGGCACGTGCTCTCAGCCATGCGGTCTGAGCACTTCCTATTGAATAACCAGGTGAGACGGCCTTGGGGAGGGGATGGTTTTAGTTGGGTGTGTTTGAGCGATTTGTTCACCTCTGTTTAACACGTAGGCTTTCGCGAACAGTATTATATTCATAATAAAGGTTTTTTGGGTTAGATCGCGTTATTTATAAATGTGTCGCAAACCCTCCACCACCCGACATCAGTAAAAAATGTGTCACGTTGACAAAACGCCAATTAGTTTGCAGAATTAATCATTCAGATTTCGATTTAAAGCTTTCGTGACTGCAGGGATTCATCTTCTTGGTTCTTTCGGTAAAGTCACGTAGAAGGGAAATAATAAAATAATAAAAATAAAACATAATAAAATACAATTCTCACGACGTTTCGGCCACAACGCAAGCAGCCGTCCTCAGGTGAAGAACAGGTCTGTCGGAAAGACAGCGTCTGAATGAACACCACCCAGCTTAAATATACGCTGCCAAGCCTGGTAGTGCTCATTCAGACGCTGTATTTCCGACAGACCTGTTCTTCACCTGAGGACGGCTGCTTGCGTTGTGGCCGAAACGTCGTGAAAATTATTTTATTATGTTTTATTTTTATTATTTTATTATTTCCTTTCTACGTGGCGACTTTACCGAAAGAACCAAGAAGATAATCATTTAGAATTTGAGTTTGACGTTTCGCTGGTAATCACATCCAGCATCTCTGGGCAATTGGTCGTGTCGGGTGGTGGAGGGTTGCGACACATTTATAAATAACACGATCTGACCCAAAAACCTTTATTATGAATGTTTACCTCTGTTGGCGCTTTGCACCACGATGGTGTTTCTGTTTGTATTGCGTTTGTTGTCATAACGTCCTGAAGTCCCGTGCCCCTGCTGGTCCAGTCTGTGACGAAAGAGCTTCATTTCTCATCGGATTCCTCTTGGAGCATCAATAAATATTCCGATTCTGATTCCGAACTCGACTAACGGGGCACGTCTCGCTCAGATTACATAGAGACACATAGAGACCCATAGAGATGCATAGAGATACATAGACACCCATAGAGATCCTTAGAGATATACAGTGACCCATAGAGACCCTTAGAGGTACATAGAGACACATAGAGACCCGTAGGGATCCATATAGATACATAGAGACACATAGAGACTCATAGAGACCCATAGACATCCATAGAGACCCTTAGTGATACATAGTGACCCATAGAGACACATAAATATATGTAGAGACCCACAGAGATGCATAGAGACCCGTAGAGATAGACCCTTACAGACACTTAGAAGTACATAGAGACCCATAGAGACCCATAGAGATTGCATTCAAAGACCCATTGAGACCCATATAGACGAACAGACGCACGCACGGACGGACTGAGAGACGCACGCACGGACAGTCGGACGGACGCACCCGAGGAGAGACGCAGCTACATCTGCCGACCAACACCCGCGTGGCGCCGCCGACCCCGCCGCAGAGGTCGTAACTGGGTACCCGATACCCGTACCCTACCCGATACCCGGCTACCCGTACCCGGCCGGGTACGGGTACGGGTACCCGTTTGCGACCCTGGTGCGGCCGGGTACGGGTAGGCCGTGAGTCACTGGTGAGTCACTGTTTGTCACTCATTTCCCAACGTCTTGTCTCTTCTCACAATTCAAGTTCCTAGAATCAACCCACCTGCGCCTGCAACATGGCTTCATCCCAGAGGTCGCAATCAGGTACCCGATACCCATACCCTACCCGTACCCGGCCGGGTACGGGTAGGGTACGGGTACCCGTTTGAGACCCTGGTGCGGCCGGGTACGGGTAAGGAATCAAAACCCGTTTGCAACCTCTGCCCCGCCGTGTGCCAGGAGCCCTTCCCAAGGCTGCCCTCGGAGAGCTACCGCGAGCCGCTGAGCGCCGCGCAGGAGGAGCGGCTGAGCGTGCTGCTCGGCGGCCGCTCTGGCGGGGCGCTGGCGGCGCTGGCGCTGGCGCTGCACGGCTTCATCCTCCTGGCGCTGTGCCGCAGGGGGGCTCACGACGCCCACTGGGGGTAAGGCGACTCGCCACCGGATGGGGCGGCGGGCGGGGGGAGGGGGGTTTAACACGTGGCAGGCTTTCGCGACCAATATTATTGATAATCAACGCTTTTGGGTTTAGATCGCGTTATTTATAAATGTGTCGTAACCCTCCACCACCCGACACGGCCAATCAGTAAAAAAATGTCACGTTGACAAAAGACAAATTAGTTCACTGCTTTAGCCCACCGGTGTGTTGAAGCGTGAAACCACAACATTTACAATTTGAGTAGCACGACGTTTCGCTGGTAATTGCATCCAGCATCATCGGGCAATTCGCCAGAATGGTGAGGTTCTCCTGTGTCTCCCGTTCTTATATAGAGCAGCAGCAGGGTGACGTCATCATTAACTCATTAACTCATCAGGTGCAAAGATTTGAGGGGGGAGTTATTGTAATTATATACTAGATTAGTAATCAGGCTATTGTTACGATGCGAGTTGTAGATTAGGGGGGGGGGGGTAATGTACATGTTGAAGCTTTCGTGACTGCAAGGATTCATACTCTTAGTTCTTTCGGTAAAGTCACCGTGTAGGTAAAAAATGAAATTAAAATTAATAAAAATAAAGCAATAAAAATCACGACGTTTCGGAGGCAACACAAGCTTCCGTCTTCAGGTGAAACTGTCACAGCAAAATATCTGTACCTTATATAGTGGTTAAATTTACCCACCCAGCAGTATAACAAAAGCAGTACTTGACCACTTCATAACTCCTCCTCCCCCGCTGCCCTTCCTGGCTCCTCCCCACTTAACCACTATATATAAGGTACAGATGTTTTGCTGTGACAGTTTCACCTGAAGACGGAAGCTTGTGTTGCCTACGAAACGTCGTGATTTTTATTGTTTTATTTTTATAAATTTTAATTTCATTTTTACCTACGTGACTTTACCGAAAGAACTAAGAGTATAATGTACATGTTGTTTATGCCATTTATTGTGAAAATTCCGTCACAGTTCCTATGAGCACTGTTTCATTGGTTTCATGGCTTTATTTTGGTGATTTCGAAAAGTGTATTGGTTTGGCCATGTTTGTTTGTTGTAGTACAGAGTTAGACTGATGGCCTTAATCTAAGTTGTCTTGTGGTTGTTGTTGGTTGTTTGACTTGCATCCCACTGGGATTTTTGCACACAGCGTTGGTGTACGGTGTTCTTTTCTGCAACATTTTGCTGTCTTTTCTTGGATTTTCTGTTTGCACTCAGTCACATATTCACTTTAAGATGTTTTTTTGTTCATGTTTTTGTTTTTTGTTTGTTGCGGTTGCACCCGATTCAAGAGCCGAATGGCTCACAGGGCTATACCTAATACATGAACTTGAACTTGAATGAGGGTAACTCGCCGGCGAGGGTAGTGAGTGGACACGGGCTTTAACGAGCATCTGGTGGGCAATGAACATCAGCACGGGGGGAGACAAAGGCGGCCGGGCGGGCGTGGTGCCGGCCACCCCACGCCCTCGTGTGCCGCGCCAGCCTTCGTAGGCGCTGCTGCTTCTCGCTTGTTGCTAACACCACTTGCCACAGGAGTCCGGTTGAAGGCTACCCGGGGGACCTTTGTCTTTGGGCGCCACGCTGGCGAGATGTTGACTCCCTCGCCTGGTATGAGGGTTAGATCCCGACCCTGGCGCCTGCTGCTGCTGTATATTTGGAGACTGCGCGTCTCTCTCTCATAATCATCATCACAGTGGCTGTGAGATGTTAACTACCTCGCCTGGTGTGCAGGAGGTCGAGGGTTCGATCCCGACCCTGGCGCCTGCTGCTGTATATTTGGAGTTTGTGGGTCTCTCTCATCATCATCATCACGGTGGCTATGAGATGTTAACTACCTCGCCTGGTCTACAGGAGGTCGTGGGTTCGATCCCGACCCTGGCGCCTGCTGCTGCTGCTGTATATTTGGAGCTTGCGGTGTCTCTCTCTCTCTCCCCGTGGTCGCGTGGATTTTTCTCCGGGTCCTCCGGCATCTCCCCTCCGCATTTAGAATCCAACGTCACCACGACGTTCACAGTCGTTTGACTTCTGCTACGCATTGGGCTCATCATCGACGACGACGACGACGAGCCCACTTCGTTGAGCAAGCCTCCACCATTCGTGACGGCCAAAGGGAGCTCCACGGCTGGCAGCGGTTCTAATCTCGTCCATCACTTCGTCCCCTTTGCCAGGTTGGCGGAGACCCTGGCGGCCGAGGGCATCGAGTGGCTCGTGGAGCAGGACCTCGACGCCGAGGTGACCGTGGGCCAGAGCGCTGCCGTGTGGCGGGCGGTGGTCACGCACAGAGAGCGCAGGAGGACGTCTCTGAACAACGACCACAGCGCATGAGACGAAGATGCCCCCCCCCAACTCCCGTGTAGCCTTAACCCCAACGCCTTCTGCAAGGCCATCGCGGGGGACCCCCCCCCCGCCACCCTGGTGGCCTTCAGTGCAACTCCTATGACGTGTCCCCCCCCCCCCCCCTCGACAATATACAAATGAAATTCGATGTAAAGCTTTCGTGACTGCAGGGATTCATCTTCTTGGTTCTTTCGGTAAAGTCACGTAGAAGGGAAATAATAAAATAATAAAATAAAACATAATCAAATACAATTCTCACGACGTTTCGGCCACAATGCAAGCAGCCGTCCTCAGGCGAAGAACAGGTCAGATCCTGTCTTTCCGACAGACCTGTTCTTCACCTGAGGACGGCTGCTTGCGTTGTTGCCGAAACGTCGTGAGAATTATTTTATTATGTTTAATTTTTATTATTTTATTATTTTCCTTCTACGTGACTTTACCGAAAGAACCAAGAAGAAAAATATACAAATGGTGACCCCCCCCCCACCCCCCCACCCGCATCATCATCATCATCAGGGTGATGTTGTCACAAAGCCCCCCAATGGTTTCAGATGTCGTAGCGGACACACAAACACACCGATGACGTCTTATCGGGGAAGGTGTCCACCTCCACCAATCCCCCCCCCCACCCCCTCCTCTGAGAATGAGTGAAGAACACTGCACGAGACAAAGGTGACCCGCGCAGCCTCCACGCACTGTGGGGGCAAGTGCCCGTTGGAAACGCGGCAACGTCGACGACGAGAGGCTCTGTCGTCCGTCAACCCACGGGGCCGCTGGCGCCAGGCGAGGTGTCGCCACCCGAGTTCGATACCCGCCCAGGGCCGCCGACGACGCTGGCGCTGGGTCTCCTCTAAGTCGACTCGGCCTCAAATGGAGTTTCTAGTGCGGTGTGTGGTAAAAAAAAAGTCGAAAACAAAATCAGCAGCACTGGGGAGACAAAGGCGGCCGGGTGTGGTGATGGCCACAACCACCCACCCGTGTGCCACAGAGCCGGCCTTCATAGATGCCACTCGCTAACAGCACTTGCCCCCACAGTCTGTTAAGGGGGGCTACACAGGGGGGTCTTTGTGTTTGTGATTGCCAGTCGGCGAATTTAATTAGTAGAGATGACCCACTCGTTGCTAAGCCGAGATCATTCAGTACAAGGAAGCAGCTATGGTCGAAAGTTGCAATCTGTTAGTCGAATATTGCACTCGGTTCGTCGAATGTTGCACTTGATTGCTCGAATGTTGCACTTGGTTAGTCAAATGTTGCGCGGCGGTTGCGCAGTGTAAACGCACCACGTTGTTAATGTGAATATCTTATTTGTACATTCCAGTAAAGTCGTGCGGGACGTCAGTGCGGTGTTAACGATGCACGTGTACTTTCTATCATGATCCCGGAGTGTACATTAAACGACGCCGCTAGTGCTGGGCTGAGGAGTTTATTTCTGTTGTTGTTGGTGTTGGTGTAAGGCACTACCACTACAACTGCGGTACGATGTAGGGCCACATCCACTGCAATCCGATGTGGCACCCGCCCCAGTGACGCGGCACCGGCGGTCGAGCGACTTTGCCACTCGTTGCAGAGGCGCGCGGTTCGAATCCTGCGGGCAGCCCTGGTTAATACCGCGGCAGTGGTGGCTGTGGTACTCGCCGTCACATATACGACTGCCACTGCCATGCGTCGTCTGAGCAGAAGTTAAACTAAACTCTATTTTACCAAGTAAGGCCCCACTGGGCTATGTAGCTCTCTTTTCAGAAGCTGGCCTGGCTATCACAAACGATGGGGGCCAACGGGAGTGCCTTGTCGTCGTTTGTGTGGACATTTAAAGCAAGTCGCCAAATGCTCCAGGCCAGTGTCCTTCACTCGTTTTCAGAGGGGCGTGCTCTGGGCACTATCGCCGATAAAGACATCGCCACTCTGTGTGAGGGCCGCCACACATTTCAAATAATGGGTGGGGATTTGGACAGCGTTACGACGATGATGATGATGGTGGTGGTGGTCTGGCGTTTTCACCATTTGTGTCCTGTCGGGTTGGGCCGCTCGTCCGGGGCCGCATTGAAGGCCACCGCATTGAAGGCCACCGCATTGAAGGCCACCGCATTGAAGGCCACCGCTTTGAAGGCCACCGCATTGAAGGCCACCGCATTGAAGGCCACCGCATTGAAGGCCACCGCGGAGCCCCGCCAGTGGGCCCGCTAGGCTTCGGCAAGGTAAGGTAAAAGTTAAAAGGTAAAAACAACGAGCCTACCTTTACCCTACCTTGTACCTTACCACAATACAATCACTCTACCCTACCTTTTACCCTTTAGCAGGTAAGGTAAAAGGTAAAAAGCAACGAGCCTACCTTTACCCTACCTTGTACCCTTACCCCATGCAAATTACTCGATTACAGGGTAATTACTGGGGTACTTCTTCTTCTTGAGTGCTGCCTAACGGCGTGTGCGACTTCACGATGATATTGGTCCCGGTCTAGCACGGCGTGTAGAGTTTGTGCTGCTGTTGTTAATTGTAGCCATGTTTTGATGTTACTGAGCCATGTCGTTTTTGGCCGTCCTGGTCGTTTTTTCCCTTCGATTTTTCCTTCCAGGATTTGCTTTAATAGCTGGTATTTGTGGTCGTTTCGGGCAATGTGGCCGAGGTAGTAACACTTCCTGCTAATGATGGTCTTCAGCAGTTGCCTGTCAGTGCCCATATCTTGCACAACTTGTGTGTTGGTGGTTTTGGCTGTCCATGGGATTTTCAGCATTCTTCGATACAGCCACATTTCGAAAGCTTCGAGCCTTTTTGTTGCTGTTGTTACTACGACATGAAAAAGGTTTATAACGGTAAATACTAGGTAGAGCGCTTTATTCATATAGAATACCCTCGATGATTCCAATTTTACACGCTTTCTTTGAACTCACTCTGTCTGTTGTCGTTATTGTTGTCGTTGTTGTCATTGTTGTCGCTGTCGTATCCTCAAATCTTGTAACTCAATTTTAACACACTTCCTAATGTGGTATGGACTGCAAACTTGGTATACGTATGTCATAATGGTGACAATACTATATTATATCACTAAAAAATACATATTTTTAAACGATCTTTTGTTAATGTTATGTTTCGGCTGGGCTCTAATTGTCTACGCTCAACTGACGTTGGCTGTAATTGGCCACGCTCCCTTACGTTGTGGCAAGCTTCGGAGCCACTTCCTGGAGTCGTGGAGTTCTTCCATTACTAGTACATTTCATAAAAGCGTGTTTTGAAAAAAGTTTAAGAAAAAATATTACTTATTAAATGGAGGCCACGGACTGCGCCACGGAGCTTCTAGCGGTAAACAAGGCGTCGTATTTACCGGGTAATACTTCGCGCTACGTTTACCCTACCGGGTAATTCTTCCGAGCTACCTTTACCCTGTACCCTTTACCTTACCCCTTGGCATGTCGACACCTTTATCCTTTTACCCGGTAAAAAGGGTAATTTACCTTACCTTGCAGAGGCCTAGGGCCCACAGTGGCCTCGCAGTTGTAGCGCTGTTAATGGGCTGCAGGCACTTACCTGCAGTAGCAGACAGGGCCCACCTTTATTGTCCCCCCCCCCTCCTTTTTTGGCCCTTCTCTCCCGATACTTTCCATTCATTGGCTACCACATTCTGATGAGCTCCCCCCCCCCCTCTCCTCCCCCCTCAACTCGCTTTTAAGGGATTACATCTTGAATCATTGCCTCACTTGATGCAGCTGATCTGGCTGTGACTGTCCCACCTGATGACGGAGACTTGTGTTGCCTCCGAAACGTCGTGATCTTTATTTTTATTTTATTATTTTTTATTAATTTTGATGTTTTACCTACGTGACTTTACCGAAAACACCTAAGAATAGGGGCAGTTACCTTGCACCGGCAGGGGGTCGCGACATTCCCCAGCCCGAAAGCAGGAGGGGCTGTGGGGTGTTCTGGGATCCCCCGAGATCCCTCCCAATAGGAGGGGGCTGCGGGGTGTTCTGGGATCCCCCGAGATCCCTCCCAATAGGAGGGGGC